AGATTCCAAGGATAAACATGTCAAGATGGTAAATAAAGTGTGTGATCTGTCTAATAATATCCCAACTCTTCGCTGGGCTCTGAGCCTTCTACCCACTCCACAGGAAATCCACTCAAAAACTCCACAGAAGCTCTGGGCTGTCTGGGTGTATTTGCACTGACAGTGCAGCCTGTTTAGCCTAATTTTTTCTGTACTGTTTTGCAAAGAAGGGATTTTGGTTTGAGCAAATATTATGAGATGATATACATCTGTGCAGAGCTTAAAGTATAACAGGAAAAAATGCAGAGGAGGAGGAACATAGGAACACCTCTGATTGTGTTTGACGTCTTCTGTTCTTTGTGAGCGCATGTTTGATGTGCATGGGACCTGGTTTATTTAGGTGTCTGGTGTTAAAACAAAAACCTTTTTTTGCATCCAAATTTTGTTTCGTTTAATCTTTCTGGTCCATATAAATCTGTTGTAAGGAATTCTTGATGTCTGTTTCCATTCATTAAAGCAGTTATTTCTTGGCATGTTCAGAGTTTTCTGCCAGTTCAGTTACTCAGATTCGTTATGACATACAGCAACTTTGAGCTCTTATCATGCTTAATTTGTTGTGCATTTTGGAGCCCAAACATCCAGCCAAAGCCATTAAGAATCTTCTTGAGCAACACAAGGAATGAGGAGTTCTTGGTTGGGATTTAAAGTACATAAAAAGTCGGAAAGAAATGTTGTGGGAAGTTGTGCAAGATAGCAGAGAACAACCTGCTCTTCAGCAGCGTTCCTGAGCCGCATTTAGACAACTTAGCAGCGCAGTTTGTAAGACTTTCTAAAGTATTTGTTGTTGGAATGATTCATACATAACCTACATATCCAATAATTAGTTGGACCTGTGTTCTTCACTCAATCTGTAGTTCAAGTATAAAGGAATAAAATGGGTTAACTGTGCAATTTGGAGGTGTGTTTTTTAGCTTGTAACATGTATGTTGAAGTAGTTGGAATTTTTCTTTTATTTTATGATTTCAGTCATTCTCACTTTGTTTTGCTACAATACAAACTTTGAGATCAATAATAGGATTTAGCTGTACTGACCTACACAACTGAATGACTTCTTTTCCTGTCGACTGGCCTAAGAGCAAGGACCTTTTTTTTAATGACGATGCTAATGCAGATTATTTTTTGACATTGATCACTGCTGCTGCTGATGTTTTATTTTTTCCCCCTTCTCCATGGAAGTAATTAAAATGATATTTACAACTCTCATGGACGAGAGGTCTTGGGTTTTTCTTAATTCAAACTTGATATTGACACAGAGGAAAAATATTAGATTTTTAATACCAAACACATATTTAAGGCATTAAAAACATTTTTACTAACATGAAAAATACACTTTTCAATCTCAAATCAGAAATTCATTAACAGACTCACAGATTCTAGTTCAGCAGGTTTGCAAATAAATGCAAAATAAATATCAAAAATATGACATAATTAAAACAATGTTTTGAGGTATTCATCTTGAAATTTGCAAATAATAGATATTCAAAATTTACCATAGCAAAAGTATGCAAAAGTTGCATGAAGTATCAGCATTTGAGATTCAGTTAAATTCAATTTATTTATAAAGCGCCAATTCACAACACGTGTCATCGCAAGGCACATTACAGTTCACCAGATCATTCAGTCAAATTGATTCAAAGTTTTCTATCTAAGGAAAACAGTTGATTGCATCGACGCATTGACTCGAAGGCAATCCCTCACACTAAGCATGCTTGTAGTGACAGTGGAGAGGAAAAACTCTGTTTTAACAGGAAGAAACCTCCAGCAGAACTGGGCTCAGTGTTAGCGGCCATCTTCCGGGGCCGACTGGGGTTCAAGGAGACAGAAGCAGAGACACAAAACGCAGCTGTAAAAGGCGGCCCCATCCAGGAAACACACAGCCAGGCAGACGAGCTCCAAGCCAGCTCCCATGCCAGAGGATGAAGGAAGCACATCCAGCCAGTCACAGTGAGAGAAACAGGACTACAGTGGAAAAACAGGCCGATCTCCAACATCTATAAACAAAGGTGTTGATGGCAGCAGTACAGCTGATGTTTCTCTCCAGGATGGAGTCACAGCCAAACAGGAACAGACCAGATGAAGACACTATGAGAAAAAGCAGAGAGAGCAGAATGTTAGAGATCGAACTAACAGATTCTGCAGAGTGGGAAAATAGAGATAGAATGAAGCAAAACGATGAAATAGGGGTCCCTATTTCCCCGTTGTCCTCCAGCATTCTAAGCCTATAGCAGCATAACTATAGAGATAGCTCAGGATAACCTGAGCCCCTCTAACTATAAGCTTTATCAAAAAGGAAAGTTTTAATCCATCCATCCATTTTCTGTCACGCTTATCACAAGCGGGGTCGTGAGGGGTGCTGGTGCCCATCTCCTGCTGACTACAGGCGAGAGGCGGGGAACACCCTGGACAGGTCACCCGTCCATCACAGGATAAACAACAGTTCACCCACACACTCACAACTAAGGAAAATTTAGAGAAGCCAATTAACCTAACAGTAACAGTTATCACCTAACACGCAAACTCTGTGAAGAAAGATGCCGGGCTGGGAATTGAACCCGGAATCTTCTTGCTACAAGGCAGGACTGCTACCCACTGCTCCACTGAGCAGGGTGTCTGCCTCACGGACAAACTGGTAGTTGGTTCCACAGGAGAGGAGCCTGATAACTAAAAGATCTGCCTCCCATTCTACTTTTAGAAATTCTAGGAACCAATAGTAAACCTGCAGATTGAGAGCGAAGTGCTCTGTTAGGAACATAAACAACAATCAGATCTCTGATATCAGATGGAGCTTGGTAATTTAAGGCTTTATATGTGAGAAGGAGGATTTAAAGTCTATATCAGAGTATTAACATTTTAGACTCTGGCAAATGCTGGCTTTGAACTTACTAGGTTTGTTTCCTTGTTGGGTCACAGTGTAATCTCCCTTCTGACCGCTCTATGCTCATGTTGGTGATGTTGCCCACTCATTTGGCAGCCTATGATGATAATTGGTCATTTATTTTTTTCAGAAATGAAATGTGCCCGTGGTACATCGTAGTCCTGCAAACCTTACTTAAGAAAATATGCTGTGGTTGGTAAAATACGAGGTCACAAAACCCAGTTGTAGAGCAGGCAGGGTAACAATACACCAGGAGCAGACTATTTCTGGTTGAGAACGGCGTCATTGGTCAGTGAAGGTCATGACTCAGAATCCAACAAAACCAAATCAGCTACAGAAACGTTTTGAGTAAAGGTACCTCTGTCTCCACAGCGATGCCTCGAGAATCTGACTCCGCTGGAAACAAGCTGTAATTTAGCTCAGGAATGCAGAACCGGATTACTTTTAAAGGTGATCCCTGTGTTTCCATCACAGTGTAATATTTCACTTTATCCACCAAACAAATCTGGAATGAACAATCAAATTCCCATCATGCTCCCAGCTGCTATGCAGGGGCAAAGCCCTGGTTCTGCTTCTACATTGGGTTCCGCCTTTCTAGGAGGAGATGCTGCATACCATTATTACAAAAGGACATTTTAGGGATTTATTTTTTTGTAAATAATGCAGATTTCTGTGTCCTAGCCGTTAAAAAAGTCTCAAACGTATTTGACTTATTATCTTCCTGATTACAGTTTTGTTTAAGTATAAGGTCTGAATGTTTTATTAGGATTTGTGTGAAGATTTAAAGCAATGCCCAAACATATTTCTTTTCAAAAAAATGTACAAAGAAATTATTTTCAAAAGGTATAGAAAAGCATTGTAGAACGTTTTTTGTTTTGTTTATTTGTATATATGTATTAAGGTATATCTGTATACATATTTATGTATGTATATGTGTAGGTAGTAGGGGTGTAAATCACATCCATCATGGCGATTCGATTCAGTATCGATTTCCTGACCCAACGATTCGATTATTTTCGATACTCAAGAAAACACCACGATGTGATTCAATTCGATTAATCGATTAAGCGTTTTTTTTTTACACCTTACAGGCTAAACAAAGTTTCAAGTTTGAAATAAATCAATGAAAGCTGTAATATTGTTGTGCATTTTTTTTTTTATAGAAACAACAGCAAATAACAGAAGTAGTAAAGTTGCATCAAAAAATACTGCAAAAATACTCAGCTCATGACGTCCCCCCCCCTCCACAGACGCTCCGCTGCACCTCTCCCAGATTGTAGCTGACTGCAAACAGTGCCGCAGACAGGAGGCCGGCTTGTTTTGTTTTTATGACCGAAATTGCAGAAAACAACTCGTGAAGTTTGACCCGCTAGAAGAGCGAGGCGCGCGAGAACGCTGGGACCCTTTTTCCAGCTGGATCTCAGCTCTTTTTGGCCCTCATGTCCCTCCGTCGTCGGACTAAACTCGCCCCCACTTCCTCTCCGCCTCGGCCGTATCTAGACCCACAGCGTGTAGCTCAGACCACGCTTCAATATTGAGCATAATTTAAAACTGTCTGTGTCAAGCTCACTGCAACACACTGCTGTAAGAGTATAACCAGGAAGCGAGGTAGGAGGGCAAAATAGGTTTAGCGCCACCGCAGCACGGGAGGAGAATTATGCCCAGGAACAAATGGAGAAAAAAAAACATGAATCGATTCTCTTGCTGACGTGTCGATGCATCGGATCGTCGGCTGTTGGATCCATGCATCGATACAAAACGATTATTATTTACACCCCTAGTAGGTAGGTATGTATTTGTATGAATATATATAGCAGCATAATTATAAATATTGTAAATTGAAGAAATACAAAAATTAAAGGGGTAGGAGCACATAAGTTTTACTTCTTCCTACTCCTTTTCGCACATGTAATAGAGGTATATTAACTCAGGAAAGAAGGGTTGTTGTTTTTCTCTCCAATGTTTTTAAACATTGTTTTTTTGTTTTTCTCTTGGATGTTCGAAATAAAGAATAAAAAAAATAATATAAAAAAACCTTTAATCCATCTGAAGGAAGATTAACGTCAGTGTTAATATCTGTCTGCAGGGTGCCGGTCAGGAGAAGCTCGGCATCTACATCAAGTCTGTGGTGAAAGGCGGAGCCGCTGATATGGTGAGTGATCGTGAAGCATGGGAAAGAAGCGGGCAAAGCTGGCGGGGTCTTATTAAAGGATGTCTGTATTTGCAGGATGGCCGTTTGGCAGCAGGTGACCAACTGCTGAGCGTTGATGGACGCAGTCTGGTCGGACTGTCGCAGGAGAGGTACGAGCGCTTCCTCTGTTGTTTGGGTTAAATTAACAGATTTGACTGCATGGATGCAAAAGAGGGAAAAACTGGAAATTCCCAGCTGATGTGTTTTAGCTACAAATAACAGTCAACATTTAGTGATCTAGTTTGGAGGAAATGTGGGTGTTTAATGCGTTTTTTATGCACTTTACTGAGCAGCATTGACGTGTATGATGGGGCACTGCTCTGATGTTAATTTGAGGATTAAACTACAAAAGGCTGAAATCATGTTTGTGACGTCTGACGACATCTTGAGACGCTTCAGGGTTTATCCCGCCTTTAGGTGACTCCAGTTTTATCCTAAATGTTTTAAAAAATAGGACTGAAACTGAAAAAAACAAACAAAAAACCCCTGACATGCATACTTTGGAAAAATTTTTCTGTAATCGCCTAAAGATTCCGTTCTGTTTCTGCTTTTACTTCAACCAGATTCAGTTTGATTTGCAAACTTTAAGTCTGTTAGACATGTTTGGAACAGCTATAAACTTTCCCTAATAGTTTGTTTAGAGCCGATTCTCTGCTAAATTTAAACCATTTGTTCAGCTCCCAAGTGGGTCATCTGTAGTGGAGCAGCGTCTCAAGTGTTTACAGGATTTGGAAAACATGAAAGTGGTGAAGGAGATGACACGTGTGGAGCTGGACTGAACCCAAATTACAGTGGAGGGACAAATCTGTAATCCCTGCCTCTTCTGGTTGATGATAAAGGTGTTATTGTGGTCCTCAGGTCCCAGTCTAGGAGGCACCAGTTTAAAAAAAAAAAAAAAAGATAATAATATCAACAGGATTATATTAATAAGATATATCCCTTATTGATGGAGCTTCTATGTGCTTCCTTCCTCAGACTCACCTAATTCATATCGCTAAATTACTTCCTTGCAGAACTTTGTAGCAGCCCGCTTTATAAACATAAGTTTTGTTCAGATTTATTTAGTAAAAATAAGATATGAATGTATTTGTTTAGACATGCTTTTGTGTCCCTTTCTCTGATATTAAAAAAAAACACAAAAGAAACAATACAGATGTCTTACTTTAATACCAGAAAAACACTTTTTCTTCATATTTGAAAGATAAACAGCAGCTGAAGGTGGGAGTGGATGGTACGATTGAAGAAAAGAGTAAAAGGCAACAATTAGCAGATTCTTAAACATCCCACAGTTACAGGCAACAGGAAGCAAACAGGTCGAGCTGACCGCTAAACATCCAGACTAACCCTAAAGATGACCTACATGACTCATAAGTCATTACTTAAAGAAACATTTTGTAATGTTTTACTTTAAAACAGCTTTTTTATATGACTAAAGCATCAATTGATGAGCAGACTGACACCCCAGTAGCTCAGCACTGATGCATCTATAAGCCTGGGGCCTGTTTTATCTAATTTCACTTTTAAGTTCCTGCCCTGCTACCCAGATTTGATGTAAAGCCTGTTCATGTTTAATGGGTCTGACCAAGCGAACCATCCAACAGTTATAGTTAAGATGGAATGTTTGGATACTAACAGGCAACAGGCATCCAGCTTCATTAAGACATCAAGAGCAGCTCCATGTAAAGTAAATAAAAGTAACAAAAAAAAACAAAAAAAAAAACGAACAGATCAATGCTGCAGTTCTGTTTATTTCTCACAGGTGACAGTATCGTTAGAATATCTTTGGGGAAGTGTAAACAAGCAGCCTGTCGGTAAAACGGCGAATACGTCCCTCTTAAAAATGAATGAGCGTAGAGCCTCTTCCTGCTTACATTTCGAAGAAAACCACAAGTTTAATCCTTCCAAAACTGATTCCAAAGCTGAGTCAAACGACAACTGTTCCATAGTTGTTGCCACCTTCCTTGTTGTGCTTTCTCTAGCAAAATGCTCTGCAAAACGCTTTGCATCCAAAAAAAATTCAAAACACATCTCTGCGTTGTGATTGGCTGCCAGTTCTAGGGCCTGGGGCATTGATCGAGGCTAGACCAATCGTAGGGAAACATGATTTTGGCTGCTGGCAGGTGGGGCTGGTTTACTGGGCTAGTACAGATAATCAATAATGGGGAAAAAGAATGGCGCAAAAATCACACACTGGAAAAAATCGGAATCTAGATGAGTCATTTTTTCATGAAATAAGTGCATTTTGTCTTGGATTGAGGAGGTAAAAGAGACTTTTTGCCAATGGAACAAGACACTTTCCACTTAAAATAAGAAACACAATTGCATTGTCTTATTCCAAGTGCGTATAATCTAACTATCTTATTTTAAGAGTATAAATACTCATTCCATTGGCATTCTATCTGATTTACCCACTCAAATTAAGGGCAAATACATTTAATTTAGGAAATTTTAACTTATTTCTAGATTGTTTTTCCAGTGCAGCAGGAGAAATGATTGGTAGATGGAGCAGGAAGGAGTAAAGATTTTTAATTAGACTAAGATTTGGATGTAAAAGACTTACTTATGCATTTTCTGAAATAAAAAATCATAATACAGGCAGATGTTATTTTGTAGACTAGAGATAGTGGAGGTAAATCAATTATAAGGACAAAGGAACAATAAAACCTAAAATAAAAAGAATAAACAGTCAATTATAGTATCTTAACAACCTCAGCCTAGCTGAACTACTGTAAAACCCAAACTTAAACTGCAGTGCACTATTTCAGATGGATCAGACGACACACGTAAGCATCCACTCCATACTTTGATTTCCACTGCTGTTCCACAGATTGCATTTGATTAAATTCAGGCTGCTGAACTGTACGCCGCCATTTTTGAGATTCTCTGATCAAAATCTAATTAAGTAAGACTGTAAATCAAAAGAACAAAATGTGGTGAAAGACAAGTGGATCCCTTCATTTTTTTATCATAAAATCTAATCTGCAGCAAGCTTTACTTATTTTACTAATCATGTCTAGATTCTCATATTTATTTATAATTTGTAGTAATATACTGTGACCCTTTAATGTTCTATGCAAAGCTGTTTTAGAAACAGTAACGGTTGAACTCTCCAACTAACAGGAGGTGCAGTCTTAAATGCAATGCTTTCCTACTGAACTAAAAATCAGCATTTTATAGTGAGCAAAAGAACAATAAGTTAAAGTTAAATATATATTTATTAATTAAAGAATATGTACCGAGTAGAGATGCAGTTTTTTTATTCCAGTGATCAACTTCTTCCCAGTGGAACATCTGGTCTTTGTCATTGCTTCACAATCAGGATGTTACTCAAAGCAAACCTATCATCTGTCATTTGATGTGAAATTTCATTAAGCGCAAAAATTCGCCTCAGTGAAGCAACGACATTCAAATGAAGTCGTAAAACGGTTGGATCAAAGACGCAGCAGCCTAATGAAGCTCATTACAGCTAAACGGGAAATTTCTTTTCCTTGAAGTCAGAAGATTGACGGTCATGTTTGATGTGTGTGTTCAGGGCTGCGGAGCTGATGACGAGGACGGGCTCTGTTGTAACACTGGAGGTGGCCAAGCAGGGCGCCATCTACCACGGCCTGGCCACACTACTCAACCAGCCCAGCCCAATGATGCAGAGAGGTGAGCACATTTCTCCATTTCACCTCTCACTCCTCTGCTTTTTGGTACCATTTGGATCATTTCCTTTAAGTTAATCTAAGTCAGCTGCAGGTGGGTGATTTCCTGTGATGACTATAAAGTGGATAAAAAAAAAATAATTATCAACTTTTTTAAAGAACATTTTTTAGGCTCTAGTGGCATTCATGTAAGGTATTTTTTCAAAAGTAGGCAGACAGGAAATGGGATTAGAGAGAGGGGGAAGCAGAGTGCGAAATACGGGGGGGTCCGGGGGGGCTCGACCCCCCCGATTAACCCATGAGACCCCCTGAAAACCTCAAAAGCAAAATTTAAAGGGGGTCTTAAATTGTGTCAAAAAGATTAAAAATAAAATATTTTTTGTCACTAATGGTCACTAAAATGTTTTTTAAGCTCAACATGTCCAGTATTTGAAATTCAAAACCTTTATTCAAAAATATGTTCTGTTTTTTGCCAAGTGGAGCCAGCCAATCCTGTTTGCGTATGCAAATTAGCCATGTGCTTTTGCGCAGTTAGATTAGATTAGATTAGAGGAGCTTTATTGATCTATTCACTGGTCACATATTGGCATAGTAATTAAAGAAGGTGCAAACAAGGAGGAAAAGGTGCATTAGGAATAAAAAAAAAAATAAAAATAAGAAATAATAAAAAATAAGAAATAAAATAATAAGAAATAAAAAAAAAATAATAATACGGGCAACGAGACGCGGAACAGATTGCGGGAAGACAGCAGGTCTTCACTCCTGTTTGTGGACCTCAACGGACCTCCTCTGGACAAATTCAACCCAGTTCCATTCGTCAGAAACTGGATTGCGCAACAATTGGGAAACGGAGACCCCCCCCAAATATTGACAGGTATTTCGCACACTGGGGGGAAGACATGTGGCAAAAATCACCAGCCTGAGATTCAAACCTCTAACGGTTGCTTTGAGGACTAAAACCTGCACGTGTCACAGACTTAAAGGAATAGTACACCCAAAACATGATTAGCCTTCATTTTCTACTCACCCCCATGCTGAACAACACTCTGGAGTACTTTTTTGATATCTCAAATGCATCTGGAGATCTGGGAGGCTTCTTGCTGTCTGCTGACATTCAAATAATGGAGGTCTATGGCGCCCGAGACAGAAAGGTCCATAAAAGTCCACAAAAACGTGTCAATATTCCTCCATACTGCTCGTCCAATGTAATCCAAGTGTCCTGAGTGGGTAGCGTCCATAATTTACTCGAAACGAAGTCATTTAGAACGTTTTAGAGCCTAAACAGTAGTGTATAGGATTTCCTAATAGCGCCCCCATGCGCGCTCACGATTCTACGGAAGCCGGCAGACCAAACCAGCGCATTCAGCTCGGCAAAGAACTCATGCTCTTCCTCAACACTGAAGTCCTCAGACATTTTTCTTTCGTTGTTTCTTTCTTTGCACAGGTAAACAGCACATTTCTTCTTCTACGCTTGCATTATTGGCAGAGCAGACGCTGAATGCGCTGGTTTGGTCTGCCGGCTTCCGTAGAATCGTGAGCGCGCATGGGGGCGCTATTAGGAAATCCTATACACTACTGTTTAGGCTCTAAAACGTTCTAAATGACTTCGTTTCGAGTAAATTATGGATGCTACCCACTCAGGACACTTGGATTACATTGGACGAGCAGTATGGAGGAATATTGACACGTTTTTTGTGGACTTTTATGGACCTTTCTGTCTCGGTCACCATAGACCTCCATTATTTGAATGTCAGCAGACAGCAAGAAGCCTCCCAGATCTCCAGATGCATTTGAGATATCAAAAAAGTACTCCAGAGTGTTGTTCAGCATGGGGGTGAGTAGAAAATGAAGGCTAATCATGTTTTGGGTGTACTATTCCTTTAACCCCTGCACCACTGCCGCACCCCAATTATCCAACTCTTTGATGTCTGTTTAGGCTAACTGCAGGGTTGTCTGCTCGTCACAGCATCATAAAGGCCAGGCAGTTCACTCAAACAGCCCCCATATTTTATAGGCTTCTTCTTCAGGACATTAGATCCACAAAGAAACTGGATTTTCTCCATTAAAATGGCACCAAGTAAATGCATTTAATCATGTTTTTAAATGTATCGGTGCATATTGATGTAATCATGTAACCAGCAGTTTTGGTCATGTTGCCATTATTCAGTTTAGGATTGAGTGATTTTAACTGAAGCAGAGAAGAATTATATAAAAGATATCATTAAATATCGGTAATAACGATGGTATTAATAAAGGCTCAGATTTTCATGACTGCTTTTTTAAATTACAGCATGTTTGTTTATTGGGTTTTTAAATATCAGGATTTATCATTTTTACTTTTTTTTTAGGATTTATTCTCTTTCCTGAAGTCACTCTTGCAGATTTGATTAAAGTTAATCATTTTAAGTTATTGAATTTAGGAAAATAAAGGTTGCTAGACCAACTGTAATGGTACTAACAGATCTGGGGTTAAGTGATGTCAGTAATTTGTTGGAGACAGGAGGAGAGACAGACGGATGTCCACACAGGGTGTCCTTGTTGTCTTGTGTGTTGGCTGATATAAGGAGCTCTGTGTGAAAGCGTGTTCATGAAAAGCTGCACATAAACCGCAGAGGTTAGAGGGTTGTCTGGCTCTCTGCTGGTCTTTGTCTGCTGGAATGTGACCCCGGTTTCATAAAGGAAGTCTTCTGGTCCGGTCGCTCTGCAGCTTTCAGGGAGATGATAAAGGAGCCTTTTCTCCCAAAGTCCATCAACTGCAGAGCTGAACAGCGACGGCCGAGCAGCCAAAGGAAGAAGACCGAACGGTCTCTGAAGGATCTTCTGTTCAAACCTGCATCCAGTGTTCATAATTGAAATCACTAAAAATAAAAGTGAATTTACTAACGATTTATTAGCTGGAGTGTTTTGCCTAATTATTTTATTTTTCATTTAATTTTTTAGTGTGTTTTTGTTTTGATTAAATTTGGCTTATAGGGAATCTAACAGCAACTTAAAAAAAACAACAAATAAGGACACATTTTAGTTTTATGCCAAAAAACAGGAGGTTTCTATTTAAATAGTCATTTTTAATGAGATTTAGGGCTGAAACAATCAATCGAATGAATCATGATTAATCGATTATTGAAACAATCAACTAGTTTAGTAATCGATTAATTGTTCACTGGACTATAGAGACTAAAACAGGCCTTTAGCTGACAGAGAAACACACTTAAAGCAGTAATTATACCAAAACTGTATAAGAATATCTAAATATTTTGCATTTAAAGGTATGGTGGAGGATGTTCTTTTGCTGGTTCATCATCAAAATAAGTGGTTCTTCTAATTGTCAATCATTCTGCTGAAATGTTTACATTACATGCTCGCCCCCATTTTGCCTTTTGGTGAGTCTTAACCTGACTCCACCAGATGGATTTGCTCCGCATATCCATCTGGAAACTTCCATTGAAGTAATTTTGGGGGCGAAAATACTGGTTAGCTGATTGGCCTATGTTGGTGATAGACGGGCCAAATAAACCAATCAGATCAACGAAGCATATGACGTACTAACAGAGCAATGACGAAAACACAACCACAAGCCAGGCTACTCTTGCCGAAACCAGTCGGGAGAAGAGCAAAAACATCTTTTCCTCTGAGAAATGCCTCCAGAGCAGTGTTTTGCTCTTCCTTCAGTGAAGAAATACTCTGTAATTCTGATAAAACTTGCTCGATAGCCACACTAACGCTAGTTTCATAGTGGAAAAATTACAAATCTTCTTTTTGAAAGTAAGCTTGCAAACAGCAACTTTTAAACGGAACGTGCACAAGGAGAAGCGGGCTCGTGCACGCTCTCGCACGCATTTAATAGGCGTTCCCTCCCTCTCAGGAGCGGATACAGGGTCGTGCAAGTGCATTTTTTTTTTTTTAAAGTGGAGGGGGAGGTTCTTTTCAAATATTCACTATAATCCTCCCCTATACCTTTAAGATAAAAACTTTTTCGTCTGTCAGTAATTAAAATGTTTTGGTATCAGGAAGCATAAGGGAAAGATTCAGTTCTGGTAAAGTTCACCCTGTGATTGTTAGCAAGATCCATGGATGATATCGGTCACCGAGAGTATAAACGGGAATTATTGGTGACTCTTTCTCAATTTCTTAAACTGCTGTTTTCTGCAGCCGTTAAGTGACAGAAAAGGCCAAACTGAGTCCAGCTGAACATCCCGTTCTCTTCTTTTGGAGTGGGATGACTTTCAGCATGTTTTTAGAAGTTATTTTATTCTTTAAGTGTCAGTATTTGATTCTGCTCCGTCTTTTGTCTCAGCAGCAGACCGAGGCCGGGATAAGAACGGGAAGATGCGGCCAAAGAGTGAAGGCTTCGAGCTGTACAACAACACGGTGCAGAATGGCGATCCGGAGAGCCCGCAGCCCGGCTGGGACTCTTACGCAGAACCAAAGAAGATGAGCGGAGAAGACCGGCTTTTGAAGAACCGGGCTGACCACCGCTCCAGCCCCAACGTAGCCAGTAAGTCGTCTGATTTATGATCACACGTTTATTCACATTACTCACATTCATTTTCCTGCAGATATTATAATCCAAATCTATGCTGAAAGTCTGTGCTTTATGTAAAACCTTTTGAACATGGAACCTTAAACTAAAACTGCAAAAAAAAAAAATTCTGTCTGTGTTATTCTTCAGCTACTCCACCCTGATACACAAACAAACCACTAGATTTTCTGGCAGCCATTGTTTTTGGAAAAGTCTGTTTTACTGTTTGCATTTGAAAAAACAAATATTACTCTGTGCGAGGCTTTATGATATATTTTGTTTCCTTCTTCCCTCACTAGATCAGGGCCAGAGTCCTGCAACCAAATCGGTGTACCCTGGAGGACCGGGCACTAAGATCACCTCCGTCTCCACCGGCAACCTGTGTGCAGACGTAAGTGGCGTCAGGGTTCTGACTGCTCGCTCCTGTGTGAGGAATGCTCCAGCAGGGCAGCAGAAATGAGAAGTAATTTCACATGTATGGTACAAATATCTGTGGACCTGGGAGAGAAGCCTGGATGTTTGATTTTCTGTCCCTCAGGAGGAGCCGTCCCCGCCCCGCCCAGAGGCCTACCCCATCCCCACCCAGACCTACCCTAGAGAGTACTTCACCATCCCGGCCTCTAAGAGCCAGGATCGGGTGGTTGGTCCAGGACAGATGCCCCCGCAGCACTGGCAGGGCATGGAGGACAGAGAGCGCCTCCCTGTGGTCGACAACATTCACAACAGCATGCAGGTAGGACTGAGTTTCCTCCTGACAATGAGCTGTGATATTATTGGGAATACTTGATAGAAAGAAAAAAACCTAATGTTTGCTTTGTTTTTTTTTTAAACTTTAAAATCAAATTTCCTCAATTAAAACTAAAAAATATCATTAATGTAGCAGAAGTAAAAAACTGCTAGCATTTCCAATGCAAGTTTCGAAAAGGTTCATCCATCCATCCACAGATTACACTTTAAGTTTTTCCTTTTTTTTTATTGTTCTTGCGCTGCAGCGGATTAATCACTCCCAGGAAGATCTGTACCCTCCAGCGGGAATGATGAGGCCAGATGAGCGGATGCAGCCGCTCTATCCACAGGAATACCAGCACCGGGATTTGGACTACCAACACCGAGGTCCACCAGGAGGTAAGAGGACAGAGCTGAGCCGGAAACAGAACGAGATCAGAATAAGTAGAGGTAGAAGTTGATCTTCAAGTTTAAATCTTACCTAAATTACTTCACATCAGAGATCACATGTGGCGCTCCCCAAGGGTCCATCCTAGGGCCCCTGTTATTCAGTATCTATGTGCCAGAACATTTCCCTGATGAGGGAGAAAATTTTAATTTCATAGGGAAGTCATATTTAAATTTCAAATGATTCTGGCTTAAACATGTGTATAAATGTGCTATTGTCCCAAAAGTTTGAAAATTTATTTTAAAGAAATCCTTTCTTAAAAATCTGTGTTATTTTTCGTTATCTTATTCAGGCCAGTTAGTTATACATCAGCTTGTACAGCTAAATTCGGCCAATCATATATCAACGGTTATCTGTCAATCAAATTTTTTCTGTCACAGCATCTTGATTCATATGTCGCAACTAAAATACGCAACGGTTGAAATAAGAAATTCCACATCATCTTCGTCCCTGCTTTCCTCCTCTAAATAAAAAATGGATGACAGAGGAGACCTCCAACACTAAACTCTCCTCCTCTTGCATGTTTCCTCTGTCCATAGCGTTCCCTGATAGTGTCGTTGCTAAGTTATTCTTGGTCCCAATATAATTTCCCATCGGGAACATACTAGCAATACGTTGCTAACTGGTTAGCACGATGCTTCCGAGACACTGGCCACAACCAAACTTGCTTGTGAACCTTCAGCCACATCAATCCCGCCCTCTTGATAATCGACCAATCACATTCACTTTATTCACTCGTGTAAAGTTGGGCAACACTCGGCGGAATTCGGAGCTGCAACCGTTGGAACAGCCGCTTCCCTACGACTTTTAAATGTTAACCGTTTTCTCTCTTTTTACTCCTATGTTTAAGATTCAGGTTAACAGTTTGAAGCAGGAAAAAAAAGCAGCACAGCTGCTGGGATTAAACTTCACACCACATGAGAACAGAGACGCAGCTAAATGCCTCGGACTTTACTCACTGTTTCTTCTGTCCTGCAGAAATCCAGCCTGTTGTGTTGTATAAAGGAAATAATGCAGGTTTTTAGGAAACTGATGCGTCTTCCACCGCCTCACCTAACCGTCTCATCCTTATTACTTGTATACAGAAAGAAAATCCATCTAAATCCGTCTTTGAGCCGAACTTGACTCCATGGTGTCTGGAATGTTCAAGAACAAGGCAGCAATTTGTGATTGCACAATTATACCCTTAGTAGAGATGTATACGTTTTGATTTATCATTCTTTTATTACATTATTTTGACATTTTATTGTTTAGCCTCTAGTTAAGGGTCAGTGTTTAGTGAAAAGTGATGAATCTTTGGAGAGAGAGAACCCAGAATGGTTATGAAAAAGAGGCTTGCTTCGACTTTATCTTTTAGAAACAGGAAATCTGACTAAATAACACGGCAAGCAGTGGTCCATGGTGGACTGTACCCTAGCATAAAGCTTTGAGAGGCATCACCCTATAGAATCTCTCAGATATCAGAGCCGAAATAGAATAAAAAGCAGCAGACTGTGGCTTGGCTTCTCCCTGAACCTGCGACTGATTTTATCCTCAGGTGTGGGACCTCCACTGGACCACTGGACGCCTCAGCCGCAGGTTTCCTCTTCGTTGGAGTCATCGACATCCAGCCAGGAGCACCTCAACTTCTCAGCTTCTTCCACGTCTTCAAACAAAGGCCCAAACCAGAAGACCGGGCCGGGCCGATGGAAGACGCCCAATACGCCGCACGCTGTTCCGCCGCACTCTGTGGCACCGCCGTCCCGCTCCGACCTGCCACCTCCTCCTCCGCCCCCGCCTACCGTTTACCCAGACGCCTACGAACCCCAGAGCGAGCTGCCGCTGCCGCCCCCTCCCTCCACCATCAGCCCGGTTATGGCCCAGCAAGCTGCCGACCGTAAGAAAAGGGAGGAGCAGCAGCGTTGGTATGAGAAGGAGAAAGCTCGGCTGGAGGAGGAGAGGTGGGCGTTACCGCTTAGGTTTTTCCAGTGATGCGTTTGATACACCGAACATTTCTGTGTCGTCTTCTTGGAAGAACAAAGAGACATTTTATGTTTATTTCTTTTTTTTTTTTTTTTTCAGGGAGAGAAAGAGGAGGGAGCAGGAGAGAAAGCTGGGTCAGATCCGGGCCAACCCCGTCATGCCCGTCCAACCCCACAACAATGGTGGAGCCAAGCCTCCTCCTCACCACCAGCCTCCCATGGCCTCCATGGCCCCGCCCCAGCCTTACCACCCCCCACAGCCTCAGCCTCCACCATCCAGACCAGAGAAGCTGTCAAGCCTGCCGCGGTCGGCAGTGCCTCCACCCGCTTCTGGCGCCAACTCTTCCGGTAAAACATTATCGCTTCTCTGCTTCCATTAAATGAAACACAGTGAATCAGCGTAACAGAGCTGAATGATACAAAACACACAATTAAGATTTTTAATCATAACGAACTTTTAAGACTGTTTTTTCCACGTTTTTTTCTTTTATCTAACCTTGCATTGAATATCATAAAACCACAGCAATGGATACGGTGATCAGGGAGCTGCTTCCGCAGCAGCAGCCACGGACCATCGAGAGGAGAGACCTGCAGTACATCACCATCAGTAAGGAGGAGCTTTCCACCAGCGACAGCTTGTCTCCAGATCCCTGGAAGAGAGATGCCCGCGAAAAGGCAGAGAAACAGCAGCAGCTGCACATCGTGGATCTGTTGGACAAAGAGATCCAGGAGCTGCAGGTAAAACCCTTTAGAAACATGGCTTTTTGTTAATTTAGAAGCATTCATTAAAATTGTTCTAATCTGACCAAGGAGGATGTTAAAATTGCAGATATACTGTAGATGTAGTAGTGATCCATCCTTATTCCTAACACCTTCCTGTTTCTTAGGCGAAACCCGAGCGAACAGCAGAGGAAAGCGACCGCCTCAGAAAGCTGATGCTGGAGTGGCAGTTCCAGAAGCGGTTGCAGGAATCCAAACACAGCGACGAAGATGAAGAGGAGGAGGACGATGAGGACATGGACGAGCTTATCATGCAGAGGCTGGAGGCTGAGAAGAGAGCCAGGGTAAGAAGGACAGCCATGACGAAAGGCTAACTTTATTTTGGCGGAAGGAGGAGAATAAAAGGCATTGTCACGTGCACAGGCTTCTTTGGCAGTTTTAAATCTGACTTCTGTTTTTTTCAAGCGATCTTACCCATCAGCTCCGACTCCAGAAACAAATCTGCAGTTAAGTGCACGACGAAGGGCGAGTCGCAGGAAATTAGGCTGATGGGGAGAAAAACAGAACCGCCTTTTTCAAACGCTAGAGGAGGAAACTGGTTCCTCTGCAGCAGCACCTCCCACTGTGAATGTCGCGCAGTGTGCATCTGCAACATGCTTCTGTCATCGCTTTCCCATGCTGAGCTGCTTAAATCTGATTGGCTGGAAGGGTGGATGCCAGGGTTTGGGCAGGAAGGAGGGCAACAGTTCATCATCAGCTTCCTCACTCCCAACCAGCCTGGGATTAAAACGTGTTTGATCAGAGTGAGACACTGATGTAGTTATAACTGTAGCTAAAAATCTACATTTTTCCACTAAATAACGTATTTAGTTGCTTAAAAAAAGTTCATCATTGCCTTTTTAACAGCTAAGATAAAAGCATCAGGGGTGCAAAAAGTCAACTCCACGTTTATCAGTCTGTATCATTGTGGAAGAATTTTGGCCCAATTCCTAAACTTTCTTTCTTCATTGCTTAGAAGTTTGTGGAAGGTTTAAATCTGGACTTTGAATAGGCCATTTAAAGCCATTCCTTTTGTTGATTTAAAAAAAAAAAGCTTGAGTCCAACATCAGATTGCCTTAAAATACTTTAGCACAAAGAGGAGTTGATACTCCACTCCACCTCCATGCTAGACTGTCAACTGTAATAGAATTTACTTTTTGCTTGGAATAATAACCAAACGCCTCACTTTGATCTGATCTGTCATAAAGATCATTGTTCCTGAGGTTCTCTGGTGCCTTATGCCTCTTAGAGAGAAGAGATTTTCACCTTAAAACCTTTTGTTATCTAACTTTAATATTTTCTGTGTTAAATGAGGCCTGTAGAGTCTAAAGCAGAGGTCACCGACCTTTTCAAGGCTTAGAGCTACTTCATGGGTTATGGTTCATAGGGCTACCAATACTGACCTATGACCTGAAGGGGTCAGCGTTTACCTAAACTTAATACCTAATAAATATGTTGTTATTGTTTATTTTTATTTCTAATTTTCTTTTAGATAAATCTCTATTAATGCTTTAATGCTCTATATCAGAGGTCATGGATTAGCGCAGGGGTCCCCAACCACCGTCATTTGGTATATATATATATATAAAATATATATATATTATATATCAGAGTCTGAGTGATGTTTTATTTTAAAAAATATAAAAAATTGTATTCTCTCCCAATTGCATCGGTACATCTGTGCCTCTTGATACAGGTTAAGACGCATCCTATCTATAACATCCTATCTTTGTGAAGCGGGATTTTATGCGGTTACAGCGACCAAAACAAAGCTACGGAGCAGACTGGACATTGCCCACCACCGTTGGTCCGTGAAAATATAGCGGTCCGTGGTGCAAAAAAGGTTGGGGACCGCTGGATTAGCAGACCATGGTCCGGATCCGGACCCACCTGTTGGCTAATCCGGACCCAACCTGATTTAAAACATTTCTAAATTACCGCATGTTGTCTAACGACAGTTTCTAACCCTGAAATCCCACGTCCTCCGTCTCCGCTGCGCTCCAGACCTCCTGCCCAAAGCAAAGCTTACAGCCTCCGCTGTTCCTCCCGTCTTGCTCCGCTCCGACTTCCTCAGAGCTCAAGGAGAGCATGGCCTAGATAATTATTATATTCAAGAGCAAAACATGCGCAAGTGAGCGCTTAATATTTTCGTTTTGTTGTGGATTTTTGTATTGGGAATAACTAGGATAATACATGGTTTGTATGATTTATGTTTGTTCTCTGTTTCCAAACTCGGCATCTCTTCATTCAGGCCTGAGATGAGAAGTTTCTTTTGAACTTGACAATGCAATTGTAAAATAAATATTTTGATCGAGATGAGAAATCTGCTTCCTGGTATGTTGAAGTACCAATAGTTTGCATCCAATAATTTAAACAAACAGTCTTAGTTTTTGGGAATATATAAGCGAATGAGCCTGGAATTTCTTCAGAATGGCTTTGTCGCCATTCTAACCCAGGTTTAAAGCCTTGCAGGGCAGCATAAAGCCCACTGCTCTCATTAAGCCATGAAAAAAGAAAGAAAATAACAGGTGTTTTATAATATATGTGAGTCAGGAAACTGAACGATTGTTGTTCTCTACTTCAAAAAACACTTTAGATTGGGAATTTTTATTTGAAAATTCATTGTATAACATGGATGCATAAAAACATTATTTTATTTCAGTGTTAAATTCTGTTTAAAGTAACAGATTATGATTAAAAATGTCTCCGGCCTTTCCTGGTTAATTTTCTTTTTTCGGACCCGCTGATTTTAATTGGTGACCCCTGCGCTATATGATGAAAATGATAGAATGTTCTATAAATTAAGAACAACAAATAAGATATTTCAAAGTTTGCCCACTGCTGAGTTTTTCTGTACGCTGAGGATCATTGACTTTTTAATAGAAACTATCGTAAAACAGCTTTTCTTTTTATCAACCTTAGAGTATAAGTCAGGCATTGAAAATAGTGAAAGTAAATATTTGACTTTTTAACTCTCAATCAGCAGCGTGTAAAGAATGGTCCGTTATATTAAATGCCTTTTTGTTAAATATTTAAATTTGGAACCTTCTTTTAGTAAAGTGGGCCTTCTTTTGTAAAAATGTCTCATATTTACAGAGCTTTTTCTAATCAAAGCAAAAATAAAAGCCAAATCTAAAAGTATAATTGAGTATCTCTTAAAGATTTAGATCTATGACTAAATAATGATAAAAGTAGATATTTACCTGCCAAAAATGTCTCTTCAGGATGAATTATATTCAATTATAATACATTATATATATTAAATGCATTATTATTTACAGCCTAAATGATACCCCTGTTTTCAGATGCCTTTTTGCTAAGTTATGAGGCAAAATGTGACAAACATAACCTGGAACTCAGCATCTAGATAAACATTTGTTTGTCATTTATCTTTTATTTTATAGCTTTGATAAGTCAAATGCTTCCTGAGGAAAAGCTTCAGGTGGCTTAGGCCTCAGAATTAAAAAGAAGAAATAAACAGCATCCGTTATAAAGTTTAAACACAGCAGGGCCTTTAAATACAAGCAAAGTAAACCTGGAAGAGAAGTTTAAATGTGGCTCTAATTAATTGACATAATTCTGGTAATTGATAAACATTTTTTAAATAATGTAAATAAATCTGAAAGATTAAATTCAGATCTTCGGTTTCCACTAATCAGCACAAGCTTCAGTAATGTTTTCCTTTTGACTGTATGTCCTCCTCTTCCTTCTGCTTACATTTTCCCACATCCTCCCCTCCTTTTAATTAAATCTTTGATTAATTAAATTTAATTGTGATTAAACCCCCCCCTCCCTTCAGTATTTTGATCTTTTCTCCCCCTTCCTTTCTTTCACCCATCTGCCCTCCCTCTCTTACTCTCGGTTCTCTTCTTCTTCCTCTTCAGCAGCAGACTGCTGTCCCAGCTATCTCTGTTCTAGACTTGGTATGTTCTTCCTGTTAATGCTGAGTTTCCTGTCCCTGGCCTTACATCACTTCTTGTTTTCTGTCTTGGCTGCCCACCTGCCCTTCCTTTCCGTCTCTCCCTGCCCATAAGAACTGCAGATATCGTTTCTTTGGGGTTAGGTTGAATGATTGGGGGGGCTAAGCCATGAGGAGCTAAAGAGCAGCCGGTTCTGGGATGCTTGATGCCGTTTGGCTCAGGAGGCGGTCCATCTCCTTGTCTACTAAAAACATCCTAAAGGGGGGGGAGGTGGGGAATTCTGGAGCTACAGCTTTGTTTGCAGCAGACATGGAGGTGGCACCTGCATGGCTGAGCTCATCACTAAGGGACATCAGAGGGAAACCCGTGCATGTAAATCCTGCAAAGACATCATACTATCGTGCCGTTCCTGAATCCATTTATTCACCTTTCTGTTCATTCATCCGTTCATCCGCACGAATGGCTGAGCTTTTTCTTTAAGGGGTCTGTTCAACCACAGGTTACCAGAGTCATTAAATTCACCTTTTCAGGGTTAATGTTTATAAACAGGAAGTAAAGTGGGTTGAGGATTGCGAGCAGACTGTAATTGTGCAGCTTTATCTATAATATATCAATTTCTAAACAGAGCTGATCAGTCAAATTGATTGTAAGAATAAATTAAAAACTTGGTTTTAAAAAGAATGTTTAAAACCTTTTAAGTTTAATCCTCTTTTATTTTTAGATTTTTTTTTTTATTTCATGTAAATCTAATCTAATTCAGTGTATTTATTAAACACCAGTTCACAACAAATGTACATTTTACAGAGACACTTCAGTCTGATTACTGACATGATCGCTGAACATTATTTTAACACCAGCTGATTTCAGCCTTTTCAGGATTTTTACTTATCAAATAATTTCTTTAAACATTTTAACATTTATTTTTTCACACATCTCTATTTTTCTTTATGAATATATATATTTTTTTCAGTAAAATTTATTTTATTTAATAATTCCAAATCCACAAAGGTGTAAGAAATGTTATAAATATACATGCTGTATCAAGTTTTATGTTTAATAAGGCTTTTAAAAAATGCATTATGCAGAAATGATAAACTGTAATGCTCAATAGCAACTAAACATAACATGAACTAAAGTTCCCATAAAATGATTCTATCTATTTGGTCTTGCTTTCCAGCTCTCCAGACAGTAAATTATCATTTCCATTACTTAACGCTTTATAGGGCACTCAGTGAAATACTTTGTAAATAAAAATTTAAAGGACATAAAGAAATTCATGAAAAACACAGAAATGTTCATTTCCTGTCTGAAAAGCTCAATAAATGAAATGTCACATACAAAATGACATTAAAAGTTGTCTAAATTGTGAAACAGCCTTAAAACAAACTCTGATTTTTTTTTCTTTTCGATTTTCAACAAATTTTTTAATTGGATTTATCTGATATCTAAATTAGAATACTTTGTAAATAAAAATGTAAAGCCAATAATGTTATTGGAATCCAGGACAAGACTTTATTACCTTTTTAAACATTAATATGAATATTTTAATGGCAAAAATTAACGCCAACTTGCCTGAGTATATTAGGAAAAATAACAAAAGTGCTTTTTTCATAAAGAAATTCATGAAAAACACATGGAAATGTTCATTTCCTGTCTGAAAAGCTCACTAAATGAAAGGTCACATACAAAATGACATTAAAAGTTGTCAAAGTTGTGAAACGGCCTCTTCTAAGAATTAGCCTATCCATGTGCCGCCCTCTAGTGGTTGGATTAATATCTAGAACAACGTTTTTTTACATTTTGAATTAATGTTTTGTGTCTTAATTTTAAAACAAACTCTGATTTTTTTTCTTTTCGAATTACATCACATTTTTTTTATTGGATTTATCTGATATCTAAATTAGAATACTTTTTAAATAAAAATTTAAAGCCAATAATGTTATTGGAATCCAGCCAAGACTTTATTACCTTTTAAACATTAATATTAATATTTTAATGGCAAAAATTAACGCCAACTTGCCTAAGTATATTTGGAAAAATAACAAAAGTGCTTTTTTAAAAAAGAAATTCATGAAAAACACATAGAAATGTTCATTTCCTGTCTGAAAAACTCACTAAATGAAATTTCGTATACAAAATGGCAATAAAAGTTGTCTAAGTTGTGAAACAGCCTCTTCTAAGAATTAGCCTATCCATGTGCTGCCCTCTAGTGGTTGGATTAATATCTACAACAACGTTTTTTACATTTTGAATTTAAGTTTTATGTCTAAATTTGAAAACAAACTCTGATTTTTTTTTCTTTTCGATTTTCAACAAATTTTTTTAATTGGATTTATCTGATATCTAAATTAGAATACTTTGTAAATAAAATAAATTTTTAATTTTGAATTTAAGTTTTTTTTTCGATTTTCATCACATTTTTTTTATTCGATTTATCTGATATCTAAATTAGAAATTGGTGAAAGTTTCCCCTAAAGTTGACACTTTCTGATTACAGCATCTTTATAAAGATCAGGTTAACCCTTTATAGGGCACTCAGTGAAATACTTTGAAAATCAAAATTTAAAGCCAATAGGTTATTGGAATTTACATTTACAAAAGTAAATGTCCGTGTAATAACAGGAAACACCAACTTGCCCGAAAATATTAAGAAAAATAACAAAAGTGCTTCTATAAGAAATTCATGAAAAACACTCTGAGAGTGAAAGAAATACTTTTTTTTTGTGGTACAACATAACCTTAGAGGCATTAATGCCGATACTGGCACTTCCATTTTTAAGTTATTAAACCTGAATAAAACTGTTAGCTTAGTGCTGATAAAACTTTAAATATTCTGATACCATACTGGCTGATACTCATAACAACCCGATACGATATCAGCACAAATACTTATATTTTGTTGTGTGAAATGTTGGAAAAACCTCAATCAAGTGAAATTACTGAACCTGAGAACAACTGAGCCTGTTGGTCAACGAGTTACATCAAGTTCAAACAGAAGCAACGTTTTTCTATCAACTTTTATACGCAGGGCAATCATTTCAGATTCACCTTTTTGTTTGACTAAATGGTTTCTGACTCCAACATCAGATCGGGGAATCCCTAGTTGGGAGGTGGAGCTTTAACACATTATATTTTTTTATATTTCACATTCAATTATAGAAAGTCTGCTTTTTTTGTGATTTGGTTGAACTGACCCTTTATCCACCATCCAGGCTAAAGAAATAGGTTTTTTTTTTTGTTTATTTTATGTTTATTTTGCAGCATTCTCCATTGTTTTCCAAGTCGTAGGTGTATTTCTTGGACAAATTTAGTATCTGGAGGGAGGGGGGCTTTAACGTTGTTGCTCTGCGTCCTTGTTGTGGTTGCCGCTGCTGTTGCATGTCGGTGTTTGCATGGTCAGATGTGGGATTTTCTGCTTGTGTTGTGAGTTTTCTGTGCATGCTGTTCCTTCCTCTGGAGCAGCCCATTTAGACAAGCCATATTGCTTCAAGTTAGTGTCCAGACAGTTTTCAGCATTAATGATCTCATATTGCTTGAATTGATGTCAGTGATTGCTGTTGTAACGATTTCCCTGTCTGCATGTGTGCCTCATGGCGTGTCGTGTGTGTCTGTCTGTGGATCTGCCAACAATCAGCTGCAAGACGAGGAGCGGCGGCGTAAGCAGCAGCTGGAGGAGATCCGGAAGAGGGAGGCCGAGGAGCGAGCGAAGCAGGAGGAAGAGAGGAGGTGGAGGGAGGAGGAGAGAGTCAAACGAGAGGCGGGGGAGAAGGTCAGTTTCTTTCTGAGAAAATGTTAAAGACCAGATTAAAGCTTTGCCTAACTTTAAATAAAGAGGAGAACATCTTCTGGGATAAGACTGTTGGTTTGCTGCTGCAGATTAGAGTTTATTCTTTATTTTTTAGATTAATTACATCTTGTTTTAATCTAATGACAGGATTAGGATTTAACAGTATTGGTCCAACTCTTGGATTTTCAGTCACTGTCGCATTAAATCAATTTTGTATTTCCGTATAGTTGAGCCGTCATTAATGCGACTCAATTTTTGCTTCTTTTTAAGGTCCATTTACTCTGTTTTTTTCAGCATTTTATACAATAAATTGATTTTTGATATTATTTAGAATCTCTGTTGCATTAAGTGCACAGAAAAAATATATATATCAACCTTAAGATATTCTATGTAAGATGGTTTGCCTTATGCTCAAACATGTTGCATTCCTTTGAGTTTTTGAATAACCAGTGGTTTGGTCTCTCATGCTTTCATCCACATTGTTTTCTTTAAGACAGAATCCTCCATGTTTGTTGTTTCATAATATGATCACGCTGGTGCATTGTCCTGTGAGCTGCAGGCCGCTGGTTATTGAAAACCATCCATCAACATCTGGAAGCAAATGTTTTTAGTTCTTTCTGTTAGAACAGTTAGTAAATTTCTTTTTGTTGCTGCGACTGTATTTTAATGCTGTTTTTACTCATTTTAAAGTTGTCCAGTTGCATGTTGTCATCCTGATCCCCCCCCCCACCCTCTGTGATGTCTTGCTGTCATGGTCTGTGCTCCCACCCACCAGAAAGCATGAGTTTTCTCATCATGTAGAGGTCAGGGAGGTTTTCTTAGCCGGGAAGCTTTTAGGAGTTTTAATTTTGAGGTTTGGATTCATTTATTTTTTTTCCACATTCCTTCCAGCATCTAAAGGTGTGTTTAGGGAATGCTGCCCACTCCAACCAGCCTCCCCATCCCCACAAACCATATGCTTTACATTCACTCCACACACCCTCATCCATGCCATACATGTTCATAGACCCAGCCAGTCACTCATTCAGAGCCCACACGCACCCACTAATCCCTCCCAGTTTCTTCAGATCCCCTTTGGGCTGATTGAACTCTCCGAGCAGCTCCGGCTCGACCCTCACCACATGAGACGGAAGAAATATGAGGAGATAATCTCACATCAGAAGCCCGGCGGTTGACCCCAGAACAGCTGGTTGAGCTCCAGAACCTGAAACCCAAATCTCTTCCTCACCAGCGTAGCTTTTCTCCCTGAGGTCTAGATGCTAGGAGGCAGAGTGGGCTGGACACTGGAGGATGTTCCCACAGAAACCACTTAATGTAAACTCAGGCCACACAGGAATCCATTACAGAGATCCAAAAGACACAGAGGGCTGGCACTAGGCGGTGATGGAGGTGTAGAGGAGGAGAAGCTGGATGGTCGGCGAGACGTTAGATCTGGGTTTTTAGGAATCTGCAGTCGGAATAGTTTATTTAAACCTTTTTTTTTTTTTAATCAGATTTCTGGATTCTTAGAAATATTAGAAAGTGCTTTCCACACATTTCTAGATCAAAGGTCAGGGGCTTGGTTGGGGAATTTTCCTTAAATGTATTTAGGTTTAAGAGCTGAAAATAAAAAGTGCAGAAAGGCGTTAAATCTTTTAATCAAAGGGTTTTGTTATAAAACTGATTTAACATTTGAATTCTTGTTTTCTTTTTCAAAGACAACTATTAAGTATTTTAAAATATGTTTGAAATGTATATAAAAGTTGTAATACATCATATAATCTATCTTAGAAATTATTTTTATTTGATCATTTAGATTATTTATGTCTTTGGAGCCATTAAGAAAACTAATGTAGATATAAAAGAAGTAAAAAAATAAATAAATAAAAAGAGCTGAATTCTATATTTAGCAGATTAAGTTCAGAAAATTGGTTTAAAAACACTTTAATCGTTTAAAAATAAAAATATATTTATTGTTTATGCCGTAGTATTAGACATTTTACTACATAAAAAAATTGTCTAAAACTGCTTCAGCTAAATTTATGATATTGTATTACCACATTGAATCCCCTGAAATATATTTTAATTTCCTATTAATATTAAAAATGTACAAATTAAATGTTTTGCGTTTCATTTGAGTCTTATAAGATGCTATTTAACAACAAATGCCAGGTGTAGGCCATTTACAACAAGAGCAGGACAAAGGCTACGTTCACACCGCAGCCTGAAGTCATCCAAATCCATTTTTTTTTATTTTCCCCATATGCACCTGAATCTGATCTTTTCATGACAGTCTGATCAACACAGATCCGATTTTTTTCCAATGCGACCCAGACCGCTTGGCTATGTGGTCCTGCATCCGATACGAATCTGATCTTTTCAAATGCGACCCGTCTCTGAACAGCCAGGTCACATGCAACGGACCTGAACGTCATTAATACCCGACAGTGGTCACTCTTCTGCTTCTTGTTACGCAGAAGTTGCAAGAAAAACTACAACCATGGTGGACGATGATGCGGAGAGTAGTATTTAAGTTTAACCATCTTGGAAAGATTGAGTTTTAAAGGTTTGTAAAGATAGATCCGCTCCAGCACTACCATCCGTGTTTACTTCCGTAAACACGAAGCACGCTGGCTTGTGACGTCACTGCTTCCTCTTCTGCGCATGCAGGACACTTAGGTTGTATGAATGCAAGTCGCATATATTATATAAATGTAAACATCAAAAAAATCGTATTTCACAAAAGAATCGTAATTGAGCATCAAGGCCTGCAGTGTGAACGTAGCCTAAGATTCTGATACAGACCTAATTTAACAAGAATTAATGCAATTCAATTTTTAATAGTCAAGATTTAAATATGAAGTTCTGTACAGTGGAAGTTAGATTTTATTTATTACATTAGATTGTTTTGATCATTTGAAGCTTTACAGAAGGATATCTGTAGTTGTTGAGCAAGTATGCAATGACCAACCATCAAACCGCTAAAGTATTAAAAAAGGGATTTTCAGAGAAATAATTGGATCGTGTTGGCTTCTTGGAAGAAGTTAGATCAGGTCTGCTGCAGAATACTATCAGGACTTTAGAGGAGAAACAGCTAATCAGAAACATTTCCGAAGTGAGGCCCTTTGCTTTGGGCCCTCAGCTCTCTGATGTTTCCAGAGGTGACTCAGGGTAGGGTCAGTTAGTACCTGAAGGGTGGGTGGTTCAGTTTATAGTAGAAGCAGCTTGTTGATTAGTTAACCAGCTGTGTTTCTAGCTAACTAGACTGTTAGTACCCAGTGTTGGTGGCAGCCAATCAGAGTGGAGCTTACTAACAGGTTGTCCCTCCCCCAGAGGAGACAGGAGGAGGAGTACTACAACCGTCTGGAGGCTGAGCGGCGGCGGCAGCACGAGGAAGCTGAGAGAAAGCTGCTGACGCCTGACGAGCCGGCCGGTCTGTATCGGCCCCCGCTGCCTCGGGATTACCAACCCCCCGCCCCCCACAACCCTACTAACAACCCCCCACCCCCACCACAGAGAAACACCTCCTACCTCAAAACACAGGTCATCTCGCCAGACACGCTCTACACAGCCAAATTCGTCCCCAATGCGGGCGATGACGAAGACGAGGACGAAGGCAAGGAAGCCAACTCGGCAGGGAGCGGCGGCTGGTCAGGTCAGGCGAAGCTGTCGGCGATCAGGAAGTCGTACGGCGACCTCCCGGCCTCCGCCGCGCCTAGTCAAGGCCGACCTCAGCCGCCGCCCACTGCACGCAAGCCCCGCCCTCTTTCTGATGGCATCTTCCTATCTGGCTCATTCCAGCCACCAGTCAACAACTCCAACAGTACAGCTCCCCCCCTTCCAGCCAAACCCAGCTCCGTCCCCCTACCAGGAACCTATAAAGGTAGAGCTGGAGAGAGGAGCGAGGAGTCAGGCTCCCCAAGGCGCCCTCTGTTACTCCCGTATCTCCCTCTCATCCACTCATCTGTCATTTCCTACCCTTCATGGTTTACCGCTCTTAGGTTTTCCTCTTCTACATGTTTGTTTAGGTTGTTTTTTTGTCAGTCCAACTTTTCATCCCTCACTTTAATTTTATCTTTTTTTTTTTTTTTCGTGGGGATCGGTCCGTCTCTCCTTCACCAATCAGATTGTTTTTGTTTTTGATCACCTTTCCTCCCAGTAATTTTCCCTCCTCATCATCCTTCTACAATCACCCCCTCTCCGAACACCGTAAAAGAAAAAAAAAGCAATGGATAATCACGCCACCTTGTTTGTCACAGACGATTGAGGCCCATCAGAGCCAATCATAGTACTGTTGGTGTTGTCGCTCGCCGCCTTCTTTCTGTTTGGTTAGTTGCTTCTTGGGAACAGGGATGGAGAAGGCACCTCCACTTCCTGCCCCTGGGCTCTGCTTAGCGGTGTTTGCTTTAAAGGGAAGGAGATTGGGCTTTTCACATCCATCTCTAACAGCAAAAAAAAAAAATCATACATGTGCATTAGCGCTCATACCAGCAGTAAAAACTCACCTTTGTCTGAGGTTATGTTAAGTTTTAAGTCTAACAATTGAGATTTGACCTAAATATATACAAACTAAAATTAGAGAACAAGATTTACAAAGCTAAAAAGGGGTTTATCTGCTAGCTTTAGCTAAACTGTTTCTAAAAACTTGTTGTTGAAACTGGCAATGCTTTCTATGCTAGCAGGAGATTAAATGCAAACATTAAAATGCAAAAGTTGCCAACTATCCTCATATCCTTAAATATCAACTTGTTTTATGCTAAATGTAGCTGTTATTAGGTCAAAAGCTAATATTTTGTTAGCGATAGCATTTGAGATAACAGCAGCTAACACTTGTTTAATGCTAAATGTAGCTGTTATTAGGTGAAAAGCTAATAATTTATGTTAGCAATAGCGTTTGAGCTAACAGCAGCTAACACTTGTTTTATGCTAAATGTAGCTGCCATTAGGTCAAAAGCTAATATTTTGTTAGCGATAGCATTTGAGATAACAGAAACAAACACATGTTTTATGCTAAATTTAGCTGTCATTGGGTAAAAAGCTAATCTTTTATGTTAGCGAGAGTATTTGAGCTAACAGCAACTAAAACTTGTTTTATGCTAAATGAAGCTGCCATTAGGTCAAAAGCTAATATTTTGTTAGCGATAGCATTTGAGATAACAGCAGCTAACACCTGTTTTATGCTAAATGTAGCTGCCATTAGGTGAAAATCTAATAATTTATGTTAGAAATAGCATTTAAGCTAACTGCAGCTAACACTTGTTTTATGCTACATGTAGCTGTCATAGGGTAAAAAGCTAATATTTTATGTTAGCGAGAGCATTTGAGTTAACATAAAATATTAGCTTTTTACCCAATGACAGCTACATTTAGCATAAAACAAGTGTTAGCTGCTGTTAGCTGAAATGCCATCGCTAACATAAACAATTAGCTTTTTACCCAATGACAGCTACATTTAGCATAAAACAAGTGTTAGCTGCTGTTAGCTTACTCTTGTTTTATGCTAAATGTAGCTGTCATTGGGTAAAAAGCCAATCGTTTATGTTAGCGATGGCATTTGAGCTAAAAGCAGCTAACACTTGTTTTATACTAAATGTACCATTAGGTCAAAAGCTAATATTTTCACATTAACTACGGTGAACACCAGTATTTTGACCTAACTTAATATGTATCTGCTAGGCTAGCAGTAGCTAATATGTTTTATGATGATAACATTTTAAAAGTTGCAGTTTCTCTGTTACATTTTACATTTTAAATTGCACTTGTTTCGAGCTATGCTGTAAAATCATGGTTCACCTTTTAGGAAATGTCTTTTAGAACAGTTTGTTTCAAAGTAACGTAGCTCAACACCAGAAGGACCTCAGACAAACGCATCTTTGACTGCAGCTCACTCCAGACTGAATCAATACCTGAGGTCCTAATTTGGTACCTGCCTGCAATCCAACCACCCCCACCCCCCCATCACACACCTGCGACCTCAGACACTTCATGTTGCACTCTCACACATCAAACACATCATCCCACTAATTCCCCCCACCCCACCCCCTCCCAGAATCAAATTTGCATGTTTCATTCTAGCATCACACACGAATCAAAGCTCAATGCTGCACGCTGGCTGCCAGCAGTTCACCTCAGGAAATGGCTTGATGTCTATTGCTTTTTACTGCCTGTGCATAGCTTCACTTTGCTGCTGTCTTCATGTTTTACATTCTTTTTTCCAGCTTGTAGTCTTTTAATATGCTCCCCTAAACTACCTATCTGCTTCAGCTCTGATGCTGCTGTCCTTCCTCTGACCTTTTGCTTGGTCTCTGCCACTGAATGCTGCAGCTTTACTAAGCATTACTACTCCCTTAGGGCTTTGCTGCAGGTTCAGATGATTTTAAAAGCACCTGAGCCTCCAGCTTTCCCTGACTGACTAAATGACAAAATGTGTTTGTTTTTTTTGTTCATGCTGGCATCTCCAGAACCTCAAATCTAAATTCAATATGTACTTCCTGTCAAAATTGCACAGATGAAGATTACAGCCATTAAAATTAAATTCAGATTAAGCAAAAATTCTATAGCAATTTTTCTTAATGGCCCAAATCCTCTGCTGTAAATTTGAGAAACAAAACAAAAAAACTGATCAGAGTTGAAAGTGTAATTCTCTCCAGCTTTACTGGGCAGAACGATGGTCTCTCTCTGGTTCCTTTTTAAGAAGGAGCCTAATAGAAATGGAGCTCAGGAGCTGCCAGCTGGATATTTGTGTTTGGATTTACCATTTGTCACTGTGTCTGTATTGAAACTGTTCCAAACGATCCCCATCGTTATTTCATTTGGGGCAGAAAACCAACATCCAGGGTTAAAATCAAATGCACAGCAGCCTCTGCAGTTATTTACAGCCCTGGTAGAGATGTGTAAAATCCTGCATGCTGGTTTGCCACGACAAATTAAAATTAATCTACTGTGATTGAAGGATTTATTTAGTTGGAAAATAAGAAAATTAATTTTGCATCATCCTATAAGTATATCCTGACCTGTTTATATATAAAACGTGTTAGTCCACTTACAAAGATAAGTATTTGTTTGTGTCATGGATACCAAAACCTTGGTGCAGATCCCAGGAAACCAATTTATCATCTTGTGTTTTTCTTAATCTTAGCATTAGCATAACATAATCCTTCATTCTTTCTTTAAAGAACTCCACAGAAGGGCTTAACATGCTGCATCCATAAAATATTTGAAACTTCTTCTGAAAGCTGTTCAACACATTTATTGAGACTCAGAAGAATATAAGGATGTGACATTAAATCTGAAAACAAAGAGGGTTTTAATGTAACTTCAGTTCGAAGCAACTAGGGTAGGGAATTGATAAGATTTTCATGATTCTGATTCTCTTATCGATTCTGCGAAACAATGAACTTGGTAAGTGCACGGTGACATTCGTCTACCTTGGCCTAGGACATCCTATTTCTGCCTGCCTTGGTGAAAATAGAAGGCCGTGAATGGGAGAAAGGCACAGTCACTTAAAAGCCAAAAAGATAGGTAGGAAACTGGTTTATTTCCAGAAATGGCATATGATTTAATATGAACCACATTAAGCACAGCCAGTGATATAAAACTAGCTACTTACCAGCAGAGTTGCCTTCCATGCTGGTCTTAACTTTAGCTTCTGTCCGGAAGCATCAAAAACACGGCATTCGTTAAAATGTATGCCATGTTGTAAACAATGCAATGATTGCAAAGCGCCTTGTCTTTTCTCTTTTTCACCTTAAAATGAAGCCAATCTTTCGATCGCTTTGACCGCTTTTGTTTTGCTTTTCTAGACTTATGCCTAAATATTAAAAAATATTAAATTTTTACGCAAGTGCGTGACTTACGTGCTGCCCAGAGTGGCTCTGGTGCTGCCTGGAATCGATAAGAGAATTGTTAAGCGAGCTGCCGAACGGTGCAATGGAATTTGAACACACGGAACCGGTGTAGGTACCAGATTGACTCGGGGGCCTGCGCCTTTTGATGACGTCACAATACATAATTGTTTTAACGTTTGCACAATTGCGCAAAACATTTTGATTGGTCTGGACAGCTTACTAAAGTAATTATAGCGGGGTGTAGGTTTTATTCGAAAGCGGGATTGCGGTTTGTAAACGGACAATTTTACGAAGAAATTCTCCATGGTCCCTGCGCCTTCCGATGACGTCACCGAATTCGCCATGGGCCTAGCGCCTCCCGATGACGTCACATTATGGCAACGCCACTCAAACAAACTACATTGAGCCCGCGGTCTGCATTTGTAACGACAATAAATTCAGGAGAATGAAGCTATAGGGATACAAAAAATAAACTTGTAATATTACAAAAACACTACAAATACAAAGTATATTCAGAGATTAAAGTCCCTCTGATACTGTTTAAGTGACTGAGAAACTGCAGATTTGCCACATTTAAGATGGCGGACGCTCATGACGTCATCAAAAGGCGCAGGCCCCCGAGTCAATCTGGTACCTACACCGGTTCTGAACAGGAACCGGTTTTCGATTCTCATCCCTACAAGCCACTGATAACAAATAAAGTTAGCCAGCGGGCGATGTGAATCATGGCGGTCTGGCTTACTGACAAAAACCATCATGGAGGATTTTTACACATTTATACCAGGAGAACCGTTTAGTGTTGACGGAGCTGCATCAGTTCTAATTAGAGTGAAATATCCAGCCATCAAAATGTCTCAGCGTTTCTCTGAAAACTTCCTGCTCTCAGTTGAAGGAGTAAAAAAAGTTTTTTAGGCTGGAAAATCCCAACATTTTCTTTTTCTGGAAAGGAAACAGTCGGCAGATTTCACTGTTTTCCATTTGTCCTAAAAAGACCAAAACCAACAATGTGGTTTTCCTCTCTCATAAAGCTTCCTGAACTGACCTTTTGTTGCAGGACTGGATGAATATCAGAAAAGGAAGGAAGTAAGGATGTTATTTCAGTGTAGTTAATGAAAGCACGCCGTGCAGAACCTTAACAAGGACGCCCAGATTCTGTGAGAACCGGCAGAGAAACTGATGGTATTAAGGGAGGCTTTCATTCGCTGAATACCAAATGCCACCTTTAGAAAAGAACAGCGTTTTAAAGAACAGCGGTTCTTTAAAGAGTTCTGAATCCTAAGAATCAGTTCATGCTGAATCATTTAGTTCATCCTGCTGCATTTTCTGTTCCTCTACAGTTTGAATAATAATTGAGCCTGAACTCTGTCACTCTTAGGTTATTTATTAGAATTTAATTTCTTTTTTCTTTTTCTTTTTACTGTGAAACACTAAAGTTCAGATGGACCTTTCAGGCTTTCTGCTTACCTTTTTTAAAAGGTCTGGAAACAGGAAGTTGGTCGGCTCAGATTGCAGAAGGAAAACAAATGCAACTTAATACAACTTATACAAAAGTTGAAAAAGATCTAATTCCAGATTACATCAGGAAGAAAATATATTAGATGAATTACGGTTTTTTCTTACTTAGATAAGCCCAGTACCGTTTGTTTACGCTTCCAGTGGTTGGTGAACCACTCCTCAGCCGCAGTTCTCCGTGAGGCCAGTAGGTGGCGAACCAGAACCTCAGCTGAAGTGATTCACCAACCAGGACTGTGCAGGAAGTGGTGCTGTCGCTCCCATTGCGCCGATCAGGCTGGGATCACTTTATGCTCACCTAACTCTATTAAGCTAACCAGGCAGAAGTGTGGGTGAGTTTCAATAAGTTTTTTTTTTTTTTTGGCAGAATAAATCAAGAATGACAGCAGTAGTCAAAGACAGGGTTCTTTTACTCTGTAGCAGAGGGGTGATCAGGTAGTTTCCTCTGCAGCGCTGAAGGACCTGATTGTTGTTCAGGGAAACATTGCAGAATAGGACTGGATCCTGCTCCAAGCTATTAATCAGCTCAGACTCCTCTTAAAATTTAAACATCCCAAGTCTTGTTGGACAAGCTGGAGATAAAGATGTGAATTTAAGTGTTGTTTTTAAGGAAGTCCTCTTAGATAATCTGAGTTTTATTCCACATGGTTCCTCATTAATAGTTGGTTTTGGTGTTTTTGGATGGTCAGAAGCTCCCTGAGCTTTAGGAGCTGCCGTTCCTCTGCTTTATGAATTTTTATGGTTTAAACCTCGTTGCCGAGGTGATGGTATCTCCGGTGTTTTAGAGTGACACAGAGACACATGGTTCAAGGTCAGGGTCACACTCTGAGTCTGTGAGTGGCTTCATTAAAAGCCCAGTTTACCCAGGATTCAGTTCTCCACTGCCTCCATAACAGACTTTTAGACCCTGACCTCGGATCCCGACCGTACGCTTCCACAGACCGTTTTCCTGCTTTGGAACGGCCCTCTAACAGCTCCCCTTTCTGCCGTAGCCTAACCAGGTCTGAACATTCCTGCCTTTAACGCTTCTCCTCTCCACTGCTCCTCTTTCTGCTCTGACCGGTCTGTGGAAAAGAACGGGATGTTTGGAGAAGCTGCTGGGTCTCCGCTCAGAGTCTCTGCTCCATTAAATAATTGACCATCGATTTAAAAAAGAAAGTGTTGGTCAGAGACGCGCTGAGAATCGCCCAGCAGCCTCCACCTCAGATACCTGCAGTTTGTCCCAGTCTGCCCACCATTGATACTGACTCATGTTTGTCTGCTGTGTGGCTCCTGAACCTGAACAGGGTTTAACTCGCACACTGGAAACTCGACAGGAGTTGTAGGATCAGGAGAGGTGTTCAAGGACCCGAGGGATAAATGGGCGAAGAGGTGAGCATAATCCTTCAATGCTTGATTTAAATTTGAATCACATCTTCATTTATTTCACAGACTCTGCATCATCCTGACGACACCAAACCAGAAATACTGCTTATTAATGCTCTGAACTTCCATATCAATGTTTTATTCTCCCACACTGTTTACATTTAATCACTGCTGCACTTTATGGAATAGAAATGATCATTTCCTGTCTGAAAAGCTTACTAAACGAAATTTCGTATACAAACTGACAAAAGAAGTTGTCTAAGTGTTAAATGGCCTCTTCTAAAGGGCAGATTATACCTCTGCAACCGCACACATCAAACGTCGCTTGGGTCTGGTCGAGAACCAGTTTTGCTGGTATGCTTCTGCACCGTCGGGCTGGAATTTCTAGGGACGCACAGCAGCTTCCCATCAAAGCGCAAGGAGGAGCCTATTTAAACTTGCGAGAACTTCGGCGGATTGTACTTCCGAACTAGCCTGACGTAGTCCGACTCAATTCTAGTCAGAATATGAGTCTGATACTGCTCCATAGAGCTGTGATTATGGGGCGTGTTTTGAACGAACCAGGAAAAAAAATGCCTCTGCACTCAATTGGATAGACCTACAACCAATAAGAGAAACGGAGTGCGTGACGTATGTTAAGCGAGGCATAGTTGTTGTCAACAAAAATCAAAGCGTGCAGTTTCACGCCTAGAATAAGAAGATGAGCCTTGATCGCGTTTCTCTGTTCCTCTTTTAAAATTAATTTGCTGTCGATATCTTCTAGAACAGACCTAATAGCAGAATCTACACACCTCAACTCTCCAGCGGCAGCCATTGTTGTTGTCACCCAAGCGCGCTTTGGGGATGTGGTTGATTAGGTTACTGTTGATCATCTGTCCATCATCGTACAAAGCCCGCCCTGACAATTTGATTGGCCCGACCAGATATTGTGCTAGCATACTTGGGCTACTATTGAGCAATGCGTCTCTTTGCGACCGTCCGACGTGTAGTCAGGATTTTTTTACAGGGACAGATTTGACGGTTGCAGAGGCATAAATTGGCCTTAAGAATTAGCCTATCCATGTGCTGCCCTCTAGAGATTGGATTGATATTTACAGCAACATTTTTTGAATTTAAGTTTTGGGTCTAATTTAAGAAATTTTTTTTCTTTTTGATTTTTATCAAATGTTTTTTTTTTTATTTATCTGATATCTAAATGAAAAAGAGGTGAAAATTTGCCCTAAAGTTGACACTTTCTGATTACAGCATCTTTATAAAGATCAGGTTAACCCTTTATACGGCCCTCAGTGAAATACTTTGAAAATCAAAATTTCAAGCTAATAGTGTTACTGGAATCCAGGACAAGACTTTATTAACTTGGTAACATTCAAAAAATAACGATATTATTATCGCAAGAGTAAATGTCAATGTAATAACAGGAAACGCCAAGTTGCCTGAAAATATTAAGAACAATAACAAAAGTGCTTCTATAAGAAATTAATCAAAAACACTCAGAGTGAAAAAAAACACTTTTGTTGGTCCAACAGAACCTTAGAGGCATTAATGCTGATACTGGGACTTACATTTTTTAGTTTTTAAACCTAAAAATAATTGTTAACTAGGCTTATTAACTTTTAATTTTACTTTTTAACTTTTCAATTAGCTTTTTCACTTTTTTCTTGACTTGTTAACTTTTTTTCCAATCTAATTTCCAGTAGGTAATATATAATTCAAGGTTTCATCTAATTGGTCAAATGTCAAAATAAGATGTACAGCCATGTAGCAGCATCTTTGCTGAATGGCTGGATATAGATCTAGTTCTTCTAGACCTCACTGAGGGACGGGGGGGCGGACTATTTGTAAGGTGCAAGTGATCAAAAACGTTAACTTGCCCTATAAAGGGTTAAAGTAGCAGGTGTGACAGTCTGATAACATAAATAATAAAAAAAAAAAGGTGAAGAGAGAAATGAGCAGTTCTATAAATCTGGTTTCTGTTGGATGAGTTCTTGGTGGAACCTTGGAGCGTCTCGGCGTAACGCGTTATTTTTTGTGTGTGTGTGTTTTATTAATTTTATTTATTTATTAATCTTTACTTTCATTTAAAAATAGATTTACAGGTTTTGAATATAAACTGATCATTTCTTTAGAACATGTGTGTAAATATTTAACTGTCCAATCTGGAAACATGATTTTTTTTAAACTTTAAAATCAGTTATCTTAAAAATAACCTTTAAAACGGTTGTAAAATGCTAACAGTTTTTTAGCTGATAAAAATATATACAGTAAATGTTTCACTTCAAGTATGTTAAAAAGCAAAACTGAGCATCTGTAATGTTAGCTTTTTAAATAAAAATTTTAAAGATGTTGCCTTTATTTGAAACATTTAAATTAAACGTTTTGCGTTTAGTTTCCCTTTATAATAAACTGCATGCATTTTGGTGGAAACATATTGGAACTAAAGTCAACAAATTAACATAAATAAAAAGGTCATTTTTGTTAATAAAAAAAAAAGGTGAAGGGAGAAATGAGCAGTTCTTTAAATCTGGTTTCTGAGTTCTTGTTGGAACCTTGGAGCGTCTCGGCGTAACGCGTTATTTTTTTGCGTGTGTTTTCAGTCAGGAACAGGAGAACTCGATCCCCAGCGACGCTCCGGAGAGTCTGACCTTCAAGGAGCGCCAGCGCCTCTTCTCTCAGGGGAAGGAGGTTTCCAACAAGGTCAAAGCTTCCCGCAAACTGATGGAGCTGGAGAACGAGCTCAACACCAAGCAGTAGGCCGAGCCCTCCGCCTCCCAGCGCCACCTTAAAACCCAGGGTTAAGGTGGTCCTGGGAAACGTCCACTCACCTTATTAACACTGACGGCCTCCTCCTGGTTCTGTTTCTTTTTTATTTTATTTTGACACTCAGATTTCCAGAGCGATTAATTTTTTTCTGTTGTTCTGTTGGAACGGATTCCCTCCGCTTGTCCCAGTCTGTTAAATAATGATGAAGCACTGTAAAAAAGTTAATTCTATCTAATTAGAGAGGTGCAGCAGAGGGGGATATATTTTTGTTTGTAAAATGGTTCTTTGGGGGAGGGGCTTAGAAAGACTTACTCTTGTTTAATTTTTTTTAAATAGCTTTCTCAAATATGAACAATTTTATGATATTTTAAGCTTTTTTTTCTCAGCATCATGATTTCACTTTCAGTTTCTTCTTGCCAGCAGAGAGAAAAAAAACTTATTTTATTGTTAATTTTATCCTTTTTTTAAAATTTTATTTTAAAGATTAAATTCTCGATGAGAGAAAACACTGTTATTTCATTCCGTAGTGAAAAGGAGCGGGATTTCTTTTATTTCTGAGGTCTTCGATGATCCAGAGGAGGATGAGGAAGGCTTTTCTGTAAGTGCACAACTGAACTGTAAATACTCCGGTCCACAACTGTCTCTTTTTACTAATGTAGAAACCTTCCAGGAAACTAAAGAAAACCGGAAAACTTCCGTGATTTAACGTTTATTTTCATGGAACCCAACAGATCACTACTTTTCATTTTAAGTGTCTCCCAAACCAACCGATGTTAAGTTTTAGGTTCTTTTAAAGATAGTTTTTTGCAGTTGTGTGAAATTATTTTTGACTGATTGTTTCCCTAAATTCAAAGGAGAAAAACAAAAGTTTTCATTCAAAATGTGATTCAATGTTGGTTTTCACAATATCAATAAAGGACGAAGCGCTTGTCTTTAAATGCTTGTTTGCTTTACAGGTATTTATTTCAAACCTGGTTGGAAAACGGAGAATAATCCGGCAGATATTGTGGTCTTTGTGGATTATATTAGGGACCTCTTAACTGTGGTAATCTCCTTTCACAGAAACCAGACGGTTTCACAAAGCGAACAGTTTTCCAAAGTCTCGACTCTTTCCAGCCGCGGTTTAATCTGAGCGACTCCATCCGGTGTTTAAACCGATCGTTTTCTTTCTTTGTGATTTGAACCGACTGGAGACTTGATTCTACGTGACGATTGAAATGCTGATGGGAGCCGACCAGTAGAATCACTACGAGCATTTCCTCCTCCACTTCTCCTTCTAGGATTAAAATGAACTGAGTCATTTAAATGGTTTCATGCCTAGCCTTTTGTAAATCATTAATAAATATCGATTTTTCAACAATTGGGGCTGATGCTGTTTCCTTTTTTTAATCCGTTAATTAAAAATGTTATGTATAAAAGTGCTTTTTAGTCATTTTGGATCCTTTTTTGGTCAAATAGAGTAGAGCACTTTAATATATTACAAGAGATGAAAACACAAAAATCACCTCAGATGTCAATTTTTTTTTTTAACAATTAAATAGTTGCCAAAATAACATTTCATTTAGTAGCTAGTTTATATATAAAGTGATTCTTTCAACTTGTGGTAAACTTGTTGATACTTTTATTACTTTAAAACTTTTTACTTGCAAAATTTAACTGAAATTGGTTATTTGCATTTGCTTTTATTTCTAAATGTTTTTATTAATCTTTGCTTTCATTTCAAAATAGATTTACAGGTTTTGAATATAAACTGATCATTTCTTTAGACCATGTGTGTAAATATTTAACTATCCAATCTGGGAACATGATTGTTCTTCAACTTTTTTAAACCTTAAAATCAATTATCTTAAAAAAAAAAAACCTTTAAAATGGTGGTAAAATGCTAACAGTTATTTAGCTGATAAATATATATAGTAAATTTTTCACTTAAAGTATTTTAAAAAGCAAAACTGAGCATCTGTAATGTTAGCTTTTAAATTGAAATTACAAAGATATTACTTTTATTTGAAACTTTATTAAACGTTTTGCATTTAGTTTCCCTTTATAATAAACTGCGTACATTTTGGTGGAAAAAGTATTAGAACTAAAGTCAACAAGATAACATAAATAAAAAAAGGTAATTTATTTATATATATATAAAAAAAGAACCACAACTAAAAAAAACTATTTCAGTAAATTATTTTGTTGCAAATGCACACTTATGGAGTGACTTTTCTGCAAAAACGTTGCATACAAAAAAGCATGTTGCACAGTGTGTTTCACACAAACAAATCTTATCATTCACAAATAAGCACGTTGCACTCGAATCTTATTGTTCACAAATAAAACTTGTGTTACAAACTCTCGCACAAACGTCGCACTAAAATATAATTTAGAATTTTTCCCTCAGTACAAACTGATTTCTGCTCGCAAACGAGACAATTCTACGCACTCCGCGGCAAGTTTCTGCCAAAGTCACGATAAATGAAGAATTGTTATTCTGACAAACTGACAGCAGGAGGCGCCATCCAATCAAAACAATTGTAACGTTCTGGTGTGGAGGTAGTTTTTGTATCCCCTCGCTTTGAGTGCGCAGAGTAGACAGAGCTGATCGAGTTCATTTCCAACCTACTAAATGTGAATCTTTAGATATTTATGAAAGATGAGCGCTGTTATTTTATCGGCACTTTCATATATACCAGAATATCACCAGTGATTTTGATTTTAAAAAGAAAACGGGAAGCTGACAGCAGTGTCTACTCCTTTCTCTGAAAGCTCACAGCTCATCGTTTCAACGCGTTCCTTAAAAAAAAATCTAATTTGTCCAACATGATTTTTTGGTATGCAGTTTTTGGCAGAAAATTCACTCCATACACACTGACTTTCATCTTTGCTTCGGCTGAGACTATAATAACCCAGTTAATGATGCAGTTATCTTATGGTGATAAATGTATCAAACTGTATTGTCATAAAGACATTTCTCTTGTAAACACAGACTCTGTCTCTAATTAAAAGGTAAATGCTTGATTTCAGCTGAGTTCACAAACCAGAGGAGCTTCGATTGGCTCTAATTTTTATCATCCCCCCCTCAGGGTGATGCTGGGGAGCATTCAGCCCTGCAAGGCACAAGTCTGTGATCATGATGTAAGTCCACTTTAACCATCCACGTGAGTACTGGGTGGAGAAGCTGTCTGCTGATGTGGGTGGAAATAAAGCTGCAGCTCCTCTTTGCTCCATCTTAAAGGTATAATAGACGATTTATGCAAAGTTTTTAAAGAGACCCACCCTCTCCACTTTAAAAAAAAAAATGCACATGCAATACCCTGTACCTGCTCCTATAAGAAAATGCCAATTAAACACGTGCGAGAGCGTGCACAAGCCCATTTCTCCTTGTTCATGCTCTGTTTAAGTTGCTGTTTGCATCGCTCATACAAGCTCACTTTCTAAAAGAAGATTTGTAATTTTTCCACTATGTCAGACTCACCAGTAAGTGAAAATTAGGGCGAGCACGTAGGACGGCCTTACGTAAACATATCACAATGATTGACAATTAGGAGGAGCACTTATTTCTATGATCCACCCGGAAAAGGAACATCTATACTTTTAATGAAGGCTTTTATTATCGTTCTATAGTTTTCAGCTGGAATGAGGTCTGCACATAAACAAGGCGGCTGATCAGATGCTGCAGAAAATAAAATGACTTGTGAAATAAAACTGCCTTTGCAAAATGATATCAGATTTTTAAATGAATGGAAGAACAAACAGGATGAAGTGTAGAACGACAAGCTGTAGCGAAAAAGGGATCACCTGGCCTTCTATGACATATTTCTATAAAACCTGTAAATAAGTTGATCTTTGATTGTAGTTTATCTGAGTTATGCCGCACTGTGTGCGACACCGGATTTTGCTTTTGAAAACAATTATTATCAAAGGAATATAAAACTGAAAGCAAGTCCTGGCTGCACATTTGGGAATAGTGACAAACATCCCATAGACAAGTTTTGGCGGGGGTTGTTGCTCATCCAAGAGCAGCAGCTGCTGTTTATTGACAAAGATATAATTATTGGTCACCTTTTAAGGTGATATTTGTACTAAAAACTGTCAGCCCAAGCTTCTGGATTTTGAATCTGCACAAACATCTGACGCCAAATTCCTGCCCCGGCTGCATCATTGGACATTCCTCAGTTTAAAAACAGTCATGTTGTTGCAGAAGCTTGAAATGTAGACTAATAAATGAACCGAAAACGACCCATGCTGTTACACCCAGTACCAAATGAGCTGTAAATGTTAAATAGAAACATACTCCGTTACAGCTGTGGCTGTCTGGGGGGCCGGCCTGTTGCTGCAGGTTATGACCTCACGGTGGCGAAGCTCCTCAGCTGTGACATCCTGACGCTATCTGGATGGTCTTTTGATTCCTTATGTGGAGATGATTTTAAATATGAACAGTAATAAAAAAAAAGGAGCCGCTGTGTTCAGCACCTTGGTCAGTTCTTCATAGATGTAGTTGGTTGAAGTGGCCACTAAAAAAAAAAAAGAATCTGCTTTCAAACGTAGAGCGAAGGTCACGTATGATCTACGCTACTCTGTCTTTATGTTGAACATTTTTAAATCGGTTTAGATCAAATTTACACATTTTTAATGAAAAAACTAATGAAATTAGTTCTAAGCTCCTAGAAGGTTAGATTGGACTTTGAGGCCTTCATGTTATACTGCTCAGTAAAACACAACTTGATTCTCTTTCATCAACTGATACGTCTTGACACTTGATTTACAAACTTTTTTTTTTCTACAGTTGCTTTTGAAACAACTTTTAGTGACAAAAAAGATTGATGGATAACTGCTTCAACCCCTTAAGTGATTAGTACAGTAAGTGATTCACATTAGTAAGTGAACAAGGAAATGTGAACTGCTTTAGGAAACCTTAATTTCTGTCCCTCCTACGTTTTACTGGAGACATTTTGTGAAAACATTGACATTACAACCAATATTCTTTAACAGTAAAGTCAAAGAGATCTGCTTTAAATTGATACACAGGTTATATCCTGCGAAACAAAACTTAATTTTAAACTGGCTTAAAAGCCAGTTAACCTCAGTGACAGTGTGCATTTATTAATAGATAACAGAAGGAAAGAAAAATGCCAGGAAGGTGAAGCCAATGAAGTCTAAAACACACCGCCACCATGTTGCACAATCACTTTGGTGAAAATGGTGGCTATGTCATGTAGCAAACGGAATAACACCAGTTTAAGTGTTTAAAAGTTACCTTATACGAACTCTAATCTCACGACGAGTTTTCAGAAACGTGCTGATAGTTATGGCTTTAAAGCTACAGTGTGTAATAATTACAGGGATATACAGTCAGAAATGTAATATATTATACATAACTATGTTATTTATCATCATCTACGAGCTCAGCCTCTTAACCTTAATATTTGCGTTGCCTTAGAATTCGTTATTTATAATTACATAGGAGCGGGTCTCGCAGCCATGGAGGCAGACATCTTTGCGCTACGGCAGCGCAGAGCCAACAAACTAGCGATTGCGAGATCGCCAAAACGTCACAACGATGTAGAAAAAATAACGGGTATATTTATTATCTTAAGTCTACATGAAATCTATACCCTACACAGACTAATGAAATACTATCTGTAAAATTATCTATGTAAACAAACCTCATCACTTGAGAAGGTAGGTGATGCGGACGTCGTGGAAGACATTTTGTCCCGTAACGCTCGCCGTACTGTTGGGGGGGAGAAGTTCATGTTGCTGCAGTCTGACCGCTAGATGTCGCTAAAGGTTACACACTGTAGCTTTAAAAATACTTTTTTTTTCTTCACACGACTTAAATGTTTTAAAGACAAACAGATCTCGATCAACAGAGACTCCTGACTTGTTCCTACGAAAAGTTTGGAGCAACATTAACCTTTTCAACATTCCTGAAAGACGCCTGGCTTTTCATTTCAACACCTTTAAACTGTCCCCTGAGATTCTTCTGTAGCTTCGCAGTCTCCTCTGGAGGCGATGGATCAAATCCCACTTCCAACAGCGTTTAGTTTTTGCCAAATAAGCTTTTTATTTATTGTAGATTTTTTTGATATCTGCACATAAATGCAACAATAGTGAATTATATCATTTAGTTTTAAAACGAAAAAATAATATTAATGTCTAATTAAATATAATTGATTTAAAATACACATTTCAATATATATTTAAAATAAGATGGTAACGCTTTACAGTACATCAATAACCACATAATAATATAGCAAGTCACACTATATTACTACGGAACAAGAATAACTTTATGGTTAATTACACCAAAATTTTGGTATGTAATTTCAAAGTAATTACCTGCATGTAATTATTACAATTTTATGTTACTTTGTAACAATGGAGACTTTTGGTGGGTAATTACCATTAGGTTACAACATAAGTTTCTATTATTGGCCACCACCTACCAACAGCTTACAAAGTAAATTGTAACTTATGATCAGGTAAATAAAGAATTATAAAACTAGTGTTGCACTGATGTCATTTTTTGGTCCTGATACCATACTTATACCATCTGTTTGATGTTGATGTGTGCGCATATATATTAATTACTTATTACTGCATACTACTTGGATGTAAAATAGTTGCCATCGTGGCTTCTTCAAGCTGCTGCCTACCTTTGGGAAGCAGGAAAAAGACTAAAACAAAGTGAATCCAGTAGCAGGGTTTATACAGGAAAGAGTTACTCTAATTTAATAGCTTTTTAATGTTCTGAGAAATAATTTTAACCCCATCAACAAGTACCCATGACTCTCAGCACAGGTAAAAATCAGCAAAATCCTTCATCTTTACCATCGACAGGCTGCAGACATGTCCTGAATTCCTCCAGCATATTTGCTGAACTTTTATTTTTTTGAAGCTTTTTCTCCGCCTCGAGGTTCTTTTCCTAACATACGGCTTTACAATCAACTGGAAGCCGTTCTTTAGAAACACACGGAACCAGTTATATCTGATATATTGGACGGAATTGTCTTTTATTTTTAAATAAAGCATTTTAAATGCCACAATAATCACATTTCAATAATTTTAATTTAAAGTAATTAAGGCCTCGATTGAAAAAAAATAATTTAATGACTTTTAATGACCCGTGGAAACCCGGAGTAGAACTTTTTATTGCCTACCTAGAATAGGTGACAATAGTTGAATAAACTTTTGGATCTCAAAATGGCATCAGAGCCCTATTTGTTGGTACTCGCCGATACCGATAAAACCATTTTAGTGCTGGATCAGGGCCCTGCCAGATACTGGTATCGATATAACATTATAAAACTGAAGTTACATAAAATTAAGTTAAAAGGCTTGGCTTGTTGTCTTCTAGTTTTGGTTTTCTGTTATATATCTAGTAATAAACAGCATTTTACTAGATAATAACACGTTAATTTATTGAAGTCAGTGAAATGACTGACTCACCTGGAAACTGTTTGAAATCTAAGAAGTTTGACTTTACCTTGTTTACATAAAATTTGAAGCACAGCAATTACCAAATTTCTCCTTGATGTTTTTCTTATGTAGTAATATAGCGTACCATGCTATGTTATTACCATGTTATTGTAATGTAAAAGAAAGCGTTACTCTTTTATTTTGGAAGTTAGGACCTAAAATGTGGCCTGGTCAGGCCATACAGCAGACATATAAACCTTACTCAACAGCACCACCAAGTGGAGGAAATAAAGTTTAATGAAGGCAGGCAACAAAAAGCACAAACATTAACAAAATGATTCTTGATGTCTGGTTTTTCCAAAATAAACAAAGATTATCCTTCTAAAAAAAAAAATATATATATATATATATAGCATTTAAAGAGGATTTAACATCAAATGTAATTCTTCATGTAATCCTTTCCGAACAAACGCACTTCAATTAATCTTAAGGAATAAAAGCCATCTTAGAAAATCAAACAAAAACAGAAACAAAAATGTAAACAAAGTGGAAGTTGAAGAACTGCTGCAGAAAACGGTTGAAGAAACTTCACATCAGGAAACCTGCAGAAGAAAAGAATTTAAAGGTCACCATAGGTAGTATTAACATGTATTACTAATGGTAACTAGTTATAGCTATTAGTTACTTCTCCCAAAGAGTGATTATATTAGTAATTTACTTAGTGAACTATAAAATAAGATATCAAATTAACAAAATATTAATACATGAAATTAAATATCTAGAAAAATGTGACTCAGGATGTGAATCGATTGACAGTTATACATGAAGTTAAATGTTTATTATAGAAAAATAAAACAAAATCGATATTTATGCATATTAAGGATTAATTTCTACAGGATCAATGCAAAATATTTCAGCCATCTGACCAGAAACCTCACATTCACATCTAAGGATGCACGATATATCGGCATTACTATCCGCGTCGGCCGATGTTGGTCAGTTTTTAGGAATTTGGCATCGACCCATTAGCTAAAAGTGAACCTCTTAATTTCCCGCTGCGGTATCAGTTTGATTACGCAACACTGACTTGGATTGGAGAATCAGAGAGCCATGGCAGCATTCTGGTCGTTTTTCAAAATATCAAAAGACACTCGAAAAGCAGTATGTAATACTTGCAAGGCTGAGGTTATGTTCATTAAGCAGGTTTACTAAAAACTAAATGTTTTAAAGAAAAAAGAAAAATAAATCAGGGAAACTGAGTTTTCCGTTTCACAAAGAGTTTCCTCAACCTCTGTTTCAGTCACCGCAGTAACATTCTCCTCAGAGCTAACCTGGTCGGGAGCAGGTTTTTTTTCAGTAAACTCAGGTCTCTACTCTCTTTACAGCCAATCACGTTGTTTTATTTCCTGATCTGATCTATAACAGTAGAATTCACTTGGTATTAACCTACTGAGCCTAGCTGCACAATCTGAAGCCATTCTATGGGATAAATAGATGCTAATAATGACCATTTATTGGGATGATGGAAGACAGAATCAAATTGAGAACCCATGACTTGATGAACAGGTTCTAGAACAGCTTTGTTATTTATCTTCACCTGCTGCCTGGTGATTTCACCTAAATAGATACATTGATCGAGTGCCATTCAAGAAATTAACCCGTAATGTTATCGTGGTCACACCAGGCTATGGAAAGCAGTTTTGATATGTATTCCTGTTACCTGAAAACATGTTCTTTCCCAGTTCAAACAAAACTAAATTCTTCAAATCTAGAATAAACATTCTGGATGTCTAGAAATGTATTTCATATTTCTATATTCCTACTATAACTGGTCAACATTTTTACTATTTGGAGTTGAAGAAATGTATTTCATATAAATACATATTGAGTCAAGCTGATAAATGTCAGGATGGCCACTTAAAATGTGTAAACATTTCTAGGTATATAAAACTTAATTCTTACTAGTATTATTTTTATTTTTTGAAATTCAGTTTCTGCTGCAAAAATGTAATTCAGAAAATATATGATCATAGGTAAGTAATTTCCCTCTGGGATTATTAAAGTATTTCTGATTCTGATAGTTCAGTTTAGGAGTGAGATTTTGATCAGGAAGAATCTTTTAGTAATCTACAAACAACAGAGAGGAGTGTTTTTAATAATAAAAGAACGGCCTGCCATAGACTTCCTATAAACCTACGCATTAACTCTAGTAAGAATCTCCTCCTTCGCCATCTTCCTCTCCTTTGCAGCTGTAGCGCGGTTTCTTTGTCTTTTAAACACTTTTTTTTTTTATTTCTTCATTAAAATCTCTAGTTCCAATGGGGTGAAATAGGCGCTTCCTGTTCCTTGTTGTCGCGGTGACTCGTTGATTCGGGGCTCCACTGATGGCTTTTTTAACTTGTCATGCAAGCGCTACACTCTGAGTGGCCCTACTTCATAGCAGCTGTTGTGAAACTGAGAACTCAGAGTTTCTGACTTTAGGCTAGATCAATTTAGAGTGCAGATTGGAATTTGTTAAACCTGCTTCGTGAAACAGACCCGAGGACCTTAACATTAATATATTTGCCAGCCTGTGGAAGCACTGGTTTTGTATTTGGACCTGTACGTTCTTGATAACACCAGTGCAAGTGGTAAAATGTTAACTTTAGGATAGACTTTTATACAGTGGGGCCAAAAAGTGTTTAGTCAGCCACTGATTGAGCAAGTTTTCCTACTAGGAATAATGAGAGGTCTGTAATTTTAATTGTAGGCACATTTCAACTATGAGAGACGGAATATGGAAAAAACAAAAAGTCCAGGAAATCACATTGTAGGATTTTTAAAGAATTTAAAGCTTGTTTTGGGCTACTATATATAAAGCTTCAAACTCAATGCTAATTCTGACACTTTGTTTCCAAGTTTGAAGTCGTTTCACTTCCAATCAAGGAGGCTTTTTCAATTCAAAGTCCAGTGGATTGTTTTTTTTTACTTTTTTGGAATGACTATGACCTTGATGACTGAGAATCTTCACCAGTAAAGAATAACCAATTCTTGGACCAGGGATATCAAACAAACACATAGTAAGCAAAAATATTCTCAAGAACCTGAAAAGATAAACGATAAAAGATAAATCATTTCTTAAGATGCATGTGTTTAACATTTGCTCAGGTGTATGACTAATTTGAGGAACTGTCTTTCACATAAGTGTGGAAGTTGCATTTCCATGTAGAAATATTGACTTATTTCATAAATGTGGTCATTTCAATTCCAGCAGCCTTGTTTAATAGAAGGATCTTAAAAGCATTTATTACATTAATATGAAGTGGATCTAGAGCTTAATGACACTTGTGGTGGGAAAAAAAATCTATCCATCTATATCTTTATATATACAGATTTATGAGTGCTGAGTTTTATTCATTCAACCTCAGAGGTCCAACGCCACAATATCAGTGGCGCCTCCAGAAATTCATAGGAGTGGCCAGATGGGGCCACTAAAAATCTTGGGGTGGGACACTTTTAAGCTTTTAATCTACCGTATTTTCACGACTATAAGGCGCACTTAAACGTCTTTTTTTTTCCCTCAAAATGTGCGGTGCGCCCTATGGTGCGGTGCGCCCTATGTGTGTTGTAACTGCGACTTTTGAGACCACCTCATTGAGGAGATGATGAAAGAGTGGCTGAATGTAAGGAGACCAGGTGTTTTTTTTCCACTCATCACCATTAATCTGTAACTCCATGCGTGCCCATCTCACAGCTGATGTGAAAAACATGGGGAAACAAATGAATGCTGTGCTCGCTGTTCAACCGCTCGACATCGGTGTGAACCGGACCCAGCAAGTGCAGCAGAAGCAGCGAGTTTACATGCAAAGTCAATGGTTGACGCGCGTATAAGGCTGGGTGGCTCCATATGGATGCGTGGCTGAGGCAGGTGTATCTGAGAAGACTAGGTGTTTTTTTCCATGCATCACCATTGCTGCGTGCCCATCTCACAGCCGATGTGAAAAAAAAGGTGAATCAAATGAACGCTGTGCTCGCCGTTATCCCGGGGGTCTGACAAAGGAGCTTCCACCGCTCGACATCGGTGTGACGCGGCCGTTCAAAGTAAGGCTGCGAGCGGCGTGGGAGCGATGGATGACAGACTGAGACCACAGTTTCAGGAAAAGTGGGAGGCAGCGCCGGGCAAGTTACGCCACCGTTTGCGGATGGATTGTAGATGCTTGGACTAACGTATCTGCTGGCTCTGTTGTTCAAGCTTTTGCAAAAGCCGGCATTATTTCTGAGGAGCTGCGCTGCACGGAAAGTGACTGACAGCGCAGAAGGGGAAACCGGCATATCGGATTTAGCGCAGCTGTTTAATTCAGAAACAGAGGATGAGGACTTTGAGGGGTTTGATTAATACTCTGTAATAAATACTTGAATAAAGCACAATCATACTCAGTTTTGCTCCCGCTGTATTTTTCTACCTGAAAACTTAATTCAACAGCTGCCTCTGGGCCGCGGGGCATACGGGCTCACCTCCGCAGGTGTTTTTTCATCTAAATAATCTTAAGTGATAAAGCCCACCTGAAAATTTAATCATTGCAGTCAGTTCATCCAGATTATTATCCTGCCTATGTTTTAAGTTAATTTATGCATCAATAAACGAAGAAGAAGGGGAAACTGGCATGTCGGATTTAGCGCAGCTGTTTAATTCAGAAACAGAGGATGATGACTTTGAGGGGTTTGATTAATACTCTGTAATAAATACTTGAATAAAGCACAATCATACTCAGTTTTGCTCCCGCTCTATTTTTCTACCTGAAAACTTAATGCAACAGCAGCCTCTGGGCCGCGGGGCATACGGGCTCACCTCCGCAGGTGTTTTTTCATCTAAATAATCTAAATCTTTTTAAGTGAGAAAGTCCACCTGAAAATTTAATCATTGCAGTCAGTTCATCCAGATTATTATCCTGCCTATGTTTTAAGTTAATTTATGCCTCAATAAACTGTATCAGAGGAGTAATCACAGCCCTGTGTCATCAGCATGCCGGTTCCCAGGTTTGAATAATACTTTGTAATAAATACACCTTGCAGCTTTATTTGCTGTGATCAGTGGGAATAAAGTAGTTTTAATATGTTTTTAAGTGGGAAAATCCACCTGAGAGGACATGTACCTGTATATAAAAAACGCGCCCTATAGTCCGGTGCGCCTTATGTGTGTGTTAAATACAGAAATGGCACACATAACTGAGACTGCGCCTTTTAGTCCGGTGCGCCTTATGGTCGTGAAAATACGGTACTATTGTGGTGAGCCTGCCTGTACTCAGAAAGACTTAAGCAAACATTTACTCATATCTTGGCTTATTGTGTGTTTTTTTTGTGTGTGTGTTGCGTCGCTGGCTGTGCATAATGGGATGAAATGCTAAACTGATGCTACTACAATTTAGCAGTAGCATTCAGGGTGGCCAGGTCATTTTACAGGGTGGTTATGTTTGGCTGTTGGTGCCACTGAACAATATGTCTAAGAGAGAGGGATTTTTTTATGCTATTAGGGAGTATTTGTCCATAAAATGAGGTAGTTCTCAAAACATTTAGACTCTCTCTCCAAACATTCTGTCTTTGCTTTGGAGACCTTCACAGCTTTTCTGCAGGGTTAAGTAGGGAGAGACAAATTCATCCGAAAAGGGCTGAATAGCATGCAATAAGGGCTGTATGATATATGGTTCTCTCTTTGCAAAGACCAAATAAAATCCCGACTGAATGAAATCCATTGATTTCTGTTTATTTAACTGAGGAGAATAGTTGAATACCTTTGCCCCACAGCAGACTTCACTAGAGGCCTCCTGCTGATCAGCATCACAGACTTGAAGATGTTTAGAGACGCTTGACATGTGGAGCCTTTAGGTAAGAGAAATACAATGTCACTTAACTATCCAAAGTAAATGTCTTTTTTCATATTCCTAATTTCTTACGCTTCTATCGTAGTCCCAATTAGCATGGTTTTGTAAAAGAACATAAATTTGATTTAAACTAAAATGGATTTAGAATCTGAAATGCTATCGTCAAATCAATCATTAACCACAAGAATAAATAACCAGTTTTTCTTTTTCATGCTGGATGCTGCTGAAGAACATAGTATGAAGAGCATACCTGTGTTCAAGGAGGACATCTATGTTGTTGGCATGTCCAGCGGCCACCAGCTCCTCTGCGACATAAACTCCATCGGCGAGAATGTCCACTGCCCAGGTGGAGTTGGTGCCGAGCTCTCTGAAGAAGATCTGCATGTTCTTCTCGACCAAACATAGCTGGAAGAAGGCGGCTGCCTCATCACTCCACTGTCCGTCCAGGCTAGCTGACTTTACCCCCCTCAGTACACACGGGTAAGTTGTCTTTGGAAGATCAGCTAGCTCCTGTGGAAGCCGCTTCAACTTGGAGAACTCATCGTACGGTATGCTCACATTATGTCCGTAATCGACGAGGTTCAGGGTCAATATGGTTTCTATTTGTTTGATTTCAGCCCTGCACCACATCTCAGATCCGGACAAGAGCAGGCAGCAGGCCCCTGGAACAAGGTCGGCTTGGGGCAGAGTTGGTATGTTCTCAGGGAGGTTGTCCAACAAGATGCTAACTTTGTCCATGATGGGTAGCAAATCATAAAGCATAACACTAAACTGAGAGGGAGTGTTGACCGCAGCCACAGAGCCAAGATATGCTTTATCAGTCTCAAGAGGAGCACAGGAGATTAGCTGCGGAGTCCACCCATCTACACCGAGTCCATTTGGTAAGCTCTCTATTTGGGTTGCAGCTGATGCGGCCACATTTTCCCCTTTCTGCTGCATCAAGGCCTTAACTTGAGACACAATCGAATGTGAACTCAGGACTTTTTCAACTAGCCAAACTTCATCAGCCTCAGAAAAACTCAAAGAAACTAGCCTGACCTTGGTACCTACTAGTCGTTGGAGCCCTTCATACCAGCCCTGGTGAACAGTTTCTCCCTCAACCAAAACAGGACTTTTGATCTTGCACAATCGAGCAAGGTTTGGGATATTCTCCAGGTAGGTACACTGCTGTCGGACAGGCCCTCTTTTGATGTCTGCTGTCACTCCATGATCCACCAGAAAAACCTCTAGCCTTATCTTGCGTATGTGCAGAATGACAGCCCTCCACCACTTGCCGTCACCAGCCTGGACCAAGCATTTCAGGCCTTGTCTGATATCTGCTTCAGGCACAATCTTGTACTCCTTTATGTTGTCTATCAAGTGCATTTCCATTGATGTGAGAACTTTGTGATCTTTAGTAAGTCTGACATAAAAGCTACAGTTTCTCTGGAGTGAGAGGATGGTTCCAGTTTCGTTGTTTTTGATCTGATTTGTTTGAGGGAGGACTGCATCTAGTTGATCCCTTGTGACTGAGAGAGACATTGAAGATTTTCCATTGTTTTGAGCCTGTTGTTTGGCCGACTGCTCTGGCACTGAACTCTTGCTTTTTATAACAGATCCTACTTCCCTGCACTGTTCTAGACTTGAGTTCTTAATGGATTCAGACAAAGGTGAGGGAGACTCTTCTTTGCGTTTCGTCTCAGAAACACAACCATGTGTTGAATCTACTTGAGCTTCTCCATTAAGAACCCCAACCTTGACCTGCCACTGGATGCCTTGCTGACAAACAAACTCCACCATGAGCGGATTCTCCAAAGCAGCTTTAGCGAAAGATGTCTCGTCTCTATATGTTGCTGTGTTCATCAGTGAACATGGTATGCTGAACCTTGGCTGGGACAGGAACTCCTCTGGTATTTGGTAAATATGTTCTTTTTCTACAACTGCTGAATTTCCATAGTCCACAAACTCCACACTGTAATGAGATATGTCTTCCTGGTTCTTCACAACTGAACGATACAGAGCGCCGTCCTCCTCAAACTCGGACAAAGCAACATCCCCAATGCTCAAGCGGGAGGCTGTCTTCAAGGAATTCTTAAGGACACTAAAGTTAAGGTATTCCCCCATTTTAAAGATGGCCAATTCATCGTCTGACAGCTGTAGAAAGAAGCTGCTGGTGGAGTCGATGTGGGACACGAAACATTTTGCCTTAAAGCCGGGATTTATGTGTTTATCAAGTAACTGTGCCGGCTGGGATTTTCTCCCTTCGTTCCTCTGCCGTGTTGGCTGTGACTTTTGGCTTCCATTTGTAAACCTGGTTTGAGGTTTTATAGGACCCGTTTTCCTCGTGTTGTGCTCATTTGTCTGTTTTGCTCCTGAGTTCCTGTTTGGAGACCTACCATGAGCCGGTTTTTGGGTGTTTCTCATTTTTGCTCCATTAAGAACTTTAGATGGTGATGCACCCTGCCTTTGCATTGCACTTTTAGATTGACATTTTCCCTTATTTAAATTGTGGTTCTTTTTAGTTTTTGTGCTGCTTACCTTACATGTGGCTGCAGCATTTGGTTTCTGAGAACTCAGAATGAGCTCTTTTACCTTCTCATTGATGCTGATGTCTCCATCAAACAGCTCGACATCAAATGATCCATCGTTCCTCTTCCCTTGCAGTACTGCTTTAACAAGCTTGTTGATGAGTGCTTTAGAAAGCCACTCCTGAATGTCCACATAAAGCTCAGTTGTGGGCACTGAATAGAGGTTAAATTTTACAGCCTGCATAGGCGTGTACAACAGCTCTTCACAGCTCCTTGTAATCAACAGAATGGACTTTTTGTCAGATATGTTAGTGTTTCCGTAGTCGACGAAGAACACGCCAACATGCAGGGACGACGGAGTGGGTAGCATCATGCCCCTGTACCATTTACCATCCAAGTATTTTGCAAGGCACAGTCTCGTCACAACAGGTCCTGTGCTGGCTTGCATTATGTTTTCACTCTCCTGGGAGATGTTAACAGCTAGTTCTTCGATTACTTCTGAGTTCCTCTCAAGGTGGCAGTAGACTTCATAGTGGCTGCTGACGTGTGTGACATAGACCAGTTCTTCAGCTCCTGGACTTAGTTCAAATGATGAGTAGGTAAAAGTCTCAGGGAGTACATCAGAGTTTTGCCTTTTTGATGAACTTGCTACCCTTGCAAGTCCTAGCTCTGTGAGTGTCTTTGCAAAATCTTCTTGTGTTTTGCTGTTTTGGAGAGAAACAACATTGCACAAACCTACTTTTTTCATGTTCAACTGTGAGATGACCCTACATTTCAGAATACCCCTGGCATTGCAGGCAAAACTTTTCAGCAAGGTGCACGCATGTGGACTCCAATCACTGCAGTATTTGGGATCTGCTGGTTCAATCAGGGTAGAAAGGCTGCACCTGAAAGCTTGTCCTTCCAGATGAAGATACTCTGGCATAATTGCCTGTAGATCATGACTTCTGACCTGAATAACAGAGCCATAGTCAACCAGCATCACTAAGGTGTGACTCTTCTCATTTCTAATGATATAGCCCCTGTACCATCTTCCATCTTGGAGTGACTTGGCAACGCAACAAGACTCGTTAGGCTGGAGGGGGGCTGTGTGGGCTGAATAATACAGCTGGATTTCCTTCATGAGCTCCTTCAAAGCTGGAATCCCATCTAGAGGCTGGCACCAGAAATCAGATGGGGAGGTTATGTGTGAGCAGTGTACAGAGAGTTCAAACCCTGGCTTGATCTTTAAAGCCTTAAACATGGAATTGGCTTTAACCTCCTCCGTTTTATTCACTCCCTCATCACAACTCTGCCACTTCCCCATCTTTGTAGCCCTGTTTGCTTCATAGTGTGACAGCTCTTTGTTACTTTTGTCTGCAGGCTTTTGGGGAATGTGTTCGGCAAGCTTGGATGAGCTCAAGAGCTCAGCTATACTGATGCTGCTTCCCCTCTCAAACAAGTCGACGACAACGAGGTTGTTTTTAATTTCCTTTAGATTGATGAGCAGGGTTTTGTTGGAAACAGCTCTTCTGAAGAACTGACATGTCCTACTGGGCCAGACTTCATCTAAAGGAAAAACACTGACAAGTGTGGAACAGATGGCAAAGGGGGGCGTGCTTGTAAACTGCCTGGGTATCTTTTTTATTAAATTGTGTGGTACTTTCTCGACATTCCCAAAGTCGATAAAAAGGATTTCAGCTCCATGCTTGATAACGTCTATCACCATGCCCCTGTAGAAATGCATGTCTTCCTCATAAAGAGCACAGCACATGGTCCCTACCTCTGGATTCAGCAGAACATCTTCCTCTAGCTTTATTGGAGTGAAATGCTCATTGATTTTGGTTATCATTTCCTCGAACTCCTGATTGCGTTTCTCTGTTCTGATCCAGAAGTGGTTTGGATCCTTCGCATACTCAACGTAGCCAAAAAAGTCAGAGCCAACCTGCACTTCCTCTGCTTCTAGAGTTTGGCATAGAGCTTCACACAGGATTGCCTTGTAGTTCTCATGTCTGTGCTGAGGTGTCGTATCCTCAACATTTGAAACTGACTGAGAGCAAAGATTTTGGAAACGCTCAGGTTCCTCCACATGTGCATCTCCATCACTTAAAACCCTGATTGTGTACAAATGATTAGCTTTAGCAAAACCAATGATCTCTACATTCAGAACTGCTCCCAGTAAGCCTGCCTTAAGAAAAGAGAGCTGCTGAGTTCTGAACGCTGTTTCCTGGTCAGCCAGGGGCGGCAGAGTACATGGAAATGCCATGATTTGCTTTGAGAAAAATTCAGGTGGTAAGCTTTGGACGTTCTCTATTTTCACCATCTCAAAAAACCCGTAGTCAATGAAGAAAACTCTAACTAGAGAGTCGGCAAGCAGAAACTGCACAATGCCTCTGTACCATCTCTGATCTTTCCCTTTAACTGCACATAAATTACCCAGGTTATCTGTAGTCTTCCAACTGTGTCTTTTCATTTTGTCCTCACAAATTTCAGCCAGCTTCTTTGAAACTTGCAAAAACTCGGGTGCAGCATCAGCCATCAGACAGTAGAAGAGCCTAGGACTGACAGCAGCAGTTACTTGCACTTTTGCACGCTTCCCAATACTTAATTTTGGCCCACAGATAGACAAAATGTCCTGAAATCCATGAAAGCTTGATGATTTATAGCAAAATTCTTGTCCTCTCGATTTTTCAATGAGCAGGTCAGGAACTGGCTCCACATTTTCTTTAAGTGTCCCCTCAGTAAGCATGCTGACCAGGAGAAGGAATGTATCTCTGTCCACATGCCTCCCAAATCCATGTTGAACAAGATCATAGTTGATGTCAGGTGCTTCCAACAGAAGGATTTTGTAAGGAAGAAGTGCTTGGATGAAACCTGTAACATTTTTGCCAATCAGGGTTGAGAAGTATCGCTCAATAAGGGATTGAGAAGAATTCTGGAAAATCAGCACATTTGCCAGAAACCCACTGACTATTTTTGGAGGCAGAATAAACAGGTCATCCGAACAGGAGGATATGTGAGCCACATCGACACTCAGGACATTTCCGTAATCTATCAGGAAAACATCATGCAAGCCCCCCTTTCTGTTTTGAACTCTTCCACGGTACCACTGAGCTGAAGTCACATCTTCAACCAGACAGAAACCAGCGACTTCCACTGCAGCTTTAGTTTTTGGAACGTTTTGAAGTTCTTGCTGCAAGATGTTGTAGTCCAGGTCACATGTGGAAGGGTACTGTCCCTGGAAGTGTATCAGAGTGGCTTCAGGGCTCCAGTCCAAGTGGTTAAATTTCAGATCCACAGACCAAAGGGGGTGCTGTGTCAGTTCGCCAGAGTCTTGAAACCTGCATATCAAAATTGCATAATTTTTTTATTTTAGTTTTTATTTTATTATTATTTTTAAATAAAATAATAAAATTGCATTATTTAACAAAATAGATTTTCTTTAATGTGTTATTGCTAATCTTTAGTTCATAATAGCCAGTATAGTTTTACTCTATAAAAATCATCGAACTCAAAAAAGGCTGACAGTTGTGGAGTTTTGTTCCATATCGTTTCAAACAAATAACAGGTTTTGTGAATCGAAATTTGAAAGTGTCACATTTTGTAAATTGAAATGAAAAAGAAAATGCAATCTAGAAATGAAACTGGAAAACTTTTGACGTTTTCAGATTTTTCTATTTTCTTTTAGATATAGACGGATTTATTTTTCATTGTGTTTACACAAGAGTATAACAAAAAGAAATTTCGTTTGGAACAGCTCTCTGGACAATTTCATCTTTTTTAAAAGTGAAGCCTTGAAAAATAGTAAAAACATAAATAGATAAATAAAAACAGTAATATAAACATGACTAAATTTACAGTTCTAACGTTTTTTTTCCCGTCTTTTCTTTTCTTTTGTCATTTTAAATGTTTTATATGTATTCTTCACATTTTATTTTTTTTCAAATGCAATAAAAAAAGATTGTTTTTAAATTATTGTTTCAAATTTCAATTTTTTGATTGAGATTCACGAATTTCATTATTTTCAAATTGAGTATTATAGATCCTCTTCACTTCTGATGGCAGCCTAATGTAAACACTCGCTAATGACTTTACTTTGACCAATCATGTAGCTAAGGTCCATGTAGAGCCATAGAAATGTCTTCAATCCAGAGGAAGCCACGCTCACAGAAGTAAAGAGAATGTGATCTTTAAAACAACAGAAGAATGCATTTTTTAAAACTCAATCTGAAAAACAGAAATAAAAATAAAATAAAAACATAAAACCTGTAAAAAAAAAAATTTAAAATAAAAAAAGTAAAAAAAACAGAAAAATCCCTCTTAAAAATTTTTTTGATTAAAAAGTTTAGACAAGGTTTCATTTCTGGATTGCATTTTTTTTTTAATAACAGAAAAATTTCAATTTACAACAATAATGGAAAAAAATTTTGTCCAAAGTTGGTTATAAAGCAGTCATCTTGTAACTGTAAAGTGGAATAAAGCTGCAACATTTATATGTAAAAGTTGCGGAAAGTATGTAAAATTTAAAGAAAAGGTAAAAAAAAATAAAAAGGAATGTGAAATATGCAATCCAGAAATGAAACTTGTTTCAATAAGAAAACGGTTTAAAGAGTAACTTTGATGTTTTCTTAGATTTTGTAATTTCAAACTGTTTTGTTTTTCCAGATCATTTTATTTGTCAGTATTTTCAATTTTTTCCCCCCAGTATCTTTTTTTTTTTAGAGATTATTTTTAGAAATGGTTTGTCACTGCAACCTCCAGAGGAAAGCCTGAAGTATAGAGAATGTGACCTTTACAATACAATTAAAAAAGAATGGAATCTATAAAACTTTAAAAATTTGAAAAAATAAAAACCTGTAAAAAGAACATTTAAATTTTTTTTATTTTTTGGTCAAAAAATAAAATTTGAAGAAATAAAATGTGAAAAATACACAAGTGAGAAAACAGCAAAGCTACACTCAAAACCTATTCAAATAGAAATTGTTTATAAAGTTTCATTTCTGGATTGCATTTTTCTTTTTCCTAATTTCAATTTACAAAATGCATTTGTTTTCATTGCTTCCAACAATAATGGAACAAAATTCACAAATGTAATAATTATAACATTTCCAGAAAAAAATAAAAATAAAAAATCCAAATTGTACACATACATTTGTGTACAAAATTTTGAGGAACAAGATTATTCTTGTGAATTATTCTTATTAAATTGTAATAGCACTAAATTAACAAAAGTGGAACCAGTGAAACTGGATTAATTTCCAGATGCACTGTAAGTTCATAGCAGTGTTCTCACAGCTTACATTTCTAATAAAGCAAATGGGTTCAAACTGCTGAGATAAAAAAATGCAAAAGGCAATGTTTTTAGTGAAATTCTTATGCTTATAAAACTTACTTAAGATGTTCGGGTCCTTCCCTGGTCTGCATTGTATGAAAAACCAGATCAATCTCCAAATCAGTCTACAGGGGACACAAATATTGATGGTTTTGCCATGTTAGTACCAAAATTAGACTTTTGTCTATTAGACATTGTATTAAAGCAAGAGAAAAATTGAATGATTTAGATGCAAAACACAAAGGCATAGTATGTGAGTTTTGAAAACCATGAAACAAAGGAGATATTCACAGCAAATAATATGATTATCATCAATTTCAAGTTCTGAACTGTATCAACAAACATTCCCAACTAACAACCACACAGAACCTTTGCTTACACAAAAACATCAACCATTTTTGAATAAGAGAAGCAGAAATAGCTTCATATCAGTATATGTATATATAAAAATAGTTAAGTGTATTATAGTCATTAAAATAAAGATTTCAGTAATACTATTTTATTAGTTTTACTAGGCTAGGTGGGAATATACTTTAAAAAGTCTAATCAACCAAAACTTTCTCGACCCCCTCTGAGGACCCTCTAGGGGTCGTGGACCCCCTGTTGAGAACCTCAGTTTTTAAGTATATTATATTTTTATTAAAAGTGCTGATCTGATAAATGCAATTTATTACTGTTATATTATTATTATTCAAAAAAGAAAGAAAATCTAGGAACGTGAAGCTCATAATAATTGTAAACCATGTTTTTTAATCTACATGGATTGTTGCACCCCAAATTCTCCAATTGCTCATGAAATTCATCCACATATTTTGTCAGGAGAGGAAAAGCAGAGATGCAAGAGAAAGTGGAGGAAACATACAAAGAAAGTGGATTAAGAAAAAAAAAAAAGATCTAGAAAATACGCTGAACTTATATAATAGTTATATTAAAAAATACTTGCCAATCAAAGTTTCACCATGCTCCCACCGACCACTGAATTATCGACCTAAGACACGCAAATTTTATGTAAAAAAGAACATGTCCGGTTATATTTGTGTTAAGATTTAATATAAATACCAGGGTGGCCAAGCCTAACCGCTGTTTCTGTTAATGTGGAAAAATGAAGCGCCATTTTAACTCAAACGGAAGCTAGCGCCACCAGCACAAAGAGCTAGCTAAGCTAACTGAGCTAATACTGACAAACTGACCCAGTTTTTTCTCTTTAAACCACTCTAACCAGTCTGGTCGGGTTTAGTCTTACTGGTATTAGTAACTGTGAACATCGGTCAGGTGTGGACATCTTTGTGTAAGAGGACTAACTTACCTGGACGCCTGTTTCCTGTCCGCCCTCATCTAGAGTCCAGTCCAACTGGCGCTAACTGGTGCGCTAATCAACTGGTGCAAAAAGATTCCATCTGAAAAATACTTAGGTGCTTTTCACGTGGGTTATTAAAAATGAATGAATTAAATAAAGTAAAAAAAATAATAATAATAATCAGATATTCGGATTAATGGCTCAAAGAGCTTACTAAACACGAAGATGAAGTTCGCTTCCGATTCGGTAAATAAATAAAGGGCGATTCCACTTAACTTTTCGGTTCCCTCAGTATCTTTAATCGACTCTAATTAAACACCTAGACACGTCAGACCTGGACTAGATTATTATAAACTAGTTGTAGAATAACTAGAACCAGGTTTTGGATTTCTGAAACTTCAATAAAGAGCGATTTAAAACTTTTTTTAGTTACCCATATTTTTTTTTTTGTAAAAACATCCACTGCACTAATTTGTCATCAATTTCATTTGAATAATATGTTATATGTTATTGTCCTATTGTATGAAAGAGGATTAGGGGCACTAAAAAAACAGAAAAAGTTAACTGATTTTTGAATTTTATTTCAGTATAATGAGAAAAAGAGTCGGACTTCTGATTTTATCTCAGAATTCTAACTTTGATCTCAGAATTCTGACTTGTTTCTCAGAATTTTGACTTTGATCTCAGAATTCTGACTTTATTTCCGAATTCTGACTTTTTTTTCTTAGAATTCTGACTTGTTTCTCAGAATTTTGACTTTAATCTCAGAATTCTGACTTTTTCCTCAGAATTCTGACTTGTTTCTCAGAATTCTGACTTGTTTCTCAGAATTTTGACTTTGATCTCAGACTTCTGACTTTAATTTCACAATTCTCAGAATTCTGACTTTTTTCTGAATTCTGACTTTTTTCCCTCAGAATTCGGACTTGTTTCTCAGAATTTTGAATTTTATCTCAGACTTCTGACTTTAATTTCACAATTCTCAGAATTCTGACTTTTTTCTCAGAATTCTGAGAATTCTGATTTTTTTTCCCCTCAAAATTCTGACTTTAATCTCAGAATTTTGGAGCTTAATGTAGATTGGCACCATGAAGGAAGAGATGTGGGAGCACTCAGCTTCACTGACAAAGATGTTAGTTGTTTGGGAGGTCCAGTAACACATTGGTGGAAAATTATTTAATTAAGTGACTTTTTACGTGCCAGAGCGGTCCCCAGTGATTCGATTTCTTTAATGGAAAAGCAGAAGGTCATTAAAACAAGAGAGCTAATCTCTAAAACAGACAGACGGCTTGATGCTAACATGTAACAAAGTCAAAATTCTGACCTTTTTCCCATATTAAACTGAAATAATATTTAAAACTCAGTTAACATTTTTTATTTTTTTCGGTGGCCCCAATCCTCTTCCATACCATTAAATGATTATGCAATTGTGGAAAATGATTATAAATGATTATAATCAGATTAAATTTTATTTAAAATTTTTTTTCCTAGAGTTATGCTTCCTTTTTCGTTTACCTGGTCTAATTTGAAAGAAAATTAAAATCTCTTAATTTTCTTGTTATAAATGTATTCTTATTTTTCTTGCGAAATTAGAGTTAGACAAATTAGTTTTTTTAAGTCACTCACTAAAAATGTATGTATTAATCTAGGCCCATTTAAAAATCCCAAAATGAGATACCAGAAAATGAAGTCGGTTTATCTTAAAATATCCACAACCAAAGTAAAGGTATAAAAATATAACAACACTTTTAAGTAAAGTTTGTTCGGAGTTGTTCGGTCCTTAGAAGTTTGAACTCCATAGATGTTGAAACAGAGCTGCGCTGTTTTAGTCAATGTATAAAAAAAACAGTGATTTTCAAATGTGAAAGATTAGATTTAATGTAAATATTGGGCTGTTTATACATTTGTTTGAAAAATGTCAAAGGATTGTATTGACATGAAATAGATTGATTTAAAATAAATTTTATTGATTAATTGCCTTCATTGATCTCACAATGGAGACATTTACTTGTTACATCAGCTCAAATAGTCGAAGAAGAAGAAGAATGTGCCAAAGGAAAAAAAAAGTTATTGCATATTTATTGCACTGGGTGTTAAATATAGAGAAACAGGTTATTGCACAGGGTGTTTACATGGGTATTTATGGATATTTACATATATAGTTATTGCACAGATGTCTGATATAAAGAAACGGGTTATTGCACAGGGTATCAAAAAGTAAATTGCACATTATACATTGCACAGCTTCTCTACAGTCTGGTGCAGAGGGTGGAATGAGTTTTCCATAATGGATGTAAACTTGGACAACACCTTCCTCTCAGCCACTTCCTCCACTGAGTCCAGAGTGCAGCCCAGGACAGAAGCGGCCTTTCTCACCAGTTTGTTCAATCCCTTTCTGCCCTGCTCTACCCAGAGACTGCAAAAAGATTGGACCTGAATGTTTAGTAAAATTCCCCTGACATTTGTTATTATTTGGCACACATGGCACTAATAGGTTACTCATATGTCCATATTTAAAAAAATTAAGTAAGTACTTAAAAGCTGGAGCTGTTTCACTGATACATCAGATGATAAACTTACATGCAGCGCCACCTGGTTTGTATGAACCGCATTGCAAAAAGGGACATCTCTTTTTTTTTTTTTTTTTTTGAATTATATATATATATATATATATATATATATATATATATATATATATATATATATATATATATATATATATATATATATATATATATATATATATATATATATATATAGACATGTCAGACTTTAACAAAAGAGACTAATTTAGATCACTTTTAACCAAAATGCAATGTTAAAATTTTGTAAATCATCAGTTCCTTTTAGATTTATTTTTAGTTTTATTTTGTAGATTGATTATACTTAACAAAGTTTAATGCCATGATCTATCAATTTAATATTTAGGAACTGTTTAGATTACTTTGGTAAAGTTTAGAGCCACCATTAAATTTAGAAGATTAGGAACATGTGTTAAAGGAATAGTACACCCAAAACATGATTAGCCTTCATTTTCTACTCACCCCCATGCTGAACAACACTCTGGAGTACTTTTTTGATATCTCAAATGCATCTGGAGATCTGGGAGGCTTCTTGCTGTCTGCTGACATTCAAATAATGGAGGTCTATGGTGCCCGAGGCAGAAAGGTCCATAAAAGTCCACAAAAAACGTGTCAATATTCCTCCATACTGCTCGTCCAATGTATTCCAAGTGTCCTGAGTGGGTAGCATCCAGAATTTACTCGAAACGAAGTCATTCAGAATGTTTTTAGAGCATAAACAGTAGTGTATAGGATTTCCTGAAAGCGCCTTCACGAGTCTACGGAAATCGCGGCAGACCAAACCAGATGAAAGTGCGCATTCAGCTCGGCAAAGAACTCATGCTCTTCCTCAACACTGAAGTCCTCAGACATTTTTCTTTCGTTGTTTCTTTCTTTGCACAGGTAAACACAGCACATTTCTTCTTCTACGCTTGCATTATCGGCAGAGCAGACGCTGAATGCGCACTTTCATCTGGTTTGGTCTGCCGGCTTCCGTAGCATCGTGAACGCGCAGGTGCGCGCTTTCAGGAAATCCTATACACTACTGTTTATGCTCTAAAAACATTCTAAATGACTTTGTTTCGAGTAAGTTCTGGATGCTACCCACTCAGGACACTTGGAATACATTGGACGAGCAGTATGGAGGAATATTGACATGTTTTTTTGTGGACCTTTATGGACCTTTCTGTCTCGGGCGCCACAGACCTCCATTATTTGAATGTCAGCAGACAGCAAGAAGCCTCCCAGATCTCCAGATGCATTTGAGATATCAAAAAAGTACTCCAGAGTGTTGTTCAGCATGGGGGTGAGTAGAAAATGAAGGCTAATCATGTTTTGGGTGCACTATTCCTTTAAGGGCAGGGAAGTTGGGTTTTTCTTTTGCTTGTTCAAATGCCTGCTGTGAGGATGGGAGGTGGTAAAAAAATATTTATTTTCCTATTTTGATCATTTTTTTTGAAGGCTGTAACTGAACATTAAGTTAACTTTCGTATTTATTTAAAGCTACAGTGTGTAATTTTCAGCGACATCTAGCGGTCAGACTGCAGACTGCAGCAACATGAACGTCTCCCCCCCACCGCTTCTCCCCCCCAACAGTACGGCGAGAGTTACGGGACAAAATGTCTTCCACGACGTCCGCATCACCTACCTTCTCAAGTGATGAGGTTTGTTTACATAGATAATTTTACAGATAGTATTTCATTAGTCTGTGTAGGGTATAGATTTCATGTAGACTTAAGATAATAAATATACCCGTTATTTTTTCTACGTCGTTGTGACGTTTTGGTGAGCTGCTTTGCATGGTGATATAAACAGACGAAGGAATTGTAGTCATTAGTTTAACAGCGAGATTGTGTTCGCTGGAAGAATATATATTCCCCGTTTACAGAGTCCAAGTCTTGTTTGTGGCACGGGGGTTACAAGGCAAGGAAGAGGGAAAGGAAGAGGGCAGAGAGGCCGGGGTGAGCGTGCAGCTGGGGCCAGGCGAGAGAGGGGAGCCAGCGGGGTGAGAGCAGAGGAGGAAAGGCTTGAAGATCTCCAAAGGAGCCGGAGAGAAGTAACCGAGGTATATATCCAGAAAATTATTTTACAGAAAATTACTGAATCATTACCTGTGAAACGTCAGGGACGTTGCTGAATAAGTATACTGGAGAGGAACAGCATCATCACGCAGCATGTTATTGTTTTAGACAGGTCTGAGCATCCTGTACTCCAAAAACTGCAGTGATATTAGACAATTGTGTGTATAGGATTAATTACCTGTCCAAGAGAAAACTGGCAACTTGAGCGTCACTTTGAAAACCTTTTTCCTCCATCAGTGACTTCCATCGTGTAAATGCCGTGCCAATGTTGATCCGTGTTTTTTGTCGTTTCTTGTCACTCTTGCGTTTATTCTCGTCGTGTTTCCGCTTCTTAGATGACGGGGGTTCGGTGTCCGCAGTTTGCAAAGTCACTCACGCCTGCCGCCTTGTTTACCTTTCTTGTTACCGAGGCGCAGTATACCTGCTTCTTCTTCTTCTTTGGTTTCCGGCAGACTAAACGCTTCTCAGGCATAATACTGCCATCTACTGTTCAGTACCGTCTCAGTTCATCTCTCTCAACTTGCCGTAGTTATTTTCGAGCGTCATGGGAGATCTCGCAATCGCTAGTTTGTTGCCTCTGCGCTGCCGTAGCGCAAAGATGTCAGCCTCCATGGCTGCGAGACCCGCTCCTATGTAATTATAAATAACGAATTCTAAGGCAACGCAAATGTTATGGTTAAAAGGCTGAGCTCATAGGTGATGATAAATAACATAGTTATGTATAATATATTAAATTTCTGAATTTATATGCCTGTAATTATTACACACTGTAGCTTTAAGCTGTAAGATATTATTTGTTATATTCTGCCTTCATTTTGTTTTTTGCTGGAATTAAGTCACACATATTTGTCCAAGTCAGAAGTGCGTATATGAAACGCCACCTGTTGCCACTCACTGCCTTCAGGAACAAACCAGAAGGCACTGACTGGCTTCTGGTTTTGGAACATGGAAGGCAGCAACAGACAAACTCAAACATTTCCAGATACGCCAGACCTTAATCTGACCTGCTAAAATAAAAAATAAATAAATAAGTAAATAAAAAAACAAGTTCTGAGGGAAATCTGTGTGTGTTTAACCTGAAGTAAGAGGCCAGCTGACTGTGGGAGGTATGGAGAGATGGATGGATGGATAGACAGATGGATGAGGGCTTTCTGTTAATCATTAATAAAGTGGATTAGCTCAATCTTCTGTAAATATGATGAACGCATCCACAGCTTCATTAGCTCTTCCCTCCCTCAGCACAGCTTCAGTTTCCTAAAAATTCTGGACCTGATGCTTGTGATCTTCATCTTTTACCTGGATTTCTGACTGACTGGCTGAGAAGTAACCTTTATGGTTTATTCATGGATCAGCGGATGAAAACTTTCATTTTATTCAATTAAGTCAACTTTCCTTTTTTCTTTTTACTTTTTTCGCACCATGCCGATGAAACGCAGCAGCGAGAGTTCGACCAGAAGTGAAATGTTTCTTATTCACTCTTTTACAAAGACTTTACGCAGCTCATCAGAGGAAACACACTCAGATTTTAACGGTCAAACACCTTTTCATCAGGAAGATGATTCTGGGATTAAGTCAGGTTTGCATCACTCTCTGTTCATTCTTCTCAGACTGCATGAAGTTTAAACTAATCACTGTTTGAATAATTAAAAAATCAAACTGATACAGTTTTTTTTTTCCTGTTACTGATGATTTAATTCAAACTTGAAAAGAAGGAAGGGCACCAAACAACCAAAGGGTGGCGCTACAACTTAACAGCAATTACTTTATTAGTTTTTAAAAGGTATTGTGAAGAATTAAACTCAGTAAATTATAAAATTTCTATATGGAGAAGAAAATTAAATGTTGTTTTTTTTTTTTTTTTTGCCAGGGAAATATGTTTCACATCAGACCATAATCTGCAAAAAACTATACACAACAGAGTAAATAATATGATTTATTTGAATTAAATGCCTGTAACCTGTAAAATGCACCAGATCCATACAATGGATAAGAAAGTATTTTGTTCCAAAAAGAAAAAGACACAATATTTCCTTCCTATAATACATTTTTAATCCATAGGTCTCATATAGAAAAAAAAAAGATTTAGCTTGTTTTAAGGTTACTTAAGTTGAAATGGGAAATAGATGTAGTTTAGATGTAGGTTTAATTTAAATCAACTCTACACGGCCACCTAAAAAGAAGCAAATCTTCTTATAATCTTCGTTTTAGGTTCATATATATGTTCCTTTTCTTTGGTTGTATTTATTGAAAAAAATGCTTATTGTTTAGTTAACACTATATTAAATGCTGCCCTTCACTGTAAAGCATTTAACCATTAAGATTTTTAAGGTTTCAAATTTGCCGTTTCCTTGAATCTTTTGAATCCTGAATGATGGATGAACTGCTGACTTATGATTATCTTAAAAAACATGAATTAAATCCTCACACAGAGGTTGGTCTAGTGATGATATTCCCTTTATGCAACCTTTAATTAAACAAGTAGAATTATAGATGCTTCGTTGTAAAATAATTTAGCGAATACAAGGACATTTATGAGGTTTTAGACAAAATTTCTCAGTTATTCCAGGCTGTATGCTGTCATGTTAAAGGAAAAAAAAAAAGAAAAACTGCACATGTTGCATAATCCAATCATGTGATCTTGTAACTCCAACACTGATGGAGAGAAACACAGCCTCTAGAGGGAAGAAGAGCAGCCATATGTGAACTTAAACAAGTGATGCACTGCAAAAACAATCTAGAAATGAGCAAAAATTTCTTAAATTAAGTGTATTTACCATTCATATGAGTAGGTTAATTAAATGATACGCCAATGGAACGAGCATTTTTATACTTAAAACAAGATACTTAGATAAAATCCACTTTTAAATAAGACAATCCTATTGTGTTTTCTTATTTTAAATGTAAACCGTCTTGTTCTATTGGCAAAGTGTCTCTTTTACCTCATCAATTCAAGAACAAATGCATTTATTTTAAGAAAAAATGACTCATCTAGATTTAGATTTTTTTCAAGTGTGGAGTGACCAGTAGTGATTAACATGTAGGAAATAAAAGTAAAAAAAAATAAAAATCAAGATTTAAAGACAACTGTAAATGATATATTATTAAAAAAAAAAAGAACAGAAACAATTGGGATCGAACCTTTTTAGAGAGTACAGAAATTTCCTTTATAATTCAACTGAAAAAGAAAATCTGTTTTAGACAAAAATGACAATACTAAAACAATAAAGAACCACCATTACTAAAACACACACACAAAAAAAATAGAATTACACTGAAAACAAAAAGTCCATCACTAACATATACGATCAACCAAAAAGTAAAATTTTTGAACTGTAGGAGGAAGTGGGTGTACCTGGTGAGAACCCACAGATACACAGAGATAACATCCAAATTCCCAGCATGGAGTTTAAGCCCATGATGCCAAATAATGGGAAAATACACGCATAAGAAAACCTTAAAAACATACTTTACAGTTCCATTGGTCAAACTTGTGTCAACATCTTAAAGCTAATTTTTTGTTGAACCTCTTTTTTGATTCAGTTTAATCAGTCCTAAACTAATGCCTACATTTAGTAGCTAACCTGAATTATCTAAGATGCATCGGTGACATTTAACCTAATTTAGCTGATAAACCTAAAGTTTGCAAGAAGGTTGAAACAAAGAATCAACAATATCTTGCAGGAAAATGGTAACCATCAAGAGAAGAGTACCATAAAATAAACCTGTATATATTTATCAGTAAAATATAGATGGAAATCACAAACAGACAAAAATAACCTGTTTAAATATATAAAGCAATTTTTCAAATGACATCATTACACTGCAAAAAAGGAAAATCTATACAAGTGTAATAAACTTGAATTCAGCATTTTGGTCTTAATACACTTGTTTTTCAATGTATTTTCTTAGTAAGACTGAATATTGTTAAGATGATTTGATTTTTTCATCCTAACTAGATAATAAAACTAATTCTTAGCAGCTTTTTTCTTAAAATAGCACACATTGCAGACTGAGTCGTGTTAACATTTAGACTGTGAGTACATTTTTTACTTGTTTCAAGACAATAAGACAATCCATATTAACCTGTTTTAAGAACTGACCCCATCTCAAGCCTGTTGTATGCTTGTTTTGAGCAATAATTGGTTATTAAATTCTAAGCAATAATGACTAATAAATGAGAATACATTGCTTAAAATAACATAAAAAGATTTTTTTACTTGATTTAAGTTTTTTGGATGCTTACTACTTGGATATTATGTTCTTGTTTTAAGAAATCTTACCAAGTCTCATTTGCTTGCTGCACTGGCAGATTATTTTGCTCAAAATAAGCAATTATTCACTTAAAACACTATATTTTTCTCTAATTTTTTAGAAGGCATTTTTTGTTGTGTAAAAGAAAATGGTTCCCAAACAGACTTGTCTCTACTGCTCCCCTCGTCATTCTGGCATAATGAACTATGATGAAGTCAAACTTCGTTAGCCGCTCCCAGAACAGTTGCTGCCTTTACTTGCAGAATCAGGAATTTGCTTGAACAGAAACTGTACGACGACATGAAGTACACTGCAAAAACCATAGAGAAATAAGTACAAAATTTCTTAAAATAAGTGTATTTACCCTTAATTTTAGTAGGTAAATAAGACGATTTGCCAATGGAATCAGTATTTCTACTCCTAAAATAAGACAATTAGATAATATTCACTTGAAATAAGACAAAGCATTTTTTTGTTCTTATTTTAAATGTAAATTGTCTTGTTCCATTGGCAAAATGTCTTACTTATCTCCTCAATTCAAGACAAAATTTACTCAATTTAAGCAAAAATAACTCATACAGATTTTCATTTTTTGCAGTGTAGGCTGAAAGATCTCATCAATCTTTAGGGAATAGGAAATATTCAGGCCAGTCAAAAGAAGCTGGATATCATGCAGCACCTCAATGGACCAAAGTGAGAATCGTAATCAGCAAATGGAGAAAACCAAAGAGTGATGAACTTTCTCTACCAAAATGACTCTAAGAGGGGAGCAATTCTTCCTCTGAGGAGTTAAAAAAAATCTGAAATAACAGTAACATCCAAAGCAGCTCCATTGTACCTGAGTTAAGGTCAGAGTTTATAAAGCTAAATAATGAAAAAGGGTGAAGTATTAAGAAAAACAGCCAATAGGGGAAAAAAATACCCAAAAAAAGTTCTTTAAGCTATGGAATCAATAGTGGAACTTTATTAAGTGTGTGATTAATATTACATCTGGCTTAATACTGTTAGGATAATTGTCACTAATGATGTGTGAGTTTATTACACCTTAATATTAGCTGCCTGTTGGGTGTCAGAACTGATGTTTTCTATAATAGTTTATCTAATTAAGACAGTTCCTCTGTCTGGACATACGGTTATAATCTTCATTCTGTACGTAGCAAAGATTTGGAAATGGAATGAGAGCGGTGTCCTTCAGCAAAGAACAAAGTGTAATATTTAGATAAAGCTGGAGCCATGGGTGTCTCCTCATCTGCTAACGTCTATGATGTAATGATGTGACGATGTGGCAGACTGGAGATGTATAAAATGCCTTTTTACATGTTAATCGTGGCCACTTCCTGAGAGGTGAGCCTGAGCGGTGAGCAGCTGCCTTCTGTAAAATCTAAGCAATTTCTCTGATCTGAGTAAGATTACAATTTCTATCTGTCAGGTCTAAGCACCTAAAACATCAAACATACATGCAGGTAAAGAAAGAAGGCACAGAGACAATTAATTTAGTTTTACTTGCGAGGAGAGCAAGAAGGAGACTGCGGAGTTTACAAATCTCCACCTCACTTTGCAGTCCCAGCGTTCTGCTCGCTATTTATTAGAAATCAGGGGTCCCTTGTTACAACCGCTGAGACTGCTCTAGAGAACAGAAACAACATGAAAAATTCAGACTTGCAGTCTCAGTAAACATCCTATAAATGTCAGGGTTCAGTCAAAGTCCAAGCGGTTCACTGGAAAAAATTGAAAGCTAGATAAGAAGTTTTTTTCTTAAAATAAGGGCATTTATTCTTGGATTGAGGAGATAAAAGGTACATTTTGCCAATGGAATGAGACAATTTACACTTAATGCTGGAAAAAAAAATCAAAATCTAGATAAGTCATTTTTTCTTAAAATAAGTGCATTTATTCTTGGATTGAGGAGGTAAAGGAGACATTTTGCCAATGGAACAAGACAATTTACACCTAAAATTAGAATACGCAATTGCATTGTCTTATTTCAAGTGCATATTATCTAAAAAATCTTATTTTAAGAGTAAAATTGCTCATTCCATTGGCAAACCATCTCATTTACCTGCTCAAATTAAGGGTAAATACACTTAATTTAAGAAATGTTTTACTCATTTTTAGATCGTTTTTGCAGTGAAGATAAGAAAACACAATTGCGTTGTCTTATTTCAAGTGCATATTATCTAATTATCTTATTTTAAGAGTAAAAATACTCATTCCATTGGCAAACTATCTCATTTACCTACTCAAATTAAGGATAAACACACTAAATTTAAGCAATTTTTTACTTATTTCTATATCTTTTTTACCAAAGTTCAGCAGATCGAGTGCTTTCCGTAAATCAACCACAACCTCCCCAAAAGCAAGTTCACAAATCACAGTATACTTCAGAAAAGGTGGCTGTGAAAACATCAGAGATGGCAAAAGTACTCACTTTCCTTACTTGAGTAAAAGTACAGATACTTGTGTTAAAAAATACTCTGGTAAAAGTGGAAGTACTGATTAAACTTCTTTACTCAAGTAAAAGTAACAAAGTACAGGCTTGTAAATTTACTTAAAGTATAAAAGTAAAAGTAGAAACCACTTTTTTCATGCCGTTGCCTACATTTTAAATGGATGTCTGCCAATAGGACTAGATCTCCGTTGTGTTCATTTTCAATCATCTGGTCGTCCATACGCTGATGACATGAAAAATAATAACGGTAACTCCATTGAAATTATTCAAAACTAAAGTAACGAGCCAATTTTTTAAAATGTAAGGAGTAGAAAGTACAGATATTTGTTTAAAAATGTAAGGAGTAGAAGTAAAAAGTCGCCATAAAAATAAGTAGTAAAGTAAAGTAAAAATATCAGAAAAATCTACTTGAATACAGTAACGAAGTATTTGTACTTCGTTACTTCCCATCTCTGGAAAACATGCACAAAGCAAACAGCTTTATCCATGATAACACTACACAGATACATTTATATGCAAATATTCTAACATTATCAGAATCTGTTTTCATGTCTCCTGGTTATTTAATGCATATAAGTTATGAAGTATTATCTAAAGAGTTTGTCCTGAGTGATAACCATTTAGGAAAAAGAACCGGTGAGAGAAAGCTTCAAGGTGCAGACACAGCTATCCCCTTGAACCCTACGGACCCACCGGTGGGTCCAGCTGCTACGTGACCTCGTAATTTTACCAAACCCCCAGTATTGATGTAAAAAACATATTTGGCACAGTTTGGTGACATTTATGGATAAATGTGCCAAAATGGCCTCTCCGCCTAAGAAATTTCTCACTAATACCATTCTAAAATAAATATGATTCATCTGATTGAGTCCAAATTTGGTATATTTTTACACAACATTTAGATTTAAAATACTGTACTACTTTTTTGTGCTATAAATAATATTTTGGTAGTGTTTTGCAAGGTTTATTTCAAAGAAAATTTTGGCGAGGTTCAAAAAATGCAAAATATTTTGTATTGTGTCCCTTATATTTCAGGCAGGGTCAAAGCTACAATGGTTCTGACACCAGAAAACCATTCTATGACATCTTACCTTTACAGACGTACCAAAAGTTTCTTCTTAAATCTAATAGCTGTGAGGCTATAAGTTATTTACTTTTGTGTGTTTTTGTCAGGCAGAAATTTATTAATACCCCCTTAGGGTGTAAGAGGCTATTGTGCAGATAACAATAGAACAGCTTAGGAAAAAAAAAAAAATGCCAGGCAATAATGATGGTCGATTACTGGCTTACAGAACTTGCTGCGATTGGTCCAGTGATTCTGCACTGCAAAAACGATCTAGGAATAAGTAAAAAATTTCTTAAATTAAGTGTATTCACCCTTAATTTGAGCAGGTAAATGAGATAGTTTGCCAATGGAATGAGCAATTTTACTCTTGAAATAAGATAATTAGATAAAATGCACTTGAAATAAGACAATGCAATTGTGTTTTCTTATTTTAAGTGTAAATTCTCTTGTTCCATTGGCAAAATGTCTCTTTTACCTCCTCAATTCAAGAACAAATGCACTTATTTTAATAAAAAATGACTTAGCTAGATTTAAATTTTTTGCAGTGTGCATCTTACCAGGAAATCCTGAAGGAACATCTCTGTGGTGCACCAGTTATGAATAGAGAAAACTACAACAAAAAATATGTTATACATATGTTGTACATGGAAAAATCTCCTGTGATGCTGGAAAAAGAAAAAAGACGCTAAAAAAAAGAATCAGAGTTCAACCATTGACCAATGATATTTAATTAAAAATCACTTTTTCAAATGTTGGCCAAGTTGGTTGGATTATCTCTCCAACTTCATTTGAAAACACAATTTTTTTTTATTTATTCAACTTGAATTATATGTAATATTAGAAGCAAAGTAATTTGAACGTAGGAAATACATTCTTGAAGTTTTATACTGAAGAAGGCTGAATGCAAAGTTAAATGATATATTGCTTCAAAACAGCATTAAGATTTACACTATTTCTTATCAGAATAACCTGATTAAATATTATCCCAACATTATAATTTGGACAATTTTTAAAGGACATTTTTAACAGTAATTACACACTTTATTTTGTAGAAGGGCTTATTATTTATAATAATGACCATCCATCCATCCATTTTCTGACATGCTTGTCCCTGCTGGGGTCGCGAGGGGTGCTGGTGCCTATCTCCAGCTGTCAATGGGCGAGAGGCGGCTACACCATGGGCGGTTCTAGACAGGGGCCAAAGGGGGGCCACTGCCCCTGTAGATCAAGTCCTGGCCCCTGTTTTGGCCCCTGCACTGAAGACATAATACTCAAAGAAATTCTTATGATGCACTGGAATAGACATGGTTACTGACAGGTCCTTTGGATTTATTAAATTTTTTTTTCCTTTACAAATTATGTTTTACTAATTATTTAAAAACAATAAAGTGATAGCTTCAGCGGTATTGTGATAGGATCCCAGTTTTCACTTGTTTTCAAAACAAACTTAAAAAAATGCTCTAATTTTGACAGCTTAATTATTTTTTTTTCTTGATTTGTTATTCTGATTTTATAGACAACAGTCATTTTAACTTAAATTAAGTCAAACATATGTAAAATTACTAAATTATGAAAGTTTATTGACCTAATAAGAGATATAATTTTAATTAAACCTAATTGAAAAGAAATTTCACTTCATGCAGCTCTCTTAATATACGTATTTTAACCCCTTGTCCTGCTTTTTATTTCATGGTTTTCTGTGCCCCCCTGGAAAACATGCTGGCCCCCTCCTGGTCCCGTGGTACATTTAGTCTAGAACCGCCACTGGGCTACACCCTAGACGCCTAGAACTTATACCTAATGTTCTAAATAAAAAACATAAAGAAATAATTTCAAATATACCAAGTAATAACTGGGTTACACTGAAGGTCTGCAAGCCTCAGAAAAGATTGGTTGATTCTTTTCAACATTATCATCATATTATTTACTTTTGGTCCATGCCTTTAAACAATCAAACTGGGAAGATTAATAAAAGCACAAATATTTCTAAGATTGGATAAGAGAAAACCAATCAACCTTCAGATGGAAATGAAAGCTGCAAAGTTAATGAGGAATGCCCTGGAGGCTTAGTAATAAACACTGAATCTCAAGTAAAATTGAAAAAATACTCTTCAAATCTTCCATTAGTGGAAAAAATGTTACAATAATTGCAAAAAAAAGGTGATAAGAAGGACTTTAATGAACTAATTTAGCAGATAAAAAATATATACACACACCCCACAGCAACATTCAGCTCCCCTCATTATCACAGCACATTTAGAAAAACATCAGTTGGAGCCTTTTTTTTAAACAGACTCATGCTTGGACATTGTTTCAGCTCTTTTTGGAGTTTATTCCAGACCTTCACACCACTGACCGAAATGCACATTCTCTTCTTTGGTGGTTCGAACCCTCAAGGTTCTGAAGTTAAGATTTTCCCTGTGGTCAGTCCCTGCAGTTCTTTATTTATCCTATTTTTAAAATGCCACGACTCTAATTACAAGCAAGTTTGACGTTTTTCATGATTGTAACGGCAGTTTATTAAATTCTTAAACCCTGTATTTTGGTAGCAGCGTTTTTTTTTTAACTTTCTTTAGAGAAAAACAAACAAATCATGATGTTCTTTCCAGCATCTCTGTCAGGAAACGAGAAAAGGGCAAAGAAATGCATAAAGAACATTTCATTAAAAATACCAATTAACACCTACTTGGTCAGCGTTTGTGTCACATTCTATTTATTTACCAAATAGTCAGTTAATCAAAGTTATTCCAGTTATGATTAAAGTTGCATTCTAAAAAACAAATAAAGTCTCAGAGTTTTCTATGCAGGTCATATTTAGCTTTCTAACAATAAGACAAATAAATAAATCCCTATGATTAAAATTAGACACTGATTAACCAACTTGTCGTGTTTCTTTTGCAGAAGACGGCAACGAGACGCCGTCATCTGAAGACGAACACGATCTGTTGGACTTGAACTCTGACCTGAGGATGAAACAGAGCATGAGTTCCAGGAAAACCATCAGTCAGATAATTAAGGACAAGAAGAAACAAACGCAGCTAACTCTGCAGTGGTAAGAGCAACACCTCTGGTCATGCTATATGGTGCATGCATACAAATTTTGCAATCAAATCACAATAGTACTTTTCTATTGTGTATAGTAGTACTCTTCTCACTCTACTGCAAAACATTGGACAAACTTTATTTATTTGCATCTTCAAAATGATTTATTTTTGTCAAATATGCCAAGATAACAAGATTTTTTTGTTAGTTCTTCAAGTTCATAAGTTACAGCCATTATCATTAGTGTTTGGTAGGATTAGGTTTTAAACCACATGATTTGGGTCAACATGTTTCTCCCATCATTTAATTAAAAATGATGGCCCATTCCTGCAGACAGAACATGTAACCAGGCATCCTTGGTCTAATAAACCTTTTCTATGGGCAAAGACCGCGGCTTATTGACGGTCCTTTTAAAACATTACCTTTGAGATCTTTAAGGGCTCTTTGTGATAACTGTCTTTGTAATTGTCTAAAGCTAGAGATTAATTTCTCTTCATTTAACTTATCCCCCTGTGGATGGGGGTGGGTTACCATTGAGTAGTAGCTGTGAGTTTTCTGGTGCTAAGGGTCTTGTTCAGGAAGCAGTAGTAGGAGTCTGTAGGATTTAAAAAAGTGAATTTGCTGCCTGCTCTAATCTAATTAACCGGTCCCAAAGTCAGACAAGATCTCCTCTCACTACAAGATGTTAACCCTGATCTCTAAAATCAAAAGCACAGATCTTCTTTGCTTTACTATGGAGAACATGAACACATATTTGTGGCAAAGCGTAAAGATGTTGCCTCGGTGAGTTAACATCATGTTTTCTCTTCATGATGGCATGTTTTGTTAAATAATATTTGCATCCATCCATCCATCCATCCATCCATCCATCCATCCATCCATCCATCCATCCATCCATCCATCCATCCATCCATCCATCCATCCATCCATCCATCCATCCATCCATCCATCCATCCATCCATCCATCCATCCATCCATCCATCCATGTTCTTATGCCGGGTGGCGGAGGCAGCAGTCTAAGCAGAGATTCCCAGATCCACACACACTTCCTCCAGCTCTGGGGACCCCGAGGTGACACCAGGCCAGCTAAGAGACATAATCCCTCCAGCGTGTCCTGGGCCTTCCAAGAGACCTCCTCTCAATGGGACATGCCTGGAACACCTCCCGAGGGACGCGACCAGGAAGCATCCGGAACAGATGCCCGAGCCACAGATGCCCGAGCCACTCTACTTGCGTAACTGAGCTCTTCACCCGATCTCGAAGGGTGCGCCGAGCCACCCTGTGAAGGAAACCTATTCCAGCCGCTGTTATTCGTGATCTTGTCCTTTCGGTCATTACCCAGATCTCATGACCATAGGTGAGGGTGGGAACGTAGATGAATTTGTAAATTGAGTCCGATACAGCAACCGCATCACTGCCAACGGCGCATCAATCGGTCTATCGATCTCATGCTCCATCCGTCCCTCACTCATGAACAAGACCCCGAGATACTTGAACTCCTCCACTTGAGACAAGGATTCTCCACCGACCTGAAGAGGGGAGTCCACATTTCTCCGGTGGAGAACCATGGCCTCAGATTTGCTTCACATGCTGCAAACTGCTCCAGTGCATTTTGGAGGTCGTGGTTTGATGAGGCCAACAGGACGACATCATCTGCAAACAGCAGAGACGATATCCCTCGCTGCACCTAGAAATTAACAGAACCGGTGACAAAGGGCAGCCCTGGAGGAGCCCAACATGCACCGGGAATTATATTTTAATACAGTGTGTTTAAATCTCTAGTTTTAGCTACACATACCTCAGACAATGATCCAAGTTATCATCTCAGAGGAACACCATAGGGTTTTATTAAATGTTGTGTTACAGTTTAGCTATTACTATCATTTCATACAGACACCCAAATCTTCTGGTCATAACTGTCTGATACGGAAGAGGATTAGGGCCACTGAAAAAGAAAAAAAAGTTAACTGATTTTTAAATTTGATTTCAGTTTAATATGGGAAAAAAGTCAGAATTCTGATTTTTTCCTCAGAATTCTGACTTTAATCTCAGAATTCTGACTTTTTTCTCAGAATTCTGACTTTTTCCTTAGAATTCAGACTTTTTTCTAAGAATTCTGAATTTTTTCTCAGAATTCTGACTTTTTTCTAAGAATTCTGACTTTTTTTCTCAGAATTCTGACTTTTTTTCTCAGAATTAGACAGCTAACAAACATGTTAGCATCAAGCCATAGCCATGTCTGTTTTAGAGACTAGCTCTCTTGTTTTAATGACCTTCTGCTCCTCCATTAATGAGGGGACCCCTCGGGCACGTAAAAAGTTGCCTAATTCCGTCATTTTCCACCATTGTGTCACTGGCCCATCTTTGTCAGTGATGCTGAGCGCTTCCACATCTCAATTCGGAGATTAAAGTCAGAATTTGGAGAAAAAAGTCAGAATTCTGAGAAAAAAATCAGAATTCTGACTTTTTTCCCCATGTTAAACTGAAATAAAATTTAAAAATCAGTTAACTTTGTTTTTTTTTTCTAGTGGCCCTAATCCTCTTCCGTAGTCTGAAAAGCTGCAGTGATACAAAGATTTAGAAAATGGTTTGATTCTATGCAGGAACACATCTGGTTGGGGTCACTTTTTTTTTTACTGGTTCACTCTTTTTAGTCTTCTTATCAGTTTATCTCGTTTTTTCTGGCTATAGGCTTGAGGAGAACTACATCGTGTGTGAAGGGGTGTGTCTGCCTCGTTGTATCCTTTACGCTCACTATCTGGACTTCTGCAGAAAAGAGAAACTAGAGCCAGCCTGCGCTGCTACGTTTGGAAAGGTGGGTTCAATTTTCCAGAAGGCAGTGAAATGTGATAAGAGAAATGAATGGTTAGGAAGGTAAAGTAAGCTTATCTCATCACTGCTCTTATTTGAGGCATTCGGTTTAGTCTATGTTATTTATAAATCTACAACTCCTTAAAATGTAAGGCTTCATGTAGTTATATGTAAAATTTTTAATTGCTCTGATCAAAAAAATAGGCCAAAACAATAAACAATGTCTGAACAACAAAGTCCAACTTTTCTGCTTTAGCAGCTATCAATTAAATGCATTTTATATCAATTATGCTCTAATGATTACTAGGGAAACCAGAAATTTGTATTTCAAAAATCCACCCTAAAGTCCGACTTGAACGAGGAAATACTGAAGATTTTATAGAGCAGACTTGGCTTGATGAAACGGGAGGAATAAAAGGCTAATTTAAAAAGAAATCATGCCTGCTTGCTTAAATTTGCAAAGAAGCAAAGCAAATCTGGAACAATTTGCTCTTCAACTGGGGCCTTAAACCAGCTGTTGGGCACGGTGGTGGAGGGATGCAGACCTGCAACATCCACTATCAAATGTGACCCTGCCCAAACACCAGGCGTCATTTAGACGATGGTTTTAAGGCTAAATCTTGTTGATTTAGTCCAGAAATATTTGTTGAAAATTTGGCTTTGTTTGGTCGGTCTGATTTTCTCACACTTTAGTCCAACAATAGACATTGATTAGAAGTTTCACACACAGTTTTCAACCTTATGGCTTTTCACCCTTCACTTTTCAAGCAAACCTAGACGCTGTTTGGATGTAAATCACGTCGTCTTTTCAATGTCTTTTCAACTTGGTTGATGGGGAAGCAGCCCGACTGACCTCTGACGCTCGTCTCAGAAAGGGACAGTGATTCCCAAATCTGGCTAAAAAACCCCGGCTACAAATTGCTGCAGTGGAACAACTGAAAACCAGATATCCACCTAAGATAATGTTGAGGTTGCATATGAAGAACTCTGTACTCTTCACAGTTTCGTGGTCACGGTTTTTGGTTCGGTTTGATTCCGTATATGTTGTTGTTACACCGAAATCCCATAAAAATTTATGAAATTAATGAAAAAATCCCCCCAAAAATAATGGATTGTAATTATTTTTAATGATCCGCGGAAACCCTGGATCATTTCCGTATGTTTTGCTGCTTTGAATTTAATCATCTCGCTGTAGGCTTTGCTTTGAGCAGGTGGTCTGGAGCGCAGCGGGGGTTGCTGACGGAGTATGCGGGATTTCGGGGTTAGCGTTACATGTTGCTGTTAGTATAAACAAAACGTGTTGTACAATGCTTGCACACTGTTGCACTTTTATCCACAAGTTTCTTTCCGCCGTCATCGTAGGTCACTCTAAATGCAAAGAGCTCCCATACAGCAGACCTATAAAGTGCTGCTGGCGCGTCTTCCAACTCCTGTTCTTTCCCACTCGCCATACCCACACAATTCTCCACAACAACTGATTTTTTTCCCCTGCTACACCCGGCTACGCTGCTTCGCTTCTTCTTCTTGTTTACTACTGGTGGTTGGCTTTGGTCGCAGTACCGCCACCTTCTGCTCGGGAGTGTAAACGCTTCGCCTATGAGAAAATGGAGCAGCGCATGAACCGAACGCAACACACGTGAACCGAACCGAGAAAGTCGAACCGAACGGTTTGGACAGTTTTCATAAATCGTCCCATCCCTATAATACAGTGATCGTTTTTAATGACTCTTAAGGGTTTTTCTTAAAGGTATTGTGGAGGATTTTTGTGAATTTTTGAAAAGACCCGCCCTCTCCACCTTAGAAAAATGCACATGCATGACCCTGCACCCGCTCTAGGGAGGGAAGGCCTATTAAACGCGTGCAAGAGCATGTAGGAGGCCATTTCTCCTCGTGCACGCTCTGTTTAAAAGTTGCCGTTCTCATAGATCATACAAGCTTGCTTTGCCTGAAGGTCCTCCCTAACCCCTAAATCCCTCAATCACTATATAGAGCGAACTCAGTTAACTTACCATGTGGACAGGCTGATCACTGCTTTTTGCTCCCCGTTGGTCACGTAACACCTACTCAGCTGTGCTGTTCCTGCGCCAACATTGTTATTAGTCGCAGCTGTCGGGTAACAACAGCCTATGGCGACAGCTGGCTACTGTGACTTAAAATCCAATAATGCTTTGTGAGGAGAGTGCAAAGCATTCTGGGATATATCTGCCTCTTCTGAGGCCTTTCTTTTCTTGTCATACACTTCGTAGACACCTATTCTCTTACGACCCTCTGCCATTTTCAAAGAACCGCGGTGAGAAAGGTGAACTTCAATGACCTCATGAAACCGTAGCTCACCACAGATATACGCCTCAAAGTTTGCATGTGCAGAAAAAGATAATTTCAATTAGGAGAACCACTTAATTAGATGATCCATCCGAAAATAAAAGACCACCCTCTATATCTTCAACATATAAAAGCTTGAATTTGACTTTGTTTCTTCACCATCTACATAAAAATCAGTTTTTGACTTAAGAGTATAAATTTGGATATTTTTGTCTGATATTAGCATTTTTTTTCTTCTATTGTGCACTGGAAAAACAATCTAGAAAGAATTAAAAATATCTTTAATTAAGTGTACATACCCTTAATTTGAGTACCGGTAGGTAAATGAGATAGTTTGCCAATGGAATTAGTATTTTTACTCTTAAAATAAGATAATTAGATAATATGCACTTAAAATAAGACAATGCAATTGTTTTTTTCATTATTTTATATCTAAATTGTCTTGTTCAATTGGCAGAATGTCTCTTTTATCTCCTCAATTCAAGAAGAAATACACTTATTTTAAGAAAAAATGACTTATTAAGATTTAGATTGTTTCCATTGTGATTGTCTGAGATGTGCGTGCTTTCATCGATTCATTAGTGGATTTAGAAGCTACGCCTTGAGATCAGGTGATCATGCATTGCCGCTCCCTCCATTTGCTTTCCGTCGTTAATGTTTATATCGTTCATAAATGTTTAACTTTTGTTTCAATTTAAACTTATTTGCCATCATTACATCTTTTTCTTTATGTAAATGGAGGAAGGAAAAAACAATATTGGTTTCAAAAATTTGTCCCAAAATACCAAATATTAAGAATCAGTTGGGCTGATGTCCAAATCATCCATAATTTGGATCTCCAGTTTGATCTTCAGCAATCGTATTCCTCTTTTTCTCATCAGACGATCCGGCAAAAGTTTCCCCTTCTGACAACAAGAAGACTTGGCACCAGAGGGCACTCCAAGTAAGAAGGAAATTAACATTCTAGAAAAGCTTCGACAGAAATACAACAAACTCAACTTTATGTGAAATAATGCCTGAGTTCGAACCTTCCCAGATATCATTATTATGGAATTGGGATCAAAGAGAGCAGCGCTTATTACCACTCCGTATATTCGGGTAAAGGTTTAACCAGGTGAGTTTAATTTTCCCTATCAGTGTTTTGTATTGCTACTAATCCAGGATCATTTAAAAACCAATTTAACATCTTAAAGGTTTTTCTTTACTCTTTTTTTGGTTTTGATCTCACTTTTTTGCAGATTTTCAGGGAGCAAGCTCAAGAATGAGGTAATCTGTTTACCCCAATATAATGCTTTCCACTTTTCCCCTTTCACAAAAAAGTATAATTTGGGATCGTTCCAGAAGTTAAATCTGGATTATTTCCCCCTTTGTGAAAAACCAGGTTGTGTCACATGTCTAAAATTATTGAACACCATCTATAGATTAAATTTTTTGGCAAAATTTAACCTGCTCAGGTATTTGCAGTAAAGAAATGCCACAAGACCTGCTAAGCAAGACATGCATGTCATACAGCAGCCTAAAAAAAACTATTTAACTTCTCATTAAGAGAAAACATCTGTAGATCTGGTTTGGCTGGAAAAAATCAAAAGCTAGATAAGTGATTTTCTCTTAAAAAAAGTGCATTTGTTCTTGAATTAAGAAGGTAAAATAGACACTTTGCCAATGGAACAAGACAATTTACATTTAAAATAAGAAAACACAATTGCATTGTCTTATTTTTTACTTTTTTCTAGATCGTTTTTCCCAGTGAACCAATCAAAGTTATGTTTGGGAAAATTTGGACTGAATGTAAAGTAGACAAAATATCAGATTCTCTTCACTTATACTCTATAGAATGAATATTGTTCCATTATTGTTACAAGCAATGATCACGTTTTGTAAACAGTATCAGGAGAAGAATGCAATCTAAAAATAAATCTTCAAAACATGTCATATTTACAGTAACTTTTGCTGTTTTCACAGATCTTTTTTTTATATATATATATATAAATGTATGAATAAATATATTTTATATATGTTATATTTTTAAACTTTTTTTATTTCTCTTTTTCAGATTGTGTTTTACAAAGCGCATTCTAAAAGATAGCAAACATTCTCTTCAAGCCTTATGCAAATGTTGCTAACGTCTATTATAATCTGTGAAATTTAACTGTAAAAGAATGCAATTCATAAAGCTCAACCTGAAAAAGATACATTGGAAAAATGAATAAAAAAAATAAAATGTGAATAAAAAAAACAAAGTTAAATTTCTGTTTAATTTCAGGGTAAAATTTTTTTGCTACCCTGAAATTAGGGTAGCATTTCCACTCACGCATTATGCTCTTTGCATGCAACGATAATGGAAAAAAAATTACTCCATACTTGAAGTGAAACAGTAAGATTTATAATCTTTTGAGGAAAAGAGTAATTGTAAATAAATTATAAATAAACATCACCTGAAAGATGCAAAAAAAAAAAGCTCAGGAACTAGAAGAAAGAAGTGTTCCTTCTATTTTATCAAGGAGATTATGGATATATTTTATAATCATAATACAAACTAGAATAAGAATTATGAGAAATATAAATAAAGAAAAGTGGTATTTCAACGGTGTGAATAATTTACAGCGTTAATACAATAAAGACAATACTTTTTGTTTTTTTTGTTTTTCAGAATGCATTTTTATGAGAGATGCTTGCCTCATTTCTTTTAGTTGGCAAACTTTCAGTTCCAATTCTCTGCAGCTATAAATAATTTACTGCTGACTGGATGTTTAACTCATTTTAATATGAAAAATCTTATATTCGGTTAAAATAAGGAAGCTAAAACGCTCTCAGATTCATAGTTTAATATAGTTTGCATTAAAATATGCCAGGAATGAGATCCGTTAATCTAATATTATTGGAGATTACCAGAGCTGGGAAGTAACGAAGTACAAATACTTCGTTACTGTACTCAAGTAGATTTTTCTGATATTTTTACTTTACTTTACTACTTATTTTTATGGCGACTTTTTACTTCTACTCCTTACATTTTTACACAAATATCTGTACTTTCTACTCCTTACATTTTAAAAAATTTGGCTCGTTACTTTAGTTTTGAATCATTTCAATGGAGTTACCGTTATTATTTTTCACGTCATCAATACCAAATTCAATCTAATTGGATGGGAATCTACGTTGCATTTGACGCACCACTACAAGATGAATCGACAGATTCGGCGGTATCCATTCGCGGCAAATCATTGCAGCTTGGTGGCGGTGGCGTTAACATAGTAGTATGGACGACGAGATGATAGAAAATGAACACAATGGAGATCTAGTCCTATTGGCAGACATCCATTTAAAATGTAGGCAACGGCATGAAAAAAGTGGTTTCTACTTTTACTTTTATACTTTAAGTAAATTTACAAGCCTGTACTTTGTTACTTTTACTTGAGTAAAGAAGTTTAATCAGTACTTCCACTTTTACCAGAGTATTTTTTAACACAAGTACAGTATCTGTACTTTTACTCAAGTACGGAAAGTGAGTACTTTTGCCATCTCTGGAGATTACTGAATTGTATTAGCTAAGATTTTACACATTTTAGACACCATTTTACCAATTTTTGTTCCCTATATCTATTTTATTTAATATATATTTATTGATAAAGACACAGCTGGTTTATCTTTTAACTAAACATGACTGTTTTGCAGGGTGGCTTTACCAGGAAATACTCTTTGAGCTCTAAAACTGGAACCTTGCTCCCGGACTTCCCCAGCGCCCAGCATCTTGTGCTGCAGGGAAATAGTTCCAGAGAAAAGGTCACTGATGCGTTTCTTTACACAGAATGATTTATTTTGTTTTATTGAATAATGTTTCAGAATCCTCCATAAATCATTGCTTAGATTGTTTTAAATTAGTGTGAAGCCTCTAGATTTAAGAAGATTATATTCTCTCCTATCTTACAGGTTGACACTCTGATCATGATGTATAAAACACACTGTCAGTGCATCCTGGACAACGCCATCAACGTCAACTTTGATGAGGTTATCACACATCATTTAGCAGCACTTTATAAAACATTTTAAAGTTGATAATTGCACTAAAACAGATTTTTATTTATGTTTTGTTCAGATCCAGAACTTTCTGCTCCACTTCTGGCAGGGAATGCCCGACCACCTGCTGCCTCTGCTTGAAAACCCGATTATAGTCGACATCTTCTGCGTCTGTGACTCTATTCTCTACAAGGTTTCCATAAACTACTTCAACACGTACAAATTTGATTTTATAGCATTTCATTCAGTTTTAATATCATTAGTATTATATAATTAAATTCTTTATGCGAACATGTCATGGAGTGAGAGCTGCAGGCAGCCATGAAACCCATTGCCACTACTTAGGCTGCATACATCCTGCTAGAGATTTGAGCATCAAGGACATCTTTTACATTTAAAATCTATGGTGAACATGTCTTAAGTGAAGTGTATTTACCCTTAATTTAAGTGGGTAAATACAATGATTTACCAATGAAATTAGTATGTTTACTCTTAAAATAAGATAATTAGATAATATAATATAATAATATAATAATTTTCTTCTTTTAAATGTAAATTGTCTTGTTCCATTGGCAAAGTGTCTCACTTTCGTACTGAATTGGAGAAAAAATGCACTTATTTTAAGTAAAAATTGCTTAATTAGATATCCATTTCTTGCAGTGTGGGTCCAAAGCAGTAGATGCACTGGAAAAACGATCTAGAAATAAGTAAAAATATTTTAAATTAAGTGTATTTACCCTAAATTTGAGTAGGTAAATGAGTTTGCCAATCGAATGAGTATTTTCACTCTTAGAATAAGATAATTAGATAACATGCGCTTTAAATAAGACAATTCAAATGTACTTTCTTATTTTAAATGTAAATTGTCTCGTTCCACTGGCAAAATGTCTCACTTTCCTCCTAAATTTAAGAAAAAAAGACACTTATTTTAAGAAAAATTGACTGATATAGATTCAAATTTTTTTGCAGTGTGGAGGAGTTGGGAAAATGTACAGGTGCTGGTCATAAAATTAGAATATCATGAAAAAGTAGATTGATTTCAGTAATTCCATTTAAAAAGTGAAACTTGTATATTATATTCATACATTACATACAAACTCATATATTTCAGATGTTTATTTTGTTTAATTTTGATGATTACAAATGACAACAAATGAAAATCTCAAATTCATCATATCAGAAAATTAGAATATTGTGAAAAGGTTCAAAATTGATGGCCCCTGGTGCCACACTCTAATCAGCTAATTAACTCAAACCACCTGCAAAAGCCTTTAAATGGTCTTTCAGTCTAGTTCTATAGGCTACACAATCATGGGGAAGACTGCTGACTTGACAGTTGTCCAAAAGACGACCATCGACACCTTGCACAAGGAGGGCAAGACACAAAAGGTCATCGCTAAAGAGGCTGGCTGTTCACAGAGCTCAGTGTCCAAGCACATTAATAGAGAGGCGAAGGGAAGGAAAAGATGTGGTCGAAAAAAGTGTACAAGCAAGAGAGATAACCGCACCCTGGAGAGGATTGTGAAACAAAACCCATTCAAAAATGTGGGGGAGATTCACAAAGAGTGGACTGCAGCTGGAGTGAGTGCTTCAAGAACCACCACACACAGACGTATGAAAGACATGGGTTTCTGCTGTCGCATTCCTTGTGTCAAGCCACTCTTGAACCACAGACAGCGTCAGAAGCGTCTTGCCTGGGCTAAAGAGAAACAGGACTGGACTGCTGGTGAGTGGTCCAAAGTCATGTTCTCTGATGAAAGTAAATTTTGCATTTCCTTTGGAAATCAAGGTCCCAGAGTCTGGAGGAAAAGAAGAGAGGCACTTCATCCACGTTGCTTGAAGTCCAGTGTAAAGTTTCCACAGTCAGTGATGGTTTGGGGTGCCATGTCATCTGCTGGTGTTGGTCCATTGTGTTTTCTGAGGTCCAGGGTCAACGCAGCCACATACCAGGAAGTTTTAGAGCACTTCATGCTTCCTGCAGCTGACCAACTTTTTGGAGATGCAGATTTCATTTTCCAACAGGACTTGGCACCTGCACACAGTGCCAAAGCTACCAGTACCTGGTTGAAGGACCATGGTATCCCTGTTCTTAATTGGCCAGCAAACTCTCCTGACCTTAACCCCATAGAAAATCTATGGGGTATTGTGAAGAAGAAGATGCAATACACCAGACCCAACAATTCAGAAGAGCTAAAAGCCACTATTAGAGCAACCTGGGCTATCATAACACCTGAGCAGTGCCACAGACTGATCGACTCCATGGCACGCCGCATTGCTGCAGTAATACAGGCCAAAGGAGGCCCAACTAAATACTGAGTGCTGTACATGCTCATACTTTTCATGTTCATACTTTTCAGTTGGCCAACATTTCTATAAATCCTTTGTTTTTATTGGTCTTCAGTAATATTCTAATTTTCTGATATGATGAATTTGAGATTTTCATTTGTTGTCATTTGTAATCATCAAAATTAAACAAAATAAACATCTGAAATATATGAGTTTGTATGTAATGTATGAATATAATATACAAGTTTCACTTTTTAAATGGAATTACTGAAATCAATCTACTTTTTCATGATATTCTAATTTTATGACCAGCACCTGTAGTTATGTGCTTATTCACAATAAACAAATTTAAAAATTCAAATGTAAATATTTCTAGACAACCTCAGAGGATCCTGGGGGCCATAAGCAGCGGCTTTCAGGTTTGAGACTTTAGTTTATGTGCTAAAGTGTCAAACCTCACACCAACTCTGTCCTACCAGGGTCTACATCCTGAGCCCTCAGCTGATTAATCTTTTACTGCAACAGCACTGTCTCTTATTGAAAAGTAAAAAAGTTACAACTTTAATTTTATGCTCTGAAAAGGAAAAACTGTAGAAAATTTAAGTTTATAACAAAAGGAAATTGGATTCTGCTTTGATTTGTCTGTGTTCTATCTGATAATTTGCTGTTTTCCCAGGTTTTAACAGATGTTTTAATTCCTGCCACGATGCAGGAGATGCCAGAAAGGTACACTTCATTCATTTTGCAGCAGAGTTCTTATTTTCTAGACTTTTATATCCTCTTCAGAGCTAAATAGTGACGTTAAATGTTGTTTGTCAGTCTATTGGCAGATATCAGAAACTTTGCCAAGCACTGGGAACACTGGTTGGCCTCCTCTCTGGAAAACCTCCCAGAATGCCTTGCAGCCAAGAAGATGCCCATAGCGCGCCGCTTTGTTTCCTCCCTGAAGAGACAAACTTCTTTCTTACACCTGGCACAGGTACAGCAGTATTAGAAACGGGTCTAATGCCTGAAAACTCAATGCAAAAAATGTAAACCTTAATAAGTCATTTTCTTAAAATAAGTGTACTTTTTCTTGGATTGAGGAGGTAAGTGAGACACTTTGCCAATGGAACAAGACAATTTTGATTTAAATTAAGAAAAAACAACTGCATTGTCTTATTTCAAGTGCATTTTATCTAATTATTTTAAGAGTAAAAATACTTATTCCATTGGCAAATCCTCTGACTTACCTACTCAAATTAAGGGTAAATACACTTAATTTAAGTAATCTTTACTTATTTCTAGATTGTTTTTGCAGCTGCTAATGATCCGACTCCTTTCTGCTTGGTCACAGATAGCCCGCCCGGCCCTTTTTGACCAGGCTGTAGTGACCAGCATGGTTCTGGACATTGACAGTGTTGATCTCAGCAGCATCAACTCACAACCCCTGCTCAGCGTGTCGGCAGCTGGAGACCAGGACTCCGATATTTACACTGAGTGTAAGACCCACGACCTGTGACCTCCTGCTTATTATGTCTGTTAATGTGGCTTAAATGGCAAGCATCCAAAAACGTTCTCATCTCTGGTAAAACATTTATAAAAAAAAAATCTGTTTATTTATTTCAAAACACATCTTAGGATACATTGAACTGAAAAATGCATACATTCATTGTAAATCTAAAGACAAATGCTGTATTTTGAAGGAACCAGTTATGTTTAAGCATAAAAAAGTGTAAATATTTTAAAATAATTTGTAGATAAGTGTAAAAGATATTTAGAAACAGCATTAAATAAATAAATAAACAGAATAATCAAAGAAAGGAAACCGAACAAATATATATATATATATATATATATATATATATATATATATATATATATATATATATATATATATATATATATATATATATATATATATTTGTTCATTAATAGAGCTAATGTCTATATAAAAAATAGATAATTTAATGAAAAAAGAAGTGCATGAATGACTAAATGTATTTATGTAAATAAGCAGATGGAAAAATTGTTAAAATGATTCAGAAATGACTTTATAAGTAAAGAATACATAAAAGAATCGTAACTAATGGAAATAATCGACAATCAGTTAATAAAGACATTACAGAGTAATTTATGAAAAAATAAACAATAGTGAATAAAAGATGCATGATACTGACATTGAAAGATAAAATGGAAAGAAGTAAAATCATGAAAGGAGGTCATACAGGCTCTGGTTGTGTTAGATATAATCCTGTAATCAGCTGTATTTTATGTTTGTCCTGAGTGAAAATAATTAATTATACATTTAAAAATATGTATATATTTTTCTTCTGAAATAGAATCTCTGAATAGAATTTATTCCCCTATTAAGAGGAAAAGTTTTACTGGCTTTTTTAAATTGAAATTAAACACAAAATAATTAACAGAATAACATAAATTGACATTTTAATCCTGGAAATGTTTATCTTTAACTCTTAGCTATCCAAATTAATTGAGAATTACCCATAAAAACATATTTTTATTGAGGTGGTGTTGGTATTTTATGTTCTTTTTTTGTTGTCGTTACCCAGATGATTCAATTAGCGTCTTTCAAGAACTGAAGGAGCTGCTGAGAAAAAATGCCACTGTTGAATCGTTCATAGAGTGGTTGGATTCTGTGGTTGAGCACAAAGTCATCAAGGTAGAAGCAGTTCACTCAGGCATCCTGGTTTCCACACACAGAATTAATCTGCAAATCGGCTGCTTTGTCTTTGTTTTCTTGCCTTTGTGTTTTCATCAGCCTGGCAAGCAGTGCGGTCCATCTGTGAAGAAGAGAGCTCAGGATTTCCTCCTCAGGTGGAGCTTCTTTGGTGCCCGGGTCATGCACAATCTCACGCTCAACAACGCCTCCAGCTTTGGTAAGGAACTGTAAAGAGATTTCATTTGGACTCAAAGGCATTTATGAAACTGGTGTCAACTTCAACTCTGATGCTTTAAAACTAACTCTGGACCGAACACTGATGCTGGCCGGTCAGAGATGGCAGGGAAAGTTTTGTAACAGAAGAGAAAGAAGCTACTTAAGGCAGCAAATAAGTACTCACCTATTTTCCAAAGGAAATTTTCTCAAGAGCATCCAAACCCTCAGAGTTCCTTTTTGATCCTTGGGCAATCTTTTTAAAGCTTTACGCATGGCTTTGCATACGAACTTTATCTTTTATAAGAGAAAACATTGGAAGTCTGGTCCTGGGGTAATTTCAGATCCCTGGAATAATTTTTAATGTCTGCTTGCTTCAGACTAATATTACTACAAATTTGACCCTCATGCAAACCGAACCCATGCACACAGATAGACTGGTAAATTAATATCTTCCAAAATGATACTAATAATTATGTAAATAATAATAATTGAACTTTATTGATCTTACATTAGAGAAATTTACCTTTGCAGTTAATCCATCCCGTTTGGGAGCAGCGGGCTGCCATTGTGCGGCGCCTGGGGAGCAGCGTGGGGTTAAGGGTCTTCCTCAGAGACCCAGAGTGTCAGTCTGTGGTAGTGGGGCTCGAACTCAGAACCTCAGGATTCCAAGCTGTATACCCTAACCACTTGGCTGCCACTCCCTCAGCAACTGAAAAATGAAATAAATTAAAAATGTTTGATGCAAACAAAAATATTCCTGTCATTTGAGAACTGTTTTTTACTTTTCATTTTCATTCTATACTCAAAAAAACCCAGGACTTGTTATTTACACGTCTCCATTAACATTGACTAAGTATAGGTTTTAGGGAAAAGGCTCAATTTTATTGCTGAAAATGGAGTGAAAATATATTCTTGACCAACAAAATAAGAAACATTTAAGCCAAAATGTTTGGAAACTGGAAAGCTTTCATTTATTAAGACAAACATTTTGCCCCTTTTTGTTAGACGTATTATAATTTTTGTTTTTTACTTTTTTATCAAATTACTAATGGTGTAATTATAAAAACGCCGATTTATATTAAAACTATTTCTATATCCTTTTTAAGTAGAAGAAGAGAACAACCCTGTGGGCTTTGAACCTGTTGGGTTTTGGTTCACAGTGCAAAAAAATTAGCAAAAATAATCCATCATAGAAATCTTGTTCTTCCTTATCTTGTAGAAGATTTCTTTATCACACAGCATAACTAAAGTCACCCTTTGGCAAATATAAATGAGGCCATTTTTGTTCCATTGTTGTTGGAAGCAAAGATGTTCTGAAAATGAAAATTAGAAAAAGAAATGCAGTCTGGAAATGAAACTTTTTCAGCAAAAGAAGGTTTTTAGAGTTACTTGCTGTTTTCTCAGATATTATTCTGTTCAATAATGTTTACTTAATCCATATTTTTACAAATTGCGTTCCTTTCAAACTACCTTGTACAGATATGAACCTTCTAGAAAAAGGTTAAACTTTTTTTAATCTGTCATGTTATCAAAACAAGACTTTTTACTAGTCTGGATATCTGAAGGTAGCTTGTTGCATTGTATTTTATTGTTATATTATATTGTTTATTTATATGAAACTCCAGAAAAAGAAATTAATAATTTTCTTCCCTATTTTTCTCTTTGCATTTCTTTGTGTCGCTTTAATATAAAATCACATAAAAAAAGTTGAAGCTTTGTTATAAATATAACAGAATAAAAAAAACTCACTTTTTCAAGGTACTATAATTCTTTAAAGTTTTATTTTTTATGCAGTTACATAATGTCTTCATATTCTACTGCTTTCCTGTCCTTAAAGCACCGAATCAGCAGAGGAAGATGATCCAGGTATGCGACTGTGTCCTGCTGGATCCAAACATTTGGTCCTGATGACTTTTTTCAGGGTTTACCACAAAGGAAACAGTTGAAAAACGTCCCCGCAGTCAAGAGACATGCAGGTCTGATAGGAGCCAGCTCAAAGCAGATTGCTACAATAGCACCATAAATTGTAATGGCCAGACTCGCTTTGATTACACAGCGTCTTATCTGCGGTTCACGTCCTCTCTGTTCAAACACACGCACACAGGCTACGTGTGCATGAATAAACAATGACCATTTGGTGGCTCTCGCTCTCTCTGAAGGCCCACTTAAGCTCAAACACAAACGTGTGGCCCCGCAGGTCAAACAAAGAGCAGTCGGGCTCTAAAGGTCAGGGAGCTGTCAAGTGAAAGCTCGGCTGGAATAAACACAGAGAAAAGTTTTCCAGCAGCTTCTGTTTAAAAGTAAACTGAGCTTCTTTGTGTTCTTTGTGCCGACAGGTTCCTTCCACCTGATCCGGATGCTGTTAGATGAGTACATCCTCTTGGCTCTGGAGACACAGTTCAACAACGACAAGGAGCAGGACCTACAGAACCTCCTAGAAAAATACATGAAAAATGCAGGTATGAGGCGTCATTGAACCTAAATCTAAGAGTAAAGGGCAGCAGTGAATATCCATCATCAGCTATCAATAATAACAACCGCCGCTGCTTCCTAATAATATGTTTTATATCTGTACAGACTTGGATTTTTACCACTTTTTGATTTTTTTCTAATCAAAAACTTGACTAATTTTTGTCTAACTACAAGAGTACAAATCTCATAAGGTTTGTGTTCTAATAATTCTGTCATACAGCAGACTTCTAGACTGTAGGTTGAAAAATGGAGGAAAAATGACAAGAAGACAACAAAATAAAACTGCAAAACCTATATGCAGCTGATCAAAATATAAAAGTTGTTTTAGGATACAAGAAGTAACCTTGTTTGGGATCAAACTCTGGTTTAAACTGTGAAGCAGTGTTGACTTTGTTAATTTTTTTGTAGAACAAACTAAAGAAATGGGAACATAGGAACTTTTGTATTGAAATAACCAGAAACTGCCCTGATGGATCTACATTACCCGGAACGTAGCGTCTTTTCTAGGCTGATTTTGTGGGTTTGTGTTTATATGTTTATGTAACATAAAAATTTCCCCAAGTCTTAATTTTTAGAGCTAAAGCTAACCCATCATTCTTTCACTTCTGACAGAATCATGAATGGTTAATTAACAGTGTTATGAAGCAGCGTATTCCATACAGGAGGCAATGCAGTCAGGGAATAGAGGCATCTAAAAAATAAAGGACAGAAAGGTCTGAGGGATGGTGTGAATCCATAAAGTTGTAAATGTATTTCTGCAGGGCATGCAGGTGATGCAGTGGTTAGTGCACATGATCCATGTATGCAGGCCTTAGTCCTCGACGTGGCCGACCGGGGTTCGAATCCAGCCTGTGGTCCTTTGCCGCTTGTCTCTCCCCCTCTAGTCACTAGTGCTGTAAAAACTCAAAAGAAAAAAGTAAAAAGAAATGTATTTCAGCAGAGGAGGAATTGCCAGCTAGTTATCCACAAGCTTATCTTCTGATTGTTTTACAGCAGTTATACTCTGACATTAAAGTCGCAGGGAAATCATATTCAACTGTCAAATCATTTTGGCTTAAACGTGTAGATAAATGTACTCTTTATCAGACCATATTGTCCCAAAAGTTAGAAAATTTCTATTTAAAAAAAAAAAATCCAGTCTTAAAATCTGTGTTTTTTATTTTATTTTATTCCGGCCAGTTAGTTATATGTCAGCTCGTACACCTAAATTCGGCCAATCATATATCAACGCTCATCTGTCAATCAAATTTTGTCGGTCATAGCATCTTGATTCATATGTCATATGTTGCGAGGCGAGGGCTCAAACATGTACGGCTGTAAACCTTCTACACCAAACCAAGCTTCTGCCGCCCTGGCGTCCTCTAACACAACATCTTCCTCCCCGCTTTCCTCCTCTAAATAAAAAATGGATGATGGAGGAGACTCATCCACCTCCGACACAAAACTCTCCTCCTCTCGCATGTTTCGGCTGTCTATAGCGTTCCTTGACAATGTTGCTTCTAAGTCACCAATTTAGTGCTACTTGGTCCCAATGGAATTTCCCATTGGGAACCTACTAGCACTAAGTTGCTAACTGGTTAGCAATATGCTTCCGACAAACCGGCCACAATCAAACTTGCTTTTGAACCTTCTGCCACAACGATCCCGCCCCTTTGATAAACGACCAATCACGTTCAATTTATTAATTCGTGTAAAGTCGTGCACCACTTGGGGGGAATATAGAAATGCAACGGTTGGAATAGTTGCTTCCCTACGACTTTTAATGAAATCTCTCGATACTCTGAGGACGCATCGATAATCAACATACTTTCTTTTCAATTTATTTAAATGTAAATAAAATTGAACAATATCAAGTTTCCATAAGCGGCATTTTTTTTTTGTTTCTTCTTGCAATACTTACTTTTTCAAAAGAGTTCAGATTTGCTATATCTATTACATTTATTTAAGATCTATTGAAGAATTTAATTATTTAATAAATCTTCAGGGTTTTGGTTTAGTGGAAGGGAAATCCTAATGAAATCTGACCACATGTCGTGTCTGATCGTCCCTCTCAGATGCCAGTAAAGCAGCATTCATGGCATCACCCAGTTCCTGCTTCCTGGCCAACCGCAACAAGGCGTCCGCTTCCGTCGACCAATCGGTGAAGAACGAGTCTGTGGGAGAGCACGCCTACATGCCTCTGTCCACCAATCAGCAGCAGGATCTGGAAGCTAAAACAGTCCTCTATCAGGGAAATGACAGTTCTGGTTTCTCATCTTCAGGTAAACATAAAAAAATATGTTTAGTTCAAGCATGGAAAACATCTGAACTCATTTATCCAGAAGGTGGAGAAGAGTCCTGCTGCTTCCAGTTTTTCATCCTAAAAGATAAATCTCCCTGTTTTTCCTCTTTAACTCCCCATCAGGTGGTCAGATGGACTTCTCTCAGGTCAGCGGGCCACTCATGACCCCGCCCATCTCACCTGCTGCATTAGTGCACAGGGGCTCTGTCATCAACCAAGGGCCCATGGCAGCAGGGGGGCTGGCACCTTCCTCCTTGTCATGCTCCTTCTCCTCGTCCTCCTGCCTCTCGTCTCTCAGGGAAATATCGCAGCCCAGCTCCTGCCCTTCATACCCGGACACCTTATACCAATGCTTACCTCAGTCCAGTGGTTATTTCCCCCCCGCCAGCAGCAGGTCCTCGGCTCCGAGCTACCAAACTGCTCTCAGGTCAGCTTTCATCAGAAATATGGGTGTTTTTTTTTGAGTCGGCCATGTTAACATATTAACAATGAAAAATCAGATTTGCTATTGTCTGAAAGTAGAATTGGATCGACAGCATCAACCGACATAGGGATTAGATTTACTTACAGTTTTACTAAATTGTTGTGTGAAAAAAGTATTCAACTATTCAAGGATTCAAAAGGAAGATCCATGGATTTCACTCAGTCCGCACTTTATTTTACTTTGCAAAGTAAAAAGAGAACAAGACAATCATACACTGAAAAAAAAATGCATCCGCTTTTTGTATTTGCTTAACAATATTTAGTTACTTTAACACAATTGTTTTATATCCTACCCTGCTAACATGAAACAATTGTGTTAAAGTAACTAAATATGATTAAGTAAATGCCAAAAATGGCTGCATTTTTTTATGAGTCACCGTCTGATGTTCGGCCCTGCTCTGATCTAGACAGTGTTTGTCTCTCACTAATTAAAACCCTGCAGAAAGGCTGTGAAGCTCTCCTGCTATTGTTACCTAAAAAGAGACAGACAGTTGAAAATACGCAATGTTATGAAATAATCCCTGACAAACAGTCTGGTTTGTTATGAAAACCATTATTTTTAATCCCAAACACTCCCTAATAAGATAAAAATAAAAAGCAACTCTCCCTTAGACACCTTGTAGCTTTGCAGCTCTGAGGCCTGAAAGAATGAAAGTCAGGATTCATCAATTTATATTTGTAAAAGAGAATTATTAGGAGTTAGTTTTTTTCCCCAACACAGTATGAAAACATGTGTTCAGGCTCAATAAATGCCTCCAATTGTTGTTTTTTTAGCGTACGCTTCATTGTTGCTATCTTTTCAAATAGAAAGCATGTGGCCATAGTGGAGAGGAAACACTTAGGTTTAACAGGAAGGAACATTCTGTTTTCTCTCCTTTTTTTTTATTTACTTGTTTTGCTCAGTATGAGCCAGGCAGCCAGCCAGACTGACTTACGTCATGTACGCGGCATATTACACTAGAAAAACCATCTAGAAATAAGTAAAAATGTCTTAAATTAACTGTATTAACCCTTAATTTGAGTAGGTAAATGACGTAGTTTGCCAATGGAATGAGTATTTTAACTAGTGTTGCGCCGATGCCATTTTTTGGCCCCGATACCTGGCTGTGCAGTAGCGACCGATACCATAATAATGTAAAATAATTGCCTTCATGGCTTTGTCAAGCTGCTGCCTACCTTTGTGAAGCAGGAAAAAATCTAATACAAAGTGAATCCAGTAGAACTTTTTATTGCCTACCAGGAGTGGGTGACAATAGTTGAATAAACTTATGGCTCTAATGATATCGATGCCCTATTTGTTGGTATTCGGCGATACCGATACCACCATTTTAGGGCAGCATCGGGGCCCGGTCCAATACTGGTATCGGTGCAACACTAATTTTTACTCTTAAAATTGATATAATTAGATAATATGCACTTGAAATAAAACAATGCAATTGTGTTTTCTTATTTTAAATGTAAATTGTATTGTTCTATTGGCAAAATGTCGCTTTTACCCCCTCAATTCAAGAACAAATGCATTTATTTTAAGAAAAAAATGACTTATTTAGATTTCGATTTTTTCCAGTGTAGTCTGGAAAGGACTGAAAGATTTAGAGGAATCAAACCAGATAACTACTGCCATTGTGCAAAAGCATTTTTTTTTCCAAAGAAAAGCTTTTAAGGATTCAGTTGTTAAAATTTTTAAAGAAATAAACTGCTCTTTTTGGGACACAATAAAGGGGGATCTTAAAAACACTGCTCAATTACAGATGCAATGTGACTCTTATGGTTACAGAGAAGCTCTTTTGCATGATGGGCCAGCCTCCAGAGCTGAGATTGGTCCAGTTTCTTTAGACCATACTTTTTAGGGCATTACCAGACTGACCTATGCCCTGTGCAAGTTAAAAAAAATAAATAGGAAGAGGCTTGTTTCTTTCTTTGCAGTCTGTTAAAAACTAGAACCTTATGATAACAAAACATGCTCAAACATGGTCTTGTTGAGCCGCTGTAACTAGGGTCGTCCATATTCATTTCATGATTCGGTCCAGAAACAATACTGCTGGACAAACCTATAACAATTAGGATCAACTATTTCCTAAAGCTATAGGATACGATTTTTGATCATGTTCATGGTCTCTTTTCACAGATCCCAGGCTCAGAATCCCTGTATGTCAGCAGCTCAGACTCATAATCCCCCTCTGGGCTGTCACCTTCCCCGGTACCCGTCCCTCAGTGATCCACCTCTGAATAAGGAAGCTTTTTACCCTACATCTGGCAACGCCGACTGCTCCCTGACAGCTTATGGTTCGGCAGTCCGGCCACCTTCCAGGTACACTCCAGGCCCAGAACCGGTTCAGTCGGAGCAGGGAATGGATCAACAGGCAGCGGCTCAGATACTGGATGCCTCGGAGGGTTTTGGGTTTATGGGAGCTGGACTGAACCTCGCTGGTGGTGGTTGTCAGGGACAGACCTATGGCGTCCTGGGACATGGCGGTAAGGATTGTAACAATCTAACATTTCTAATTTCTTCTTTAGATGCAAAAAAAAAAAACCTTTTCTAATTCAGGGAAATTATGTAATTGAGATGACTTTTGAATTTCTTACTGTTGTAGTGATCTTTAATGCTAATTTTTGTTTACATTCCGATTAAACCAGTCTTCTAATGCTAAAATGCTAATACCCCAGAATCAATCCACACTCAAAAAATTTTCTTTTTGCAGCAGGTTTTTATAGCAACAGCAGCTTCTTCTCCGGCCAGCGAGTGAATGCTTTGGTTGATCAGCATGTGTCCGTCATCAGCAGCGTGGGAAGTCTTCGCCCCTTCTCTTCGACCTTCTCTGAAGTCCACGATCCGCTGAACATCCTGGGCGAACCAGGAAGGAAGACCGCTGGAAGCTTTTTCAGCGAGGCAGAATCTGGAACAGGTCAGTGTCAGAACCTGAATCTTTTGATCGATTGCTAAACCAGAAAGAATTTTAATCTAGACAGGTCAGTTTTTCTTCAAAATTGCTTTAAAACAACCCAGGAAACTTGATTGAAATCATATAAAATTCAATGGAAAACATCAATATCTAGATAAGTTATTTTTTTCTTAAAATAAGGGTATTTGTTCTTAAATTGAGGAGGTAAGTGAGACACGTTGCCAATGGAACAGTACAATATACACTAAAAATAAGAAAAAAAACAACTGCACCGTCTTATTTCAATCGGTATTACCTAAATATCATATTTTAAGAGTAAAAATACTCATTCCATTGGCAAACAAATCTTATTTTCCTGCTCAAATTAAGGGTAAATAAATTTATTTTAAAGCATTTTTTGTGGCCAAACACAACACAGGAAAAAATATCTAGAAATAAGTTCAAATTTGCTAAATTACCCTTAATTTAAGTAGATAAATGAGATAGTTTGCCAATGGAATGAGTATTTTTACTCTTGAAAAATGATGTTTACGCACTTGAAATAAGAAAATGCAAAAGTTTTTTCTTATTTTAAATGTACATCGTCTTGTTCCATTGGCAAAATCTCTCTTTTACCTTCTCAATTCAAGAACAAATGCACGTATTTAAAGAAAAAAAATTACTTATCTAGATATTGATGTTTTTCCAGTGAATTATACACTGCAAAAATGATCTGAAATTTAGTAAAAATGTATTAAATCAAGTATATTTTCCCTTAATTTGAGCAGGAAAATAAGATTTGTTTGCCAACGGAATGAGTATTTTTACACTTAAAATAAGATAAATAGATTGGCAAAGTGTCGCACTTACCCCCTCAATTCAAGAAAAAAATGCACTTATTTTAAGAAAAAATTACTTTTTGGGTTGTTTCTTGGGTTGATTTAAAGCAAAACAAACTTTACACCACACCTAAACTACCTTGTCCCAGGCCTAGACTTGGATAAAAAAAAAAAAAAAGTATGTTTTCAAAAAAGTGTTTTCTGTTACCTGTGCTAAAGCATATAATCAAAGTCAGCTGCAGATCACCTAAAGTTACGTTCACACCGAAAGCGTTTCGGGCATCAAGTACGCTCAAATGCCGAAATGTGGACTGTGGGTCAGATGCAACGCTCTGGCTGCATGGCGCTCTGGTTGTTTATCTGCTTCAATCTAGAGAGCAGCTTGGCTTTATTTAGTTTGATTAGTTGGAAAAATAGTTTTAACGCGTTTTTAAGTGAGCAAATCTACCTCAAAACATCATCTGCTCAGTCAGTTCATCAGGAGTATGATCCTACTAAAATGTGCAGTTTTTGTTTGGCGCGCCAGACCTCCAGCATAGGCAGCGCTGGAAAATCCTTCTGAGCTCTCTTCTCTGGCCAGCTTGTTGGGGATGGAAATTACTATAAAGAGTTTTTAAGTTTTGTTGTAAAAGAAAATTCAGCATTTATGTATATATTTATGTATTTATGGATTGCTATGTACAAGGAGAAATGAGTGAACTCCGAGCATCAGGGTGAATACACAGGGCTTATATTTAACAACACTAATCACCACTGTTATATTAAGAAGGGTCCCTCATTCTGATTGTGAAGTACGGAGGTGGTAGCATCATGCATGCATGCTGCAGGAGGGACTGATGCGGTTCACAAAATAGATGGCCCTGTATGGACAGAACCTGATGTGGAAATATTGAAGCAAATATTGAGTGGCCACCTCAAAGCCTTGATCTCACTCCTGTAGAAACCATGTGGCAGAGCTAAAAAGGTGCTTGTGAGCAAACCTGAGCCACAGTCAAACTCCAGTAAACCTTTGAGCCAATTCAGGAACAATACTGAGGAACTGTACAGTATGTAAACCTCTGAGTTTGTAGAAACCGATATAAAAAAGTATATCTTTATAATTTCTGTTGCATTTAGTCAACAGAAATATTCCCAACTTCTTTTCATTGAGAGCAAAGTGGAACTGGAGTCTAATTCCTCGTTTATATGAGTAAAAATGGTCCGTAAGAGACAATTCTTATTTAATCCACAGGTCATTCCCTGCCCTCGTCCGGATCCGCCACCTGCATGTTCGGCCTTCCCTCTCCGTTCAGCTCACAGGACGCTCTGATGTCCCAGCAGCGTGGGACGCCGTCCTCAGAGGTACAGGACCTGGTTTCCTCACTGCCACCCATCAACACCGTGTTTATGGGTGCAGGGGGAACGCAGTGACTTCCACAGGAAGGAATGGTCCATGAAGCTTGGGCTACAAACTAACAGATAATGAAAAGTTTTCCTAAAGCCAACCAAACCATAACAGTTGATTTTTTTTTTCAAGGACTGTGAAGTTTATATTGTCCCTAGAGAATAACCAAGAAACATTTATAAAAGATTGAACTAACATTTAAAGGACATGCATCTTGAATGGATCTGCCTGGATATTATAATTCTCTGTCTCATCTATCATGATGCTCCCATTTCTTCTGTATATAAATAAAATGAGACTGAGGACTCGTGATTAACTCCCACCGGTTATTTTAGTTGCTGCTGGTTCGAGCTTCAATTAGATTAACCTTTAAGAAGCATCAAGATTTAACCATTCTGACAACTTTCTCTGCAAGATCCAGTACTATATTGCAGCCTTTATTTGTGTGCTTAAAATAGAACAAAAGGAAAAACATGTGCATTATATCAACCAATGTTTTTAGGAGATTGCTCTTTTAGTTTCTCATTTGAAGTGTTGATAAAAATCATTTCAGGGATAAAAATGTCCGTCTAATGTCTGTGATTGTTATGAGCTGTTACACATATGCTAAGTAAGAAATGAACCAGAAATAATAATAATTCATGTTGCTGCTGGTTTTCTTTTTTTTTTTTTTTTTTTTTTTTGCACAGGATCACTGCAAAAATGATCTAGAAATAAGTAAAAATTTCTTAAATTAAGTGTATTTACTCTCAATTTAAGTAGGTAAATAAGATTATCTGCTGATGGGATGGGTATTTTACTCTTAAAATAAGATAATTAGATAATATGCGCTTGAAATAAATGCAAATGTTTTTTCCATTTTAAATGTAAATTGTCTTGTTCCGTTCACTGAGTGTCTCACTTACCTCCTCAACTCAAGAAAAAAATTCCTTATTTTAAGAAAGTGTCATGATCTGGCCTGTTTGCTCCTCCTTAATTAGTTATTCCTTTCACCTGTCGTTTTCCCTCCCTGCCTCTATTATAATTTATTCCTCTCACCTGTTTCCTGTTGGTTATATTCAGATCAGCCTGAGCATTCAGTGCCAGATCATTATTTGTCTTTCTCTTAGTATGTCTGTCTGAGTTTATTCCTTGGTTCATGTCCTGGATCCTAGCTGCCAGTGGAAAGAGGGGTTTGTGTGTTTGTCTCGTCTCCTAATCGTCCACTGTTCCTCCCCCGCTAAGTCCTCTGGGTTTTTGGCTCATTATGGGAGGAGGTTCAGTTTTTATCTCAGTAAGCCTGGCTCCAGGGAGGAGACCAGTTTAAAGTCCTGCTTCAAGTTCTGGTTCCACGTCCTGTCTTGGCTACCCTCTTCCACTGAGCCTGCCTGTCTTCACCTGATCCTGTCTGCTCCTGTGCGTGACCACCTGGTCACACTTTCTGACTCTGTCAGACTCTGAACCTGTCCCGGAGCTCTGTTATAGCCTGGAAAAATTGACTTCTTTAGATTTCAGTTTTTCCCAGTGACACTTAGATTCAGGATTGTGCATCTGCCTGTTGCCTGAACTATAGAGGCAGATTTTTAACCCACTTTAAAACATATTTTATCATATGTAATTAGCTGCACAGTTAATAGCTGGTAGTGCGTGTACTTTGCAGCAAGAAGGCCACTTGTTGAAATTACCCATATTAGCTTCACTCGCCTAAGCAGTGACAGCGCCTCCATGTTTGTTTGTTGCTGTAAAAGACTGTTGACCTGTTCAAGGTGTAGCTGCCTCCCAGTGACCCCAGGGCCATTCAAGGAAAAGCGGTTATAGACACTGGATTTATGGGTATTGCTGTAATAAATAGAGTACAGCAAAAGGAGACCGAACTAAGTGAACTGTCTTTACAGCACCAGAGCATTTTACAGCAGAAAGCTGGGTTGTAGTCTGCTAGTTCTGATGTCAGAACAGATTTGCTGATGGCAGGACATCAAAAGGTTCCTGCAGATCACATCTAAACCTTGTTCTGACTTAATGTCCCCCTGACTGCTGCAAAACCCGCCTTTAAGGCAATGAAGCTGGTGTAAGTTTTTAGAATGAGTTTTTTAAATGTATGTATTAATTGAAAAATTTTGCGTATTTTGCAAATTTTTTCAATTATCCACGTTTTGTTTTTGCTTTCATTTTCACACCAGTTAGTGTGGAGTGAATGTTGTTCCATTATTGCTTCTAGCACATGCAGAACATGTGTTGAAAATAAAAGAAGAGCAAATAAGATGAGAAAAAAGTATTTTTAAAGGTTCTTAAAGTAACTTTGCTGTTTTTTTTCATTTGCATATATATTTTTTTCAATTTCTTTTTTAACACATCTATTATAGTTATTCCGTAAAAGTTCAAAAAATAAAAAATAAAATTTTGAATTGAGAAAGCTTCCTGGAGAGGTGGCGAAACGTCTTCAAATCTTGGAAACCAAGTCCAGTGGTGTTTTTTGAACTTTTACGGAATGACTATGACCTGGATGACTGAGAATCTTCATCAGCATAACTATTATTGTTCCAGTTTTCTTTATTTCTCTTTATCAGGTTAAATTAAGAATCACATTTCTTTCAAATTAAATTTTACAGATCACATTCTATTCAATAATCCAGCAAAAATACAAGTGCTTGCCCATGAGATGCACATTAACCAATAAACTTACGTCAATGCAGACCAATAGGTCTTCACTCCTCACTCAAGGGGAAAGCCCGCCCCCAGAAATGAAGATAATGGCCCGATCCCAAACCCCTAAGCACTACCCCTTAACTATTGAGTGTCACTCCCGGTGAAGTCGCAATTGCAGCTTTGGAGGGCCCTTAATTGAAAGTGGGGGGTAAAAATGAGAATGGGAAGGTTTATCAGTCATTGTTATGGCAACAGATTGCACGGCCGTAGCATTTTGTCGCTGGTTAACATGACATCAATTTGCCCCAGTCTTAAAAATAAATGTATACAGTCGAATTAAACTATTCCATAGAGGATCTTCCCCTTAGGGATTAATTACGTCTTTTTTATTTTTTATTTTTCCTAACTTGTGATTTTCTGTCAGTGGGATGAAGATGCAGGAAAACAGTGGAGCTTCTTTGAATTGCAGTGTTTCCACCACCGTTAGTCCGCCGTTACACCGGCTGACAAATTCCAACAAGCCCGCACCGATGCAGACTCGCTATTTATAAATCTTAAAAGAATGCAATTTGTAAAAACGCACTCTCGGAGAAATACAAACATTTGAAAAAAATAAAAAAAATGGGAAATTGGGGGAAACTGCAAAGTTATTTTATAAACCCTTGTTAATTAATAGTTTCAACTACTGGGTTGCATTCTTTCTGAGGTTTCCATGTACAAAATGTTTTCTTGGCTTGCAACATTAATGGAACAAATTTCACTCCATAAGTTAGTGAAACGTCTCTACAACTATTTCTTGGCCAATTACAACAAGGGGTTTCAAGTTAAAGTCTATTTTTTTCCCCTTTTGCTTAAAATTTACTGCAATTATTTTCATTCTAGTTCAACAAATAGAAAACTCTCAACCCATAAAGTTGGGAAACTGTAAGCTTCTCCTTTAAAACCTTTTTTTGGACCTATATCAATATTTTCTTTTCTGCTTGGTTTTAGTAAAATAATTGATGTTTAGATTTTAAAGAAAATAAAATTCAATTGAAGATTATTTTGCTTTTTTAATTAAGAACAAATCAAATAAAATAGATCCTTACTACTTTCAGCTTGGCCATTTTTGCCTAAGTTCCTTAAAGTTTGGCCCTATTGATGGTGATGATGACTCAGCTCCCCTCACCATCCGCTGCAGGGCCCTGTTGTCTGCTATATTGAGGTTGGAGAGTAAATAGTAGATTCCCAGAGCTTTATTTGATACGCTCTCCTCAGATGAACTGTCTCTATATATTTTATGGGTTCAAAATTTTTTTTGATATAAATACACCAACTTTAAGGAAAAACCAGTTTGGAGAGTTTCTAAAATTTGTGTGCCTATCAGCCGAATGGGAAGCATGCATACTTTTTATATTTTCTGATTAAATCCATACAGAGTCAATCAGTATATTACATAAACATTTCTATTTTAAAATGTTTCAGTTTAGTAGATTCTTCTGGTTTAAATATGTTTTATTTCAGGTTTTATTTTTTTTTCCTTCAGAATCTCAGATATTCTCTTTTTCCAATCGAATTAATAAAATTTTTTCTCATTAGACTTGTATTGTATACTGTTTAAATAAAACATTTTTAAATGGACAAAAAACTTCAGGGCAAGGTTGAGAAGCCAAATGAAATTTTCCATAAATTAAACTATATGAAAATTGAGAAAAAATACATTTTAAAGTTGATTAATTTATTTAGATTATATATTAAAGTTGTTATTAAAAAGTAAATGATGCATAGAAGTCAGTGTCAGCAGATTAGTTAGGGTATCTATAGATCGGTCTGGGTTCGGTTGGCTTTGTTCCAGTTTGTTGGAAATAAAAAGCTCTGTGACTCCTGCTCGCTCACCTGCAGTCATGAGATTTGGATATTAGTCAAAAAGCATGATTACTGATCAAAAGCTGCTGAATTTAGCCTCCATGCTGGGATACCCCGCCCCTCAGAAAACTTCTGCACCTCAGCATTGACAGAAGTCACCTGAGATGGTTCAGGCATCTGGTCTGGACCAGGCTCGGACTGGGAACGATTTTCGGCCCTGGCATATTTCCATCTACACTTATGGACCCCCCAACCGCGTCTCAAATGTGAAACACAAGACGAATACACATCGTGGATGAACCAATCTATCTTCAAGCATCACACGACAAACATCACCAAGACTTCTATCATGTGGTTTTACTGGCTTTGGTTATTAAGACAAAAAATGTTCATAAACCGCCTGGATTTATGAAATCTCACTGAATATAAACAAAAGTCTATTGATCTTTTAGGCCATAAATGTCAAGAAAAAATTTTTTTTTTTTTTACAAATAGACAGCCAACTAAACTGCCAGATTGGGAAACATCCCAACATGGCAACAATGCAGGTAAGATGGGAAAAGTTACCCTTTAGATGCAAAACCTCATCATGCACCGCAACATATTTTTGCTAAATATTCAAACATAAATTCGCCAAATATAAGAGGAACATCGTAGTTTGATTTAAAGAAAGCATTTTAGTTTTATTATAATTTAGTTTGTTGCAAGGATTTTACAGTTTAAAGAAATAGAAAATTAGACTGTATTTACATGACAAGGAAGGGCTATATATATACTGCATGCATCATTTAGGTAGTTTACATTGGATTACTTCTTGAGCTGCTTGAGTTATTTACTGTCACAGATAGGTGCTTCTGCCGAAGAATAAGTGTTGGGGGCCATTATGATTTAAGGAGGGCCGGCCCTGGCACGCTGAAATTAGAACCACTGGCCCACCGGGCAAATGCCTGTTATTATAGGTTACCGCTGCCTCCCCAACCTGAAACCTGTGACAAGAATGAACAAGACATCAGGAGAAACCAATAAAAAGGTTAATAGGTATTAGTATGTATATATATTGCTGTAATTATGGCCTAAAATAGAATTTAAGGACCTTTAAAGTGGAAGCTTTCATTGACTGACTTATTGGTTGCTAATGTTTACATTAAATCCCAGTTAAATGAAGTCCCGTTA